GAGTAGAGAGAGAGAGAGAGAGAGAGAGAGAGAGAGAGTGTGTGTGTGTGTGTGTGTGTGTGTGTGTGTGAGTGAGTGAGTGAGCGAGTGAGTGTGTGTGGTGTGTGTGTGTGGCAGTGTTGTTTGTTCATAGGGGTTCTGTTGGCGTGTTTAGTGCGTCATTCAGCATAACTCTCAAAGCACTCAGACCAAGATGACAACGTTTGGCCTCAGCAAACCGAGCAGTCGCTCGGGCAACAAGATCACCAAGGCGAAGGGAAAGATGGCGGTCAAGCCGATTCTCAAGAAGCTGTCGCACGCATCAGAGCCCAGGAATTCAGTGGATCTGGATCGCGGGTGGGATGAGCAGCCGGTGGAGCAGCTGAGGAGTAGTGAATGGGACTCGAGTGACTATGGAAACCAGAATGCAGGAGGATATCTATATGGCGGCTATACGGGCTACTATGGCCAGGCGCGAGACGTGAGCTTTGGTCTGATGCGCGCGTCGACAGACGGGGCAGTGGCCACTGGGGGAGGCAGCTTCCGGGCGTCGAAGCTGCACCATAGCCATCATCATATCCACCACGGCCGTTCTGGCTCGCAGACTTCGACCGGGAGCGGTACTCGCGGCGGCTTCGTCCATCCTTTTGCTCAGACTCCTCGCACTTCGACCCCTCCAGCGTCATATGCCAACTCGGTCGCTTCGATTGAGCAGCAACAATCACAGTCTCAACAACAACAACAACAACAACAACAACAACAACAACAACAACAACAACAACAACAACAACAACAACAACAACAACAACAACAACAACAGCGCACCGGCGGCTGCTCCCCGACCATCAGCGAAACCGAGGACGGTGACACCTTTGACGCCAGTCAGACGACCTCCTGTCAAGTACCTGCGTCATCCACTCTTCATTCTTCTTCCGCTGTGTCGTCGCCTACCACTCCCACGAGCATAAGGCGACCGACCGCATACACCCAGCGCACCTATTCGTCACCCACTCTCCCCGACTTTTCCTCTCACCATCACCATCACCATCACCCAAAACCTCCGACTCTGCGAATCAACACCAGTCGCTCCATCTCCGGAGTCGCGACAACAACCCCTTCTCGCCACGTCTTTTCCTCAACCTCTCACACCGACCTCGGCGCCAGCACAACAGGCGCCCCAACCACCGCAACCACAACCGCCATCGACTCTCCCACCGGCTCAATCGGCGGCAATCCCGGGACAACCACTCCCCTAACAAGTCCCCTCCCACCACCTTCCCAAGAGCTCACAACCAAAGAAAAACCGACCTCCCCTCTACGCACCTCCCTCGAAATGGCGGCCTCATCCTTCCCTCGTCTCCGCCATCGCCCCTCCGACCTGGTCGACACCACGACGCTGCACGAAAATATTCGTGCCGCGCGCCGCAAGTTTGAGGAGAAAGAGCGTGCCGAGCAGGAAAAGTACGACCGCGAACAGATCCGCAAGCGCGAGCGGCGCGAGAACAAACAGGCGAGGCAGATAGAGAAGGGCGAGGATCCCGAGGTGGTGGCGAAGAAGAAGCTGAGGAAGGAGGAGCAGAAGGCCAAGGGGTCGTCCCCCGCGAGCGTGCTTAACGGCGTCGTCGCGCCGCTTTTTGGCGGGAAGAAGGCTGCTAGCTTTAGCGGCAACCCGTCGCCCCTCCCGGGTAGTGCACAGGGGATGACGTTCAAGTCGGCTTCTGCGCCCGCGAGCGGGTTCGCCTCGTCGAGGAGGAGCTCTCGGCGGTCGGCGGATTTGCTGGCTGAGGAGCGCGAGAAGTTTGCTAGTCGGAAGTATGAAAGCGCGCCGGTGGGCGACGAGCCGCTTGCTTTTGGGGCTGCGCCGGCTCTTGGTAATGCTAGCGGTACTGGTGTGGAGGATGTAAAATTCAAGAAGGCACATCGTCGTCGGCGTGGGAGTAGTGCCAAGCGCAAGACGCAGAGTTATTGGCATGGGTTTTTGCTTTGGTTGAGGACGAAGTTATTCCGGTTTAGTCGGCACATCTGAATGCATTTTTACTCTTCATTGGGACGGTTTTCATCATTGACATTACTCGGGTTATAAGAATGGATGGTCGGCGGGTATTATTCGGATTCGGGTTGCATTGTTTTCTTTTTCTTTTCCTTTGTTTTTTTTTTGTTTTTTTGGGGGGGGGGGGGGGGCTCTCATTTTCAGCATATTACATCCTACAGCGCAGTGTCTGGGAAACAACAACAACAACAATAACAATAACAATAACAATAACAATAACAACAGCATCTGGCATTGATGGACCAAGGATGGATGGTTCCAGCGAAAGGAAGCATGCATGAGAGATGGATGGATGGCATCAGGTGTATCGGTTGTCCTCTCTGGATCGTCGGCTAGCATTCAGCATTAGCGGCAGAGATAGCAGCATAGCAGAGTGTTTCGGCCTGACGTGAGGCTTCGATACTAATAACCAATGACAAGATTCCATCTCGTTACCTTTGTCGAGTCTCATCTTTCCATGTTGTGCAATAACTCGCTGTCTTTTGGCTGCCTATCATCCGGCGATGGTCTTAAAAACTCTCTATCCGAAGCGACCACAGCTAGTAGTCGCTACTCCGGAGCAAAGAAGGTCACAAGATCTAGTGACTTCTTCAGCGGTTTCCGTCACTGAAGAATGGCTTTTTGAGAGAAGAGCTGTAAACCAGTCAACATCGATAATGTTGGGTCGCTGGCACATCGTTCGGCTGGCTGGCCACTGCTTTCTTCGCATTGTTGGCAGGACGAGGTTCGGCAAGGAATGTTTTCCTTTCTTACGACTGTTTTTTTTTTTTTTTTTCATGGACTCTGGCTCTATTACTTGGTCTCCACGGTACGAGATGGCCAGTCGATATCTTTTCAGCCGCAGCCGAAGCTGAACTTGAGGCTGAGGATGTGGCGTTGCATCTACATACTGGGTTCGGTACCACCGAAGTCAGCGATCGTGATCGAGACCAGAGGTTATTGAGATTTTGGTTCAGCATGGAATGGCATGGTATAACATAATGAGGCATTCTTATTCAGGTTTCAGTGGTTCTGTTCTTACTTTGGGCCCTTTTTTTGGGGGGGAGGAACAGGGAAAGGGTTTCGGTTTTTCTTTTTTTTGAATTTTTTTTATTTGTGCTCTCGTTTATTAGGCTGGTTGGAACTCGTTATCAGCGTCATTATAATTGGCATTTAGCTAGGAATTTTGGGGGTTCAGGGGGAATCTGCTGAAGGAAATCATTTATGATGAGATCATCCAGAGGGAATGGATTCAGCTTGCTCTTGGGTTGTTTTCTGGACTTTAAAGAAACAGAGAGAAGAGCTTCAGGGCAGTCAAAGTGATTGCTGCTGTTGGTAGATAAAGCTACCTTGATCGGACACACTAGAGAGTGTCTGATTGGAATCCATCTACATCTGCTGCGAGATTCTTTGTTCTCTAATGGCTATTGATGACGGTGGCTGTTGAAATTTGCGGTCTCCATTTCTCCTAAGCAACTAACAGATTCTTGAGCCTACAAAATCACTTGATGCTCCTATTCTGTCCTGGAGACTGTTCCCTAATATCGTGTCTCTTCTGTCGCAACATCCATGACGCCTTCCCATGATCCAAATCTCCAAGATCTCCCTGTTTGAGACGGGAAAGGCCGTTTGTTTTCATGAACGTGATCGCCACCGCGACACCCCAGTCAAAGCCGAGGTTTCGATCTGCTGCGGCGAGTCCAGCTGTGACCCACTGTGGAGACTGCTGCCGGACCTGCAGCTCTCGGCGCGCTAACCCCTGAACCAGTAAACCTAGCTTCCACGGGCAACGACATTCCCCATCTCAAGATCTGAAAGTGGCTGCACGTGGCGTTCTGGAGTGCCGCCCCGTCAAAAATTGTTGTGTTCCTGTGGCTGAGTTGTCTGCTTGATCATCAAAAACTTTTGAGGTAAGATCTTATCTCGGTGATATTGTCGAGGTATCTCCCTCGCCTACGGTTACGGTACGGGTTGCCCGAACCGAAAGGCGTCGATCGGATCGGCTTGCCGGAGGGACGTGAGTGGCCGGATCACGGTGTGATGCCAGATCGTTGATTCCGGTTGGTTGATTGCTCAAGGGGTTTTCTACTTCCTTAAACTTACTCTGTGTACTGCTCTTTCTCTAAATCGTCCATCATAATAAGTTCGTCTCTACTGCATTGGGCCTTTATCTCAATTCAGAATATATCACATCTGAAACAGTTAAGTAGATTTCACTTTTCACTCTTCCTCGATGGGCACTCCCTATCTCATGATCGTTACTGACCTGATTCCTGTCAGACCCTCAAGATGGCCACCCAAGCTAGACGCTTTGCCAACCACCCTGGCGCCAAAGAAGCCCCGGAATGGACTCTTGAATATCGTCTCGATGTGGATAAGAATCCCACGATGAAGGGTCTACCTCTTGTTTTGGCTTCTAAGCTGTAAGTGTTGTCTTGGTTGCACAACACCGTCGTTGGTGCGCATCACTCAGCTGTTGGTGCCACCACAACCTACATAGGTACTTAGGTCGTCCAGAAATGGTATTCGTGCTAACTATTTCCTAGAGTCACCAGCTTCGAATGGCTTCAAAAACTCCTTTGGGAAAATGCGAAGTTCGGTGAACCACGGTACCTCCATCTTGAAGGCGTTCCCTGGAGGGCGGTGGTAGGCCCGTCCCCCTTCAATCCCGCCTTTTGACCTCCCACGCAAAGCTCACTCATTGTCTTTCAGCCGAACGTCATCCCCCTCGCCTTAGACCCCTCCCAGCAAACCATGCTCCCCTTCGAAGAGGCCCTCATAACTCCCCAATCCTCCGACCTTCCCGGCCGCTTCTACTCCGCCGCGGACTACCACGCTCTCTACCGCTCCGGCAAAGTAACCCCCCTGCAGGTGGCCGAAGCACTCCTCCCGCTCATCCAGCGCGGGCCCAACGAAAGCAAGTACGCCGCAGCCTGGACACACTGCCACCCAGAAGAAGTCCTTGCTGCGGCAGAGGCTTCCACGGAACGCTGGGCGAGGGGTCAGCCGCTAAGCGTGCTGGATGGTGTCCCGTTTGGGGTTAAGGATGATGTGGATGTGGAGGGGTTTGTGTCGAGCATGGGGATGAGGGTTGATGAGGGGAAGGCCGAGTATTTTAGGAAGGTGAGGGAGACGACGAGTTGGCCAGTCAGGAAGTTGATTGAGGCAGGGGCGGTGTTGGTGGGCAAGATGAATCAGCATGAGGTTGGGATGGGTAAGTCCTACATGTTTCCAGGGGAGGTTGAGTTTAGGGAGGATGAATTCGGCTGACTAATGATGGCAGATACGACCGGCTGCAATGTGAGTGCCCAAGGAGGTTGAGATCGAAGGGAGTTAAGCTGACAGCTTATAGCCATCCACGGGGACGGCAACAAACTGGTACAACAAATCTTATTACCCCGGCGGCTCCTCCTCCGGGGCAGGATCAGCCCTCTGCGCAGGTCTCGTCCCTATCGCCGTCGGCACCGATGCTGGTACGTTAGCCCCCTTGACCCTTCATTCCATCTTACAATCCTGACCGCTTCGTAACCGTAGGAGGGAGCATACGCATCCCGGCCTCCTTCTGTGGCGTTTACGGCCTGAAGCCAACCCACAACCGCACTGTCACCATGTCCTCCTCCGTCTGCGTGATCGGCCCTATGGCCGGCACCGTCGCCGACCTGACCATCGCCTACCGGCTTATGTCCCAACCCAATCCCGATGACCCAGGGCAGAACCTCTTCGCCACGTCCCAGCCCCCCGCGCCAGACGCAAAAAAAGTGCTGGGTATCTGCCGCGAGTGGGTTGACGTCATGACAGATCCGAAGGTCAAGACTGTCTTCGATAAGGTTGTCACGTACCTCATCACCGAAAGGGGCTACGAAGTAGTCGACATCAAGCTCCCCTTCCTGCGCGAAGGCCAAGTCGCTCATGCAGCAACGTGCCTCTCCGAAGCGGCCGCCGACGCTCGTTCCCGTGCCGACAACCCCAACCAGTACTTGTCTCTTCTCAACCACCCCAACCGCATCCTCATCAGCACCGGCGCACAAACCTCCGCCCCTGACTACTTGCGCTATGGCCAGATCCGGCAGGTCATCATGTCCCATCTCGCACATCTTTTCCAAACCTACCCCGGCTTGATGATCCTCACCCCGACAACGCCCATGGCCGGGTGGCCTATCCATCCCGGGGAATTGAAGTATGGCGGGAGCGACGGGAATAAGAGTATCAAGAACATGATGTTCGTGTGGTATGCCAATGTGAGCGGATGTCCGGCGGTGACGTGTCCGGCGGGGTATATTGAATCCGTGCAAGGGGAGGGCGAGGTGCCGGTTGGAGTGATGGCTATGGGGGAGTGGGGGATGGAGGAGGAGTTGTTAACATGGGCAGGGGAGATGGAGGGGTGGTTGACGGGCCCTGGAGGGGGGAGGAAGAGACCGGGGGAGTGGGTTGATGTTTTGAAGTTGGTGAGGGAACGGAAGGATTGAAAAAGGGGGGGGGGATAAGGATGCGGATTTGGGGAAAGAGTTGACGTAGTGTTTAGCGTATAATTTAAGAGACGAAGTTTGGTAGAATGGATGAATGCATTCGACGCGAGACCGAGTGAGGTTGATGCTCATATGAAAAAGAAGAGGGCCGAGGCAAAAGTCAACAATACAGTGTAAAATAACAGTGTTAATACTAACTTTACACTAACACATGTGTTCCTCAGTCCCACCGACACTTCGGCGTGTCACATCGGCAGGATCCCCAAAACCGCGAATGAACCAACTCGACGAAAACTTGCCCGCATCGCTACCCACAACCCACAGCGCAGTAGTTGCGCAACAGCCGCAATCATGGGCTGGAAATGGAACCAGCACAAGGACATTCTCCATCGACTGTATGTCGAGGAGAAGAAGACGCTGTCTGAGATTGTGGAGTATATGCGCGAGCACCATAATTTTACGCCGAGGTATGTTTTTTTTTGTTTTTTTGCCGGTTGTTGTTCAGAGACGTGGTGGTTTCTCTCTCCGTATTATTAGTGACGTCCGAGCTTCCATAACAGAAAGTCTGGCGGGAGTGGGAGGTCGGTTTTTTTTTTTCCTATTCGTTCGAGCATGTCTTCTCCACTGGTTGATTGGACTTCCGTACTGCTTGAGATTCATCGACTCGCTTGAATTCTCATTTCGTCCGTGATACTCTGATGTTGAATGCTAATATAATGCTTCACACAGCCGCCGCTCGTTCCACGGCGTCTTCTGCCGCTGGGGCTTCCCCAGCCGGCGCAACCCCGCCTATAGCAACCAGCCGTTGATCAACCGCGTGCGCGAGCTCTGGGAGGCCAATGTCGGCCAGAAGGACATGCTCAGTATCCTCAACGCCGAGGGCTACGAGGTCGGCGAGCGTGAGATTGCACGCATTCGATATAAACACCGCTGGATGATTCGCTCCAGCTACGGGCCCTACGAGACGGAGCCGCCTGCGCCTGCCGGCGACGACGAGAGCGATCACCCTTCGGATGAAGAAGAGGAGGGGTCGGATGGAGAGAATGGAAGAAATGAGCAAGATGGAGAGCGTCGCGAACAGAGACAGCGCAGTCACAGCAGCGGTAATTTCAACCTGAACGGGTTATCCGACGTCGATGCACAGGTCCACCAGGAAGCCATCGCCATGCGCGAGGCCCAGCGCGAGCAGCGCAAGCGTATGATGGCCCTCACCTACCAAGAGCGATGGTTAGCTAAGAAGCGACGCCGACACACCCGCGCCTATGCCGGCCTGCCGCCCGACCCTCCGGGCCCCCCGCGCTTCCCGTCCGAGACGACCCTCACAGAAGCGAAAGAGATCCTCCAGCTCGACAAAGAGACATACATGGCTTTGCGAAAAAAGTTCTACGACATCTGCGTCAACACCGGCGTCTGGAAGAAGACGCTGGCCGGGTCCGAGAAGTGGGAACAGGTCAAGGAGCAGCTGATTAGGGAGAGCATGCACCTGCGCGCCGTGTTCTGGGACCAGACGGATATGGATAAGAAGAAGCTTGCGCTGGACGTTATCGCGTGTGATGTGACCAAGAGGATAAGGACCGAGGCTACAATGATCACGGTAAACGAGGCTAAGCGGATTCTGGGGTTGAACCCGAATGAGAGTAGGGCGCTGAGGAAGCAGATGTATCTCTTGCTGGCGCAGGAGAGGTTCACGTCGAAGTTGGAGGAGGGCGCCGAGTTCTTTGAGGCGCTGAAGCAAAGGTGGATTAATGGCAGTCCGCTGTTGACGGCGATCGTGCAGAATACGGAAGATCCGGAGTATGAGAGGAAGATTAAGGCGATTAAGATGCTATGTAGGGATGCGGTCAGGCGGTATAGGGATGATGTGTTTCGGCTGGGGAAAGATCCGCTTGCACCGCCGCCGCCAAAGAAAACAAAAAGCCCAAGCCGCCGCCAAAACCTAAGCCTTCGCCGAAGCCGAAGGAGCCAAGGCCGAGGCAGTCCAGGGGCAGGAAGAAGGCTGCGGCCGAGGCGCAGGCTTCTAACGCGGATATAGGGGAAGAACCGGCTATGGTTGTAGCGCCGCAGGCGCCGGTGCAGGTCGAGCCGGTGATGCAAGAATTGGTGTTGCAGCCGCCGCCGCCGCCGGCGCCAGTAGAGCAGCCGGCTGCCCCTGTTGAGCCCGTGTTTGTCGAGGACACTCCCGCGCCGCCACCGATCCCTCCTCGGATAGATACAGACCCGCCGGGGCTGATTCCCGGACTGAAGCTGCCGCCGGCGGTTAAGAGGACGCGCGGCCGGCCGTTGGGGTCTGGCAAGAAGGCGACTGAAGCTCAGGTCCAGAAGGCCCAGCAAGCCCTGCCGCATGTACAGCCTCGCCTGGTGCTGGCTGATGTGTTGCAGCCGCAACAAAATGGTCAGGCTGCGCAGCAGCCACAGCAAGTTGGTCAGCAACAGCAACAACAGATCCAGCAACAGATCCAGCAACAGCAACAGCAGATGGTGGACACCTCGCATTTGGATAATGATCCTTTCCTTACGGGAGATTCTCAGTTCGACGATCACTACATGCAGACTTACGATTCTCAATCTCAACCTTCTCAGCCGCAACAGCAGCAAGTCTATCACCAACCTCCTCAACCCCAACAGCAATCCCAACCTCACCCCCCACAACTCAATACCTCCGCCGCCGTCCCCGCCCCTCCTCCTCCTCCTCCCTCCGGCGGTCCCCCTGTAGCAGTCTATATCCGTCTGCACCCCGCCTCACTAGCCCTCATGCCCCCCGGTCAACCGCAGCAATGGATCGTCCCCCTCATGAACCGCACCATGGCCGAGGTGCGGGAGGGAGCGGTGCATAAATGTCCTCCGGGCGCAGTGTGCGTGGCCGTGCAAGGAGTGATTAAGGATGGCAAGGGGGGAGAATTGATGGTGCCGGTTACGGATGATGGGGAGTTGGATGTGTATTTGGAGCATGTGGCTGGAACGGGGGCCGCGGTGTTGGTTGTTCAGGTTACGGGGAGCTGGTAGGCTGTATCTGTGTCCCTTATAAGGGGCATAGGAGAAGAGAAGAGAGGTAGAGGGAAGAAGGGAGGGGAGTTGGTGTCGTTTGGAGGGTAAAGAGTCCAGAAGAAGCAGTTTGCTCTGTTTCTTCTCTCATGAAGTGGAAAGAGGACAAGAGAGAAGGTATTGGAGGGGGGAAGTCGATCGTCTCTCGGAAGGCCGGTTCATCGGCTATTACACGACGAGAGCTGAAGATGAGAGCCATCATTTGCGAAGAGAAGTGTGGGGGGGAGGGGGTGAAGGAGAGGGGTTCGCCATCTCCAGGAAGGCTGGTATATCGGCTATTACGTGACAAGGGGTTGAAGCCGACTCAGAATCATCATCTTCAGACATGAGAAATTTCTGAGAGCCGCTGAACTCTAATAACAGCTACATCTCGGCTCCCCGCGGTCACAACAGCCATCAAGAGTTCTATGCGATTGCGTCATTCTCAATGAGACATGAAGTTCAGAGTTTGGAGGTAGCTCTCTCGCAGCAATTCTCACAGGAGGAGGGCTCAGCAGGAGCGGTGAGGGATTGTTGACCGTTGGGCACCCGACATTGTGGTTAACCTCGGCGTTGTTCAGCCTTGCTGACGACGCCATCACTGCATCACCGTCGGCTGCATATAGCCCAAGCCACTAGGCGTCAACAGGATCTATCTACCTTACATTACAATGAGAAGGGGGCGGGGAAGGGGGGGGGGGGGGAGGGAGGGAGGGTTGAAGCCCGAGGAGTCCAAGTCGGACCAGCGGCTTCAAGTAGCCGGCGAGAGCCCGAGGATATAAGGCGGTTGTGGTTGCGGTTAGGGAAGGGGTTTCATGGACACGAGCCAGGCGTTGGGGCGGATAGGATCGATTTTGGCGACTTGGGCTCATGCTTACTGACGTTGATTACTGTGCAGTAGTAAGGTACTTACATGGCAGAGGTTTAGGACAGAGAGCTTAATCCAGACTTCATTATCTTCTCCACAACTGGTTCGACGTGGAGAAGGTGTGTTAAGTACAAGTAGATCCCTAAGCACGAAAGACGCGGGGCTTAACCCCTCTATTGGTGCAGAGTGTTGAGTCAATACTGCGACTCTGGTGCCGTCTTGCAAGCGCGCTACCCCCAGCCCTGTGCCGCACTGCCTACACCGGTTTACTGCGTCCTACGGCCCCGCTGTGGGAGTTTGTGAGTTTGTTGTCCGTAAAAGGCTCCGCTTCGCCGAGTGGAACCCTGCACAAGCTCGGCTCTCCGTAGCGATTGAGACGGATGCAGCTTGCCGCAGAGCATTTTTGACTGCAGCTCCCTTCCCCGCGTTTATATTCCGTCATCCGAACGCCCCTCTCATCAGCCCATCTTCCCCCGCCGCCTACGCCACATAGCCCTGTCTGCTGCTGCTACTGCTGCTGCTGGTCCGCTGCCGAGTCCCCGTTGACAGCTCTTGGCGTTCGGACGTCGCGGGTTTTTGGTCGCTTTCCAGAGATCGAGGTCAATTGGTGCCGCGGGGCATGACAACGCCCTGAGAAGCACTCGACTTGCGACTAAAATTGCCCCCCCCCCCCTCCCTCCTCCTCTCCGCGCGGACTACACCTATCTACATCAATACAGATACACTTAATCACAAATTATGGCGCGCCTCGCGGCCGTGGGCGGTGCCCTGCCCCGCGGCCTGGCCGCACAACGGTCCCTTCGTTTGGGGTCGTCGGCGTTTGCGCGCGCCAGCGCGGGCGTGGTTCGCTTCAACTCCAACGAGACGACTCCTCATCCTCCTCCTCCTCCTCCCAGACGGCCCGGCGCGTCCTTCCAGGGCCAGCTCACACAGAGTATCTCGCAGCGTTTGGAGCGCGAGAGGGCTGATCTGGAGAGGTTGGCCAGGGTCAGGAAGGAGAGCCCGGTGGCGAGAAATTTTACTTTGACCTTTGGTACTGCTCCCCGTTCTTGATATATCACCGTGTCAGGAGGGGGGCGCGATGCTAATGAGAGTGTTAACAGTCCTCTTCTTCGTCGGCTCCGTCTCCTGGTGGCTCGGATACAAATACCCGCGCGACGTCGATCCGAACTCAACCCTCCCCCTCAGCGCGACTAAACCCCCCGTCCACAAGACCGCCCCCGTCAACCTCGAGGCTGCCTGGGCCGACTTCGTCGAGATTGTCGGCCAAGAAAACGTCAGTACCGTCGACACCGTCCTTCAGCAGCATGCTACCTCAGAATGGTCCACCCACCAGGCTGACCCGGCGCACAAACCTTTCTGTGTGGTCTTCCCTGCTACCACGGAGGAGGTTTCGAAGGTTATGAAGGTGTGCCATACCCGGCGGATTCCGGTTGTGGGATACTCGGGCGGGACGTCCCTTGAGGGACATTACACTCCGACCAGGGGAGGCATCTGCATTGATTTCTCCCGCATGAACAAGCTGGTCGCCCTGCACAAGGAAGACCTCGACGTGGTCGTCCAGCCCGGCATAGGCTGGGAACAGCTGAACGAAGAACTCGCCCCCCATGGCCTGTTCTTCCCTCCTGACCCCGGTCCCGGCGCCTGCATCGGCGGAATGATTGGCACAGGCTGCTCCGGCACAAACGCCTACCGCTACGGCACAATGAAGGACTGGGTCCTGAGCCTGACCGTCGTCCTGGCCGACGGCACGGTGATCAAGACACGCCAACGCCCACGCAAATCCTCCGCCGGGTACGACCTCACCCGGCTGTTTGTCGGCTCTGAGGGGACGTTAGGCCTCGTCACGGAAGCCACACTGAAGTTGGCTGTCCGCCCCGCAGCCACCTCCGTCGCGGTCGCCTCCTTCCCCAGCGTCCGCGCCGCAGCTGACTGTGTCGCGCGCGTTGTGGCCGACGGGATCCCCGTTGCCGCCGTGGAGCTGCTCGACGATGACCAGATGAAGTTTATCAACGCCACCGGCAGCACAACCCGCAAATGGCGCGAAGCCCCTACCATCTTCTTCAAATTCGCGGGCACGCCAACCTCGGTCAAGGAACAAGTCGAGATGGTCTCCAAGCTAGCCAAACACGCCAAGGCGCAATCATTCGACTTTGCCCGCGACGCAAACGAGCAAGAGGAGCTGTGGAGCGCCCGCAAAGACGCTCTGTGGGCAACCATGGCTCAGCGCAAGCCGGGCGACCATGTCTGGACGGGGGACGTCGCAGTGCCGATGAGCAGGTTGCCCGAGATTGTGGAGGCGACAAAGAAGGATTTGCGGGCGAGCGGGTTGACGAGTTCGATTGTCGGACATGTAGGGGACGGGAATTTTCATGTGATATTGTTGTATGGGGATAAGGAGAGGAAAATCGCCGAGGAGTGTGTGCATAGGATGGTGAGGAGAGCGGTGGAGATGGAGGGGACTGTTACGGTAGGCTGTCCTAGAAGGGGGGTTGAAGATGGATAAGGAGAGAAAAGTGCTGACGACGAGCAGGGTGAGCATGGCGTTGGTCTGGTTAAGCGAGACTACCTCCCTCATGAGCTGGGTGAGGCGACGGTTGATACTATGCGGAAGGTGGGTCCCCTTTCTCTCTCCCTCTCTCTATCTCTCTCATCTCGGAGTCTACAAGCTGACTTTGTACAGATCAAATCCGCCCTCGACCCGCTCTGCCTGCTCAACGCCGACAAGGTCATCCGGATACAGAAGCCTGCTCGCGGCGAGGTTACCGACTGGTGATGTGTTACGAGTTCATCCGTGTACGTATATAGACTTGGGCTGGCTGGGCTGGTCGAATGTAATACCCTGTTTCAACAGTGCAGTCACTTGTGATGTTTTGATTCAACTTTATGATCAAACTTTGTTTATGTTTTCAAAAGGGTCATTTTTGGTCGTAAGGTATGGTTTTGGATCTTTGGCTCTGTCGATTTCTAACCGATGTGCTAGAACGGACAGGTTTTCGAAGGCTAGAGGAAATAGTTTCCTCAATGAGCCAGCCTCTAACCAATGATATAGGCGCAAATCTGTCCTGGGTTATCTGCTCTTTGGCCAGCTCCCCCATAGTTGTTCACATCATACCTTTCCCTGGCCCTCTTGCTCATGCTGCTGCTTCCATTTTCTTTGCCCATCTCAATCCACACACACCTGCCACAGTTATGCCCGGGGCCTTGTCTATTGGCCTTTTTCATGTTCTCATTGAATGGCACAGTACTGGACAGCCCTGGTTTACATACGTGTGTCCAACCAACCCCTGCACAGCCCTCGTGGCTTATGGAGGGGTACTTGCATCGACGTCTACGTATTGGGCTTTTAACAATTGGCTGGAAGGTAGTTGATTTGTGCCTGCTGACAACGGCAGGTAGTCTTCAAGGCGGATTCGTCGAGTCTTGTTGTCTGGTTATCCGGTGCCGAAAGGCACCAGACTTGCGGCTGAGGATCACCCAATAATCTATAAGCACTTGATGTTAAAGCAGCCCTGTCTATTGGACCAACCGGATAACTGCAGAAGCATATAAGGATCCAAAGGTCGTCCCGGGAGCGAGCTCGGATTTTTTTTTTTCTTGTCCACCTGGAATCCTCGTTGTTGCGATAAAGTCCGGCCAGTGGTCACGACTAACAGATGATCAATTCTTACACTGCACTTTAACAAGCTTTCCTCGATCTGCACTCAGGAATTTACTTTATCTTCTCATATCGTGTTCAGATCCCTTCTCCCAAATCCATACTTGTCCGGGATTAGGAATTAAGAAACATGGCAGACCCGCTCTCGATTATCGGCGCTGTCGCCAGCGGACTGCAGTTTATCCAGTTTGGAACAAAAGTCATCTACCAAATCAAGACAAGACATACGTCGGTCACAGGACAAAGAGGATACAACCTGTTCATCAAGAAGTCAATCCAAGAGCTCGAAAACCTTCTCAAGAAGGTAGAGACAACCTCGGCAGGATTGGAAAGAGCACCACAATCGGGAAGCGTGGAGGAAAAGATAGTCGGACTATGTCATAAATGTCGTTTCATCAATGAAGAACTGAAAGAAGCGATCAAAGTGTTTGAGAACAGGAGTTATATGCACAATATGGTGTCCTCATCGGCCCAATCCCTGGTTAAGGATGTGGAGGCAAAATTGCGTGTTACTCAAGACCAACTGGTGATGGCATTACTGGTTGCTTTGTGGTAAGTTACTTGTTTCCCAAGATTTTCTCTCCATGGCTTTTTAGTTTCTTTTATGTGTCGCGAACGATACCGACTGGGATGCGCTCCTAGGCACCATTCACAGGTTGGCGAAAAGAAACTTGACGAAATGCTACAACAGCAACTCAGTGTTATACAAAGCATTGAGCAGATCGATGAGAATATCCGGCAATTTCTGACGCTCGCTTGCCACGTCCTATCAGATGACACTGAGCCAGATAGGGATGATGTTCAATTTCGCCCTATCATCGCAGACTTGGATGTGGTTGGCAAGACTGAAGAAGAATGGCTATCGCCAACAGTAGCCAACGCCATTAGTTCGGCAAGTACAACTCTATCTCCAGAAGAAGAAGGGCGGCAGCGTGACTGTCTCATCCAGACACTAAGGTTCTCGAAAATCGACGAGCGCATGGGGGCAATTCCACAGGCATATCAAAATACATCTTCTTGGCTTTTGGCTCCTCAATCCCCGACCTCGGAACAGCAATGCCGTTGGCCTGATTTTCCAGCCTGGCTAAAGGCCGATACAAAGGATATCTATTGGATCACGGGGAAACCTGGCTCAGGAAAATCGACTTTGATGAAATATCTCTCACGCCACTCCGAGCTTCATGCCCATTTGCAACATTGGGCCGACGATAAGCCTCTCGTCTTTGCTAGCTTCTACTTTTGGAATGCAGGCACGGACTTACAGAAGTCATGGAGGGGCTTGCTACAAAGCCTTCTGCTGCAGTGTCTCACCCAGAGGCCTGACCTTGCCTACCGAGTACTCCCAAAATCAAGATGGGCATTAATGCGTGTGTTTCGAGGCCGGATCCCCACTGGTTCGTGGCCGTCTTGGGATGTTGAGGAATTGCTGGCTTGTTTCGATACCCTTATATCTAGTGCCGGCATAGAGTTCAAGCTGGGCCTTTTCATCGATGGGCTTGATGAATTCGAAGAGCCGTCACAGGAGATTGAAGTTTCGACTGGGTATCACGACGAGCTCGAGTACTATGGATTCGAAAATTCGCAGGCTCGCACACGTTTAATTGACTGGGTACTGGAACTCAGCAAGTGCGAAGGGATTAAAATCTGTGTTAGCAGTCGACCTTGGAATGTTTTTGAGCATGCATTTGGCCAGAAACCTAGCTTGCGAGTCCATGACCTGACATACAACGACATCTATATTTACACGAAAGACCACTTCTACTCTCTTCCAGCATTCGAGGACTTTAGGGCTACCGACCCCCAGGCATCTGAAGAGCTTATAAATACTATTATTTCCAAATCCGATGGCGTTTTCCTCTGGGTATCCTTGGTTGTACGAACACTTATTGCCCAGATCAACAACGGAGATACCCTAAGCATGCTGAAGGAAACTGTGAATCGGCTCCCTAAAAGACTCGAAAACCTTTTTGAAAGTATCCGGGACAGAGTGTGCAGCAAGTACCGTGAAAATTTGTCCCGATACTTCCAACTACTGAAAGCGGCTAGACTGCTGGGCCTGTACATCACTGCTTTCGAGCTCTGGCTGGTGGACCGAAATGACGCGCTAACTCGAGCATATCCTGGCGGCGATCAGTTCCAAGAGTTCAAGGGGGCGGCTGAAAAGACTGTCAGACGTCGCCTGAATAGCCATACTCTGGGTCTCCTGGAGATTGGGCCATCTGGACATGTTTCATGCCTTCACCGCACCGTACATGACTGGATCTCACGACCAGAAGTTTGGGATTCGATCTGCCGCGAAACAGCACCCACGTTTGATCCATATCTTGATCTCACCAGAGCAACAACTATGGCCCTTGTTGACCCTAGTGTTTGGGAGCCAATTCTTGCTCAACCAAGCACGCTCCAGGGATTGTTGATGGGTAATATCTGCTCTATACTTCGTCGGTGCTTCATTTGTGCGGCCCATGTCAGGCCAGATAGTAGTAATGAAGAATCAATGTCCCTAATCTGGGAAAAGCTGAAGTCCATTGTTGGTCAACTATGCATTAAAGGGCCAACGGATAAAGGTTATTCATTATCTTTTCGGCCATCTTCAACCCCAGGTGTTTCTCCTCCGGGCCTCAACTACTGGAGCCTAAACCATACTCTTCATACATTGCTCCCCCTAACCATCTGGCTCGCAGTGCCACACTGGTTCACATACGAGGTTCACAATTTGGAGGAGAACCACCTGCAGACCTATTGGCCTTATTTCCTCGTGCTAGCCACCTTGGGATATTCCAAGACTGATCCTGGTTTCTTGACCACCATACCTACGAGGATGTGTAAACATCATAAGAATTTGTACAGACAACTCATGACGGAAAGCAGGATCTACGGTAAGAGATTACCAATTCCAGCTGGGTGGTTCGAACAGGAGATATCCAGAAGCGTATACATATTCAGCCACGACTTCATGGTAGACGAAGTCTTGATTGATTGGGGCATAGTTTTCGAACCGTACAAATGGCGAGACAGCGAGAATGTTCTGTCAAGAATACAGATTTTGAAGGAGTTGCTTACACTTTCTGAATACTCCAGACGATATACGTGGCTTATTCGCGCGCTACGAACGGTGACACACTCAATTTTAACGTGGCAATTAGATGGCCATCTGCCACCTGGAAGCAATGGATTCTGGAAGAATGCTGAAAGATTGCTCCAAGATGAGCTAACAGGGTTACAAAAAATCCTGAGGTTGGACAAAATCCAGGAAATCTTCGACAAGGGACGTGAGGAAAGTACAATTTATGAAACTCCGAAACGTAAGGATGATAAGCCGCTTATTCGGTTCTCCTCACGACGAGCATGGCTTATGTGCCCAGTAAAGCTAAACCTCTATCTTGAGAAGTGTCTTCATCCGTTGTGACTAGTCATGATGGATGCTGGGCTTGTGTCGGAGATCCAGTCATGAAGAAGCATGTTGATTCTGACTACCTCGCGGGTTGAGACCCTTGGGTGCTCTGGGATTATGAGTGTGGAACTTGAGGTCAGAGGTGTCCTGCACTGATACCTATCTTATAATGCATCCATGGTTTTGAACACAATCAGCCGTTTGGAATATTTGTTAGAACCTGTTTTGCACGTTCTGTTATTAGCCATGCACTATGATCTTTTTATTTTTAGTGGTCTGTTACCTAGAGTGTATGATTTGTTACGGATTTAGGGGCTTCTGAGTCATAATGAAAGGTCACTGGTGTGGCTGTCAATATTTCAAGGATGCTCAATGAAGGAGCTCTGGAGGGTTCTAGAGAAAGGGCGTAAATTTGGAAGAAAGAAGGACTCTAGAATATACCCAGACTTTTCCTCAGGTGCCTGTTAAGTATGCCGATTGTGTAAAAGAAATTCTGAGAACACCTGTTTGCTTTTGCGTCATAGTCACTGGATGTTTCGAAAAAGGGGGGGGGGAGGGTTTATATGGTAACACACAGCGTGTATTAGGTATCAGCATGCAAGCTCCTACCTGAACAGGTGACCGTTCATGACATGAGTGATTTCCCTGTTTTGCCGCTCAAGTTTCATTGTGAGGTAGGCTCGTTAGGGACCCATCTGCTGTCACTCGTCACGCATTCGACCAGTCACTAATCATAGTATTCTCAACCGAGGTACAAAGCCCGCTGGTTTATCTTTGAGCTGTCGCAAACTGTCAACTCAAGCTCTCATGGCAGTATGTCATCTGTGCTCGGTACCAATGAGCTTGATATACAACTCTATGCTAAAATGCAAAAAGGATAAAACTCCAGAAAAAGACCACTTCGCTGAGTTGCTGGTCAGAGAGCTTAATCTATGAAAACTCTCTCGAGATACTGGATCGCAAAGATGATAGGTTTATCCCTGAACCCCTTGCTGGACCAGGGAGAGTTCGACTTCACCCATATCGAGGTAGGTTGACCAACATCAGCTGCTCACTTTCAATGATTTTCTTATTCCATATCTTCGGAGAAAGACGGGCGTACTTGATTAGTATTAATCCTCCTCACATATTAGTTCATCTTTTTGCCACTTTGAGCACAGATGATGCAAAGATGAATGATGTTGAATTTCGAGAAAGCTTACACAAGATGTTCAATTCCTGACCTGGCGCAGATGGAATAGAAAAACCCGATATCGATTACTCCGATCCTAGCCTATTTCACTCAAACTCGCAGAGGATCAGGTCTTTGCGATCAAAGTGTTGGGTGGCCTAGCAAAAATCCCCGAGCCCCCTGCTCCGGTGACCATAGATCCGATGCTCCAGCGTGCTGGTGTGCTGGTGTCTCGTTGGAGGATATCTTGGATAAAATGTAAGACCACCAAGATCAACTCCGTATCATCCTCTTGACCTATACTGACCTCACGGGCGCCAGTAAGTCTAGCATCCCCTAACATTGCAGGTCATCAATTTCCTGTTCATAATCCTCCTCCCCCTCTCCGCAGTCTTGCCTCCCCTGGTAAAAGGCACATTCGTCTTAGAACGGGCTCCTCACATCTGTGAAGTTGCGCATGGAACTCCTTGGTTCCAACACCTTGACCAACACAACCCCCCATCCAGGAGCTCTTCCTTTGTCTAGAGGACATGTCCAGCCTGTCGACCGCGCTGTGTGGGACAACCGGCAGGATGAATGAGTTCATCTCTGAGATTAAAGCCTACAATAGTTGGGAGAAACAGATGACCAACTTTGGGTTGCTGGTGTCAGAGGACTTGCCCTCAGGGGCGGATTGGCGGTTGGATTCGTAGTGTCTAATCCTGTCGAGTGGGTGCTACCCGCGGTAGTGGCCGTAGCGTGGGCGGTGTTTGGGTATGACCAGGTTCGTTGAGGGGTTGCAGAAGAGGGAGAGAATGGAGATGGTTAAGGAGGGTGCATGCCCTATTTTTTTTTTTTGTCTCACCCCTGATCTGAATGTGCCTAACACGGAGTACTAGCGAGCCCTCTGGACCAGCTTGAACTCGCCATGAACAATTGGAGAAAAGCCACAAAAGATACCTCAAAACCATAGTCGTTTTGTCTGCTTCAAGCCCTTGGTGCTGATACTCAATCGTCGGCCGAGGAGGTCAAGAAGCAGCTGTTGAAATGTCTTGGGTCTCAGTTCGATCTCCTGGACCTTCCTGGAATACCGTCATGGAGCGCTGAAAATAACTTGGGAGAAACACCAGGAAGAGCCTGCGGGACTCTGCATGGCAAGCCAAAAAGATGGCCGAGATGGAGTAAACGGGCCTGCCGTTGCTGGAAAAGAGAGATATGTGCAAGTACTTTCATCATATGCATCACGTAACATTGAGTTTTTTTATTTTTTTTTTTTGTAAATAAACACTCTCCAATAAATGAGCGCACAACACACAAACAGCGCATGCTTTATTCAACCCGAAACCGGTTAAACCCATATGTATAGGGAATAGAACACTTGAAACCCTCCCCCCCCCCAAAAAAGACACACCGAACCACCACCCAACCTCTACCTGCTCCCCCTCTGCAACGGCCTAGCTTGCACATCATCACTCTCCTCCTCATCATCACTATCCCCAATCACATGCTGCCCGCTCTCCTCATCACTATCCCTCCTCGCTCTCGCCGGAGCAGGCAACTTCTCACCAACCCGAATCGGCGACCCGGACCCTCCACTGCCCTCTGGATGATCCCTATACACACCTCCAGCCTCAACCTCATCACTCTCCTCATCCGACTCACCGGCAAAAGCATCATACAGCTCGCCCCCTCTGGTCCTTCTCTTGCCAGTACCAGCACCTCCCACGCCCTTCTCTGCATCCCCACCAGGGCCATCCACATCATCTTGGTCGTTGAGCAGCTCAAACTCGTAGTCATTCCTCGGGTTGTTGCGCAGCCGCTTGCGGCGGGCCAGCCACAGGTAGATGCCCAGGCCGGAGCAAAAGAGGATGATGAGGACGAGCGAGCCGTATATCCAGGCTTGGGTCGAGGCCGAGACGCCGAACTTGGGGAGGAAAGAGGGGAGCCAATTGTTTTGGCTGGCGGCTGCTTCCGTGGGCTGTTCACTGCCGGCGGTTGATGTGGAGGTGGGTTTGCCGCCCTTGACGGGGCGGGTAGGCTGGTGGTTGAGGGCCGACTCGGGGATGGATGACGTCGGGTGGGCGTTGGCTGGGGCAGAGGTTGTGAACAGGGAGCCGACCGTGGTGGTCGGGATGGCGTCATGGTCGTCATCCTCGTCCTCAGTTGGCATAGGAAGGAGCTTGGCCTTCGCGGGGTCACGGCACTCGCCCCAGAGCTTAAGATGCCAGTCGATGAAGGTACCAGTGAAGGAGTTGACAATAGTGTCACGGACAATGATAGTCCAGGTGCCAACGCCAGATTCGCCCCAATGAGCAACACTCATGAAGGTCCAGTCGTCGTAGCCAGTCGTGGCGTCGTCAAACTTGCGGGTGACGGACAGATGGCTGACCACGTTGTGCGGACTTATGAGGTCGACGCTGAGGTCGCCGCGGCGGCCGTGCTCGACGTTCATCGTCACGGTGATATGCTCGACACGCTCGAGGTTGGCTTCCTTGAGCATCTGTTCAGTGACCTCGAAGGTGACAGCGATACCCTGGTCGCCCTGAGGGATGGGCTTCTTGACATGAATCCAAGGAGAGAAGAACCAGGCCTGCGGCTTGACCTTCTTCCAGGTCTTGGCAGCCTCAACGATGGCATAGCTGTCAAGCTTGCCGTAGCCGTATGTATGGCTGAACTTCTTGCCGATGGCGGTTGTCTGCCAGTCGGGCTCATCAAGGTTGACAGGAACAGCAGTGTCCATGGCAAGGTACTGCATATCACGCCACGACAGATCCGGGCGGACTTGCAGAACAAGCGCGAAGATACCGGCGGCGAGAGGGGCCGCAGCCGAGGTGCCGCCGTGGGTGCGAGCACACATGTTGGGGCCGACGTCGGTGGTATGGATATAATCGTCGCTGCCGCTGGAGTAGGTGACAACCAGGCCGGCTGAGCACTTCTCCGAGTAGTGAGGATGCAACCCTCTGCGATCGATAGCTCCAACAGTGATACTGTAGATACTGTTGGTGTAGCCGTCAAAATTGCAGTTATCGTCGTTTTGAGCACCGTTGCCGCTGGCGAAGACGTAGATCGACCCAAGACCGCCGCGACCGTTCTGGATGGCGTTCAACATAGCGCGCCGTATCAAGATGCCGGGGGCGTCCATGCTGCGACCGTCATCCGGCGGACCCCAGGAGCAAGAGTAGATCTGGTTGTGCTGGAAGTCGTAGTTGAGGGCCACGGCCTCGTCGGCATCGGAGATCAACTTGGACAGGATGCGCAGCCCAGCGACCTTGGAGTCGTACGCGACACCAACACCGCAGACGTCGTTGCGCACAGCTGCGACTTCGCCAGCGCAACGAGTGCCATGTTTGTCGTCCGACAGGCGAGGCTTGGGCTCCTCCGTCTTGTCGTTGAAGTCGTAGGAACCGGCAGCATAGTAATTGTCTTTAAGATCATTGCTGTACATGTCCAAGCCGTCGTCCACAATGGCGACGGTAGCATTCTTGCCAGTCACACCCTGAAGCCACAGGCCGGTGACGTTGACATCATGCCCGACCTGGACGGTGTTGAACAGATGCCACTGCTCGTTGAAAATGGGATCGTGGATACCCAGGACGTTGGCAATGTCCTTCTGGAGTTGGACTGCCGTCTCATCGGGAGAATCCCGGGGACGCAGCGGCGCGGGGCCCTGGCGAACAGGCGGGATGCGCTTCTGCCAGGGGCTGCGCAAGCGCTGCTTCTGGGAGAAGAGCACGCCATCCAGGACGTGCCGCTCACCTAGTGCTCGCCTCTTCTTTCTCTCCTTCAATTGTCTCTTCACAATATCCTGGTCGTCCTTTTTTGCGACGAATACATGGTGGTCGCGCAGCTCACCGAGGGGCCCTTCGTGGCGCAGACCCAGGGCTTTGGCGACGTCATCGGGTGAGGTGTTAGGGTCGAGGTGGAGGACATAGTAATCGTTATTATCCCAGTCGCGGGGCGCGATGCCGGCAGATATCGCGCCGGCCACGAGGCCGAGGAATGCAAACGCTGACGAGAGCTTCATCGTCAGAAGAGGGCTCGAGGGCCCAAAGGAAACTAGCTGTCGTGAAGGTGACTGGCGGCGGCAGACATGAAGGTCAGCGAGAGAGAGGTCGATGAAGCGACTGCGATCTAGTATTGCGCAGCCAGTAAGCAGGCAGCCCAGACCGGCGATAGCCTTGTCTTCGAGATCGACTCGTGTTCAAGGTGTTGTATATGGGAGGGAGATAGGTAGGGGTGTCCGTAGTATCGAGAACCAGGAGCCCGAAGACAAGAGGCAGAAGACAGGACCCGCCGCTGTTTCAAGTCGACCGGACTGGACCTTGAAGGTGCAACGCCTTTGTGTGACGGACGCCGGTACTTGGGAAGCAGAAAGCAAAACGGTCAAAAATCAAGGGGGAGTATTGAAGCCGTGCAACCGGTAAATCCACAATCGCCCAGCGTTCCCCCCTTGCATTCAGAGTCCCTCCTGAACTCGTGTGTCCCGCTTCCCCTGAGAGGCGACATCCAGGTGGAGAGGTAAGGTGGCCTTCCCGGTCGCGCCGTCGCCCTCACTTCAGCATTCCAGGTTGCTGCTTGCAAATGGCAAAGTCAAACAAAAACAGCCACGCATCGGCCACGCAATGCACATTCGCGTTCTCCACGCCGAGCGTCGAATTAGTGGATCCAGTTGCCGCCAATGCCAAGAGCTGGGTCTATCTCCGCTGGGTCCGCTAGCCCCAAGAAGTCTTGGGTGGCTTAGTCAGCTTATGGAATAGTGACCAATCAGAAATTTGATCTGTGTCAGCCTGTTTGGTCGATGATAGGCTGAAGCCACGGGCAGCTTCGCTTCTGAGGCTCGCCCCAAGCTCCTGTTTCTAGAAACAGGGCTGAAGCAAGTTCTGGGGGTTTCAGTAGCTCAGTAAGGTTTGGAAAGTGTGCGGACTGTTCAGAATTGGCTATCCCTTCTCTTTTGTTTAATCTATTATTTACTCCGAGTGTATAAAGGTACCTTGGAATCCTGGCAATGAACTCAACTTGAATCTTAGGTAAATGGTGGGAACAATAATCCGTAGAAGCGGTGCTTTCAATGTACGTCTCCATAGCTCATCTGCTGAGCCACAGAGACCGCGAATTTGATCTGCCGAAGGAAGGGGGCCCGGCGAGGGGGGGGGGGAGCGCGCGTGAGGGTTATAGTCTGCGAGATGCAGATCTGCTCCTTGCCCTTAATCCTTCACGCTGTTAATAGAAAAACTGCGTATATACAAGTTACGGCAGCAAGTATCCGTCCTACCCAACTGGATCTGTCGAGGGAATGAGTAATGAGTAATCCGTCCGGGGCTTCTTTTATATATCGAGATGTCAACTCCAACGACATCTGATTACCTGGCCCCATGTGGAGACAGGACAAAAGCATTCTTCAAGCACATCGAGCCCAGAAACAACCGCTAGCCATTAGAATTTTCACTGAACCCTATGATCAAAACACAGCCGCTGTAGAGTAGCCCCCAATCTTCCTTACCTACCTAAGCAACATAACATCCATTTGAACCCTACTAGAACTCCCAAAAGCACAAGTCCCGTCGTCCATAGAGAACATAGGTATGCTCCGCCAGCCAGCCAGTTGGGTTCATGCAAACCGATGCGCATATTTCCTCAACACCATTGGAACATCACCGCCCAAATGCCTGTGCGTAACTATGCCCATCAACCCTTCCAAAACCCCTTGTTCAACCCAGCCACCTGGGCAGCAACCTCGACTTCGGCTCCTTCCCACGCTTGTTTTCGCTCCCCGGTCAAAGGGATAATCACCACATCATCGTCATCGTCATCCTCCTTTTTCTTACCGTCTCGATTCCTCTGCTTGCCCTCCAGCCGGTCAACATCCCTCTAAGATGTGTCCGCGCTCTTGACAGCCCCCTCTTTCTCCATCTCCCTGACAAACCGCTCCCACGTCTCAATAACACCGTCATAGAACCCAATATGCGCGTCTACGAGCCCAGCAAACTGCCGTTTGAACTCAACCCGCTTGATCCATTCAAAACTCTCCACCTCCTTAACCACCTGCTCGGCAAACGCATCGGCCTCCTTCCTCGCGTTCTCAACCTCCCTTGTCAGCTCATCAATTCTTAACTCCAGCTTACGCTGCCTGTCCCTACGGGCTTGCTCGTGGTCGACACCGCGGAAGTCCTCAACCTTTGACCGGAGGAACCCGCTTGCCCCGCCGAGCGCGGCCGCGCTAAAGGAGGAAATCATCCCGCCACCAATGCTGCCCGACTGCATCGCGTCGCGCTCGGCAGTCGACTTATTGAGATATTCGGTGAGTTGTTCGTAGTCGAGCTGCTTCTGCTCACGTGCCTTGAGAAGGTTCTTCAGTGCCCCGCTGTAGGCGACCATATCCCTCAAGCTGCCAACGTAATCCTGGTCGGTATGGTCCCTGAGCTTCTTCAATCCAGCAGCTGTATCCTCCACAGAGGCAGCAAACGCCCTCACAGCGCTCTCGACGCCCGGCTCGAGGGTAATTAGCTTTTGGAACTGCTCAGCCAGCTCGCGTAGGTCTGTCTCGAGATCAGCCTCGCGGCGCGCAACCCGCGCAACGACCTTCTCAACAAGGTTCAGGTCCTCATCCAGCTTATCCGCCTTCTCCTTCACCTCAATAAACCTCCGATCCGGCTTATGCACCTTGGTAAAGGCGTTCATCAGACTATCCGCAAAGCTGTCAAACACGCTCCCTCCTTGGCTCTGGCCGTCCCCACCAACCCCAGCCCCGCCCAGTCCCCCGCGCTGGCTCCGGGTGCGCATAATAGCATTCCAGTCAGGAGACTCAAGGAACTGGTGCAAGATGCTGGCGCGGCGCAGGATGGGGTGCAGCGCCAGGCGGGTCAGGAAGCGCTGGAGAGAGTAGGCGCGGCGCGCAGTAAAGTCTGGGCCGAACCGATCGCCGCGAACGTATTCCATGCGCTGCTTATCGGGCAGAGGGGGCACAGCGCAGCCCTGGTACTCCCGGGTCAAGACCTTGTAGAGGAAGACAAAGTCGGTGAAGCGGCGGCGGACTTGGGTTGTTGGGCGTTGGAAGGTTGAGAAGGTGGTCTGGTTGCGCTATTAGTGAATGACCTCAACCATTGTATCTCTGCCCAGAGGTAGACATACATGCGTAGTAATCAAATACGACACATAAGCATCCTTCGTCCCGTCGTTCTCTTTGTGCGGCTCGGTGACCGTACACTCAAGGATGTCGCCACCGACGCGACTGAGGGCTGCATCTCTCCTGCTACTGCTACCAGCGTAACCAGGGCTGCCACGACTGTTATTGTTGTCTTGGGGCGACGATCGCGAGGTGCTGGGCCCCGCGATGTCGTTCTGATCGCTGTGCCACGAAATGTTGGAGAAGTTGTCCTGGTCGAGGACGGCCATTTTGGCTCAAACTGTTAATGAAGAGCGCGGTCCGACTGTAGTGCCGGACCGTGTTGCGCTCGAAGCGTAGGTTGTTGTTTTCAGGATAAGTCGAGGCAATAGGTAAATAGGTGAGTAAATTGTGGGTGTCTGGGCGAGGCTGGAATGATTGACGGTTGTGTGGTTGCGCAGAGGGGCAGCTGGTCGTGGACCCGAAGCGAGTTCGGCCGGGCGGTTGTCAGGGACCGTAATTCGGTTCGGGGAGAAGGACTCGAACTTGGAAATTTGATTTTAACAGGATATCAACGCTGAAGTTTGTGCGAGGAATAAGCGTTCGAGCGAGGGAGGAGGGCGTCAAGAGTGTTGGCGATGGCGGTGCTCGGTGCTCGGTGCTTGGAGTGTGAGGGATTGACGTATGATGGTGGGGGAGTTCAGCTAGTCGTGTTACGGGCAGGGGTTTGGTATGGTACGGTAACAGTTTACATACTTTGTTACGCAGCAGGACGGATGATGAGGTATGGTAAGGGAGAGCCCCGGCAACGACGCCGCATGCATTTGCCCTGTCAAACGTCCCGAAACTAGAAACATCATCGAGATAACCGCCACAATCGCTATTGCCGGCTAGATACACCATTGATGAACGGTGATTTGGACTGCTATCCACGCTATCTATGATGAGAGATGAGGTCTATAGTAGTCGCCCGTGTCCGTGATAACAAACGAAAGAAGCAATATTATAAACAACAAGACGACCGAACCAAACGCAAAAGCCCAACTCCAAAAACCACTACCACTGCCGGTTGGCCCGCTGTCTGATATAACATACAGAATCTTCATCATCGCTCCGCCATGTGCCTAATGTATGTCACAAAATTGTACACCGAAACATGACGCAGGGAAAGCCAGCCAGCCGGTTCCGTTCTCATCCACCTCCCCATCCCAGCCGTTTACTTCTCACTGGCCTTCGCCTCGGCAGACGCAGCAGCCTCGCGCTGCGCGTCTATCCTCTCGGCCTCAGCGGTCTCTTTCTCGGCTGCGATGGCCTCGCTGACTTGCGCTTTCTCGATACCAGCCGCCTCAGCAAGCTCATGACGCTGCTGCTCTTCTTTTTCATCGATATCCTCGGTATCGCGTGGCGTGGCGAAGCCGGTCTTCTGGTTCTCCTCGTTCTGCTCCAGCTCTTCGTTGATCAGCTCCTGCTGCTCCTTGATGACCTCAAGACGCTGCTTATTGGTGGCAGCACCCTCGGCGTTGTGCACCTCAAGCTCGATCTCGTGGAACAGCTCTTCAGGGATCGACGACAGCACGCCAAGCAGGGCATCAATCTGCGTCGCCGACGGGCCACCCTCGGCCTCAGCTGACAGCGTCTGGCCGTACATGTAGGCATTGCTGAGAACCAGCAGGGTCGACGGCACACCATCGCGCAGACGCAGGTCCAGCCACGTCTGCAGGTCCTCGCGTAACCTGGCTGGAGACACACCGTAGCTCTTGATGCCACGGGCCGCGCAGGCAGTCTGGAGCTCGGACACCGATAGGCTGTCGACGCCCTCGTAACTGATGGCGCGGTCGTCACGCTTGATCTGACGCATGCGGTGGCGGATCTGGTAGCGCAGCATCATATCGGTACCGAAGGTATTGAGGTTGAGGTAGCGACACATGGACACCAGCTGCGGCCGCGACAGGTTGTCCAGGGTCAGGTCGTCCTTGAAGATCTTGCACACCTTGATCACGTCTTCGGCCGTCGGCTTCTCACCAGTGGACCGCAGCTTGCGGAAGAACTCGGTAAACTCTTCGCGCTGCGTCGTCGCCTGCGTCAGGGGCAGGCCCGTCTCCTTGAGGGTCTGGCGAAGGAAGTCGCTAACCTCCTTGCGAGTGGCACGGAGCATCTGCGCCTTTTTCTCCCTCGACTTCTGGCCCTCGTACGTGCTGGGCAGCATATTGGGGAACAGCTTCAGTGCGACGGGCAGCAGCAGCTCGGCGAAGGGCACGATGACGAAGACTGAGAAAGGCACCAGCCGGGCAAGGTCCTGGACCGTACGGCGAAGCTGGCGGCTCTCGCGACGGGTGAGCTCGTAGCCGGCGGCCATCTTGAGGGCCAGGCGCGAGCTAATCTTGACCTCGGCGGCCAGCAGCTTCGTGCCATCCCAGTAGTGCTGCAGTTCTTTCTTTATCTTCTGCCCAATCGTCAACTTTTGCTCCTTCTCCTTCTTGGCCTCCGTCTTCTCTGGGACCGCAGCCTCCTTCGCCGCCGTGGCGAGCTGGGTGGGGGACGGGACGCTCTCGCCGGCCGGAGCTTCCGACGCAGCGGGCTTGGCAGCCTCCACAGCCTTCACCGCCGGCTCACCGACCTTGATCGGCTTCGGCTCCAGCTTCGGCAGGGGCTTCGTCACCGTGATGGGCTCCCTTGGAAGAGGTTTCTTAGCCTCCTCTGGGTTGAAGCCCGGCGGCGGACCGGCGGGAGGACCGGCATGAGTGACGGTCTCTGTGGTGAGGGTGCGGACTGGAATGAGAAGGGCGGATGCCGGGCCGTTCAGCGCTAGCCCCTGGGCATTGCGGGCCAGGAGAGCTGTTGTGGCAAGAAGAGTAGACCTGGGCAGCGTACGGCCTGCGCGAGGAATGTCAATATCGATGCTACGCAGGGAGAAGAACGCAAAGCTATGGAGACATACCAGTGCCCAGGAAGGGGTTGACGACCAGCGCCCGACGCGCAACTCTCGTGGAAGCGCTCATGGCGGCTGTCCAGGGTGGTGAGAAGGGGTAAAAACGAAAAACGACGTGGCGCACAGGGTTGTTAATCGGGCAGAAGACGCCTTCCGAACTGAGGATAAAAGCTGGACGAGCTGGACGAGCTGGACAAAGGTTTCGCGATGGAGGAGCTGCTTCACGGAGTCGTTGGCGCGACGATATTGATTCGCTGCGGCAACAGGCGATAAGTCAACAAGCGGTCGTCGAAACGGGTCAAAGAGCAGTAAGAGGACGGACGAGGGCCGGAATTTGCGGAGGGAGAACAAGATTGACGGGAGCGGAAGCGTGGGAAGAGATGGTTACGGAAAGAAGACGAGAGACAAAGGACGAGCGAGAGCAGGCCGGTAGAATACAGGAGCAAGATGCGGCTTATGAGGGAGTGAAAGAGGAAAGTAAATTACCAGTTAGAGCAGTGTCGGCATTCGCGTCAAGCGAGGGTCTGGAGGGTGTTGGTGGATTGAGAAAGCGTGGATGTTGGACAGCAAAGAGTGCCAAAAAGGGCCAAAAGGGGCGCAAGTGACATCAAAAAGCAGGCGTTTCGCTCTGTTTCGCTGCCGCCAGCTCCGCCAGCTGCTTGGCTACCAGCGCTGCAAACGGCCCCACTGTCGCCCCAACAGGGTCAGTTGGCGAGTCAGGGTCCGTCACGTCACGTGACTCGCTTTCGCCCTTGGGCCTTGGGGCCTTGGCGCTTTTTTGGGAGGTCCTCCTTGGGGAGCCATGGACCATCCATGTCGCGAGCGTAAGAGTACGCAGCGGGAAGCGACGGGCATTCGACGGAATTGTGGTCATTGCCGTGGACGTCGACATCGGGTTTTGTCGGGCACACACACATGATGCAAAATTTCAAGGTTTCAGGATCACGCATGCTTTGCTCTGGCACTGCTCTTGCGCAGCTGCTAGTGACAAATGCTGCCACGTCTACGAGGCCGACCAGTTGTTCCGGACAACTCGATCAGCTGTGGACAGTTGTGCTGCCTGTGTAAGGCTTGCACCGAGGAACAAGAGTCTGGAACCTAGTCCCAGATTTGCGATCTGGCTGTCAAACCGGGATCAATTGATAAACTGATATCGCCTTAACAGCTTTATGCGCGAACTCCACCAAATTCTGTTAGCGTTTCAGAACAAAGCACCAGCCAAGCAACAAACTTAGACAAGCTGGCTTCATCGGATTGTCTGACTTCTGGGACGGCGCGAAATGCGAGGAAATGCGGCTCCAGTAATCTTCAAAAAGAGATCGCGAACTCTTTTGAGTGCTGCACGATTGTGCGGACGCAGTCTTCGATCCAGACTCGCAAGAGGCATAACTATAAAGATCCGAGCGCGCAAGCCGGTCCTGGAGTCTGTGGAATGCGATATCGGGGCTTCTGGGCAGACACTCCGTCTCAACTGAACGGTTTTGGTCAGCAGGCTAGCCTTATAGCCTTATTAATTCCACGCTAACCAAAGCCTTTTGTTCTGGACGCGTGCGTGAAGAAACGGAAAGAAGCGTCATCAACACGTTTTTCTGCCAGCTCTCTCTTGAACTCACCTTCCAAGACATCCTCGTCTCCTCCCTCGAACTTGTCGGAACCCCTCCAAGCATGGATATCCACTACCCGCCCCATCACAGCCCCGTGCTGATTACAAGATACGGATACAAAGGCTGGCTGCAGATCTCAGTCCTCGGCATGAAGCGGACGCTGGGCATACTCTGCTCAAGTCGCTGTCAACAAGCTCTCCACACCTCCTGGCGCTCTGCATGTTCTGTAGGCCGATGCAACCCCTTAGCAAGAATTCTCTGGCATCACTGCAATACTCCCAGCTACCTACAAACCCAAAACAACTTTGCTGGTATCGCACCAAGATAACAAAGTCTCACACTCCAAGCTCTTGCACTCAAAGACAGTTCTTCAGCTCAGAGCTTGCTGTAGTGGCTTCCTTCCAATTACTATCCTCCTCGTGAAATAGAGTTTATACCTGGGATCGCGAATCTCGCGACGGAGGTGAGCAAGGTACACCTGTACTTCTTCGTGCGTCCAGCCTAGTACCGAGTGCCAGATATGGAGAACATATCCTATCATTATCGAATCAGCACCAAAGCACCGTCCTTACTCAAGTAACTAGGATAATAGCAGTGATTAGAGACTTACCGTCCATATCGTTCTCAAAAGCGGCCTTGGTAACTATACCGGCCTCCTTCTCTCTGGGGTCTTCAGGCCACGGACCATAGGGGCAAAGAACATCTTTGACCTGGATGTCCACAAACCCTGCCTCCTTCATCAGCTTTTCTTGCAGGTTGTCCTCAACCAAGCGAAACGTTCGTCCGCTCTTCTCTCCGCCAGCATGCCACACTTTGTGCCATTGCCCCATAGCGCTTGTTTCCGGAATTTCGGCATTTACTGCCTTCCAGCACATTTCAGTTTCCTGGTTCTCAAGCCAGCCGCCAGGCTTCAAACAGCGGTAAGCTTCGCGGAAAAACTTTCCCCAGTCAAGAATATTGCCGACTAGGGTCCGAGCGTGGATGAAATCGAATGAGTTGTCTTCTCGTGCCCAAGTTTGATTACAATCCTCGATCTCAAACCGGACATTAGGAGGGACCCAGGTAGGCTGGATCGGGGTAATATCGGTCCCAATTACTTCAGCATTGGGATATAGATCGCCAAAATCTCTGGCAACGATATTGTTAGAGCCCGATTAAGCAGCTCTTATAGAAGCTGCTTGAGAGCTTGTTAGCTGACTTACATGGCCCAGGCACCTGTGCCTGTACCAATATCAAGGACCTTCTTGGGGTTATTGACTGGGGCCAGAAAGAGTTTATCACCAAGCACCAACGTATTCATGATGTGGCTATCCCAGAGATCATTAATCAGCACACTCATCCAACTAACATGGCACTCGAAAACTCATATAGACAGTACGCCTCAAGGTGGCAAACGGGTTAACAACTTACAACAAGTCCATGCTTTCAGCATGCTTATCATCATTTGGTTCCCAGGACTCCGCGTCACCGATCTCTCCATGGTATGTTCTACCATGCAAAACTCGGTATCTGCGGATACTACTTGCCAGAGACGTTGTCTCGCTCCACAGTGTTGAGCTGAGCGTTGAATCAGCATCGTCGTCGGGTACGTCCGGGAGCTATACGTGCCTAAGTGTCAGTTAAACCTCGCCCTCGACCAGCATAGCCGAGTTCATCTCTGAAGACAATCTATACACCGTACATACCTTGGTCTTTTGCCAATGTGAAGCCGGAAGAATTCCGGGAACGGAAGATTCTTCGGTTTTTGGCGAAGCAGTAGACGTGCCTTCCGCCTTCTCACCCATTTTGTTCGCGATTGCCTTGTGTGCTGGAGCAAGATAGTAGAGCTGAGAAGAAAAGAAATCTTGCTTGCCAATGTCCCCGCAAGTATATCTAGTTACTCGGTGGGCGTTCTTTATAGACTTTATCTGCTGATCACTTGTGGGGTTGTGGCCATGCATGATCACCGTGTTGCAAGCTATCAGTCATTCGCCTGCCCCCGGAACACTTTGGCTCATGCCAGCGAAACTGAAACACAGCGTCACATGCAGAGAGACTTAATATCTTGCAGACTGCATGGGTTTAAGTTCAGGGTCATCGAATGGGAGCACGGGTTACTGGTGGTTTCCCATCCATGTTTTGACCCTTGGATGTATGCATTTGGCATGCCGCATGTATTATTAACTCGTTAGTTGTAGGTTGCAGAGACGAGACATGTTGGGACATGGTACGTAGCTGGTAACTCGTGTAAAGCACCTGCTACTTTGCAAATTTACACCGTGTCTGTTATTCTCCAACGTGAAGATGGCAACTGCCATCACAACAACTTGGCATACTTCTGCAGGTGCCGAGTTGCAAACATCATCCCAACTAAATCAACATCTCGAAGAGCCTGAGCCTAGTCACGTGACATTGCATTGCGGACCGCGCCGTGCCGCTCAACCGCAACGCGCCAAGGTACCCTCCGTTTTGTAACCGTTTCCTGGTTAGGTTGTACGGCCCGTCGGCTGCACATGCGTGTTAGTGGTCCAGTCGGGAAACTCCCGCTCGTCGTCTCATACACCAGAGCCCCTCCATCGCTTGCTCCCAACTATTGGCACACGTCGGCCGCCCTCTCTGCCATTCTTTCGTCTGCATTTCCCCTCCTGCTTGCCTATCTGCACGGAGCTTTCATCCGCGCAGCCACCATCGCACATACACTCACAAATAATGCGTTTACGAACCGCCGCCCGAGTCATCCTGGTGGGGGCACCGGGAGTAGGGAAGGGCACGCAGTCACAACGCCTCCTCCGACGTTTCCCGCAGCTGTCATCCATCAGCTCAGGGGACCTGCTCCGGTATCATGTCAAGGAGCGGACTCCTCTCGGTGCGTAGACCTCTCCGGTATTTACGCCTGTCGTCCATCATCAGCCCATTAACAGCATGCCAATGCAGGAATCAAAGTTGAGGGCATCATGAAGAGTGGTGGGCTGGTCCCGGACGAGCTCATCCTTCGCCTGATCACGAACGAGTTTCATACGCGCGGCTGGCTGCGCCCGGCCAACCCGGCTGACAGCGTCATGACGCTGGCCTCGTCAGTCATTACGAACCACAGCGCTACTACAGAGCATTCCCGAACCGTCGCCGAAGAAGCCGATGCCTTCATCTCCTCCCCCTCCCACGCGCGAGGCTTCCTCCGGCCGCAAATCAACGACGACCCCTCGGCGTCCTTCCTGCTCGATGGTTTCCCACGCACACAAAACCAAGCCGAGCGCCTGGACGAGATCGTTCCCATCAATCTCGCCGTCTGGCTGAAGACCCCTCTCGAGGTCATTCTGGAGCGTATCTCCGGCCGCTGGGTACACGAGCCATCGGGCCGGGTCTACAACGACTCGTTCAACCCGCCCAAGGTGCCCGGTCGCGACGACGTAACAGGCGAGCCGCTGGCCAAACGGGCTGACGACAGCGAGGAAGTGTACCGCGCGCGCTGGGCCAAGTTCCTCGAGACCAGCGAGCCACTGCTCGAGCACTACGCCAAAAAGGGCGTGCTGTGGGAGGTGGAGGGCATGAGCAGCGATGAGATTACGCCAAAGTTGTTCGCCGAGTTTGAGCGGCGGTTTGCCGAGTAATGTTGTCCTTCTTTTCTGTCGTGTCGTTTTTAGCTGTTCTTTTATCAGTACCGTTTTGAAGCGTTCGAGCTCAGCATGCGAGGCTTTTTGTATTCCTAAGCACCTTCTCAACGGTCGGTAGACGGTGGCGGGATGCTGCTTTCATGCTGGATGGCGCTAGGCGTTATGGGTGACGGTGAGCTCGGCTCCTGTCTTGACTGGGTTCTTTGGTTCTGCTGCTGCTTGGGTAGCGTGTTAATATTGAGGGAATGTCGAGTAGGCGTGCTGAATTCAACCTGTCTTGCATAAAGGGAACGGGATTGGCCAGCAAATTAAAATAAGGTTTACTGCTCGTCATTGAGGTTAAACATATTACTGCTGCCTTATGTTCGGCTGAGTGGAGTCTCGTGTGATCGCTAAGCTCTCCCAATTCTTCGGTCCAAACTCATCCGCCTATCGCAGTATCCTAATGATCAGGTGTTGTGTGCATGAAGGGAGAACTCTCATACCCTCCGGTCGAGCGCCATCTCCCAACCCATGAGTGATGGTCTCCCACGGCTCCAGTATCCGATCGTCAACCTCTGCGCAGCGATATAATCCAACTATTCCTGCGTCACGGGCCTCTCAGCATCCCCTTTCTCCATCAACCAGTGGAGGAACCGCTTCTCGCCGTTTTTTCACAGCTTGTCAGCAACAGCGCTCAGACCACAGCCACGTGTGTTAGCATCCCTTTTGTGGAAGCCCCATAGCTCGTCGAACCTGGGCCACTCCGGAAAGAACGGGTAGGGCTGCGGTCCTCAAAGCGTGAGGTAGCGCCGAGTACGACGTTCTCTTTGCTTGCCCATCTCCTAAGGATGCTGAGCTGCTTTGCGGCGCACCGGGCTGCTTCCTTCGTACGATAAATGGTATAGGGGATGTCCTCCGGGGGAGTAGAGGAATTGACTTTCTGGAGATCATGGACATGGCTTTCTGGCTCCGCCTTGATGACGGAGATGTAGGCGGTGAGACATTCGTAGATACGGTTCTTTGTTGTGAAATGGTGGTTAGAGGATTGGAAACAAGCGATCATTAAAAAGCCCACATGAGCTCAGCGGGGTTTACTCACCGTAAGCTCCCGGGGGTAAACTCTTGGAGTTTGAAAACACTTCAGAGTAGAAGCAGGCAAGGTCATGGCTATGTTTAGTGCGAAGACATCCACTGGACCAGAAGAAAACGTAAGAACAAGTAGTGGGAGGAGAGAGAGACCGCATACCAAACACGGGTAAATAGGCCCCTCGAAGCCAAACACATGCGAGACCAAAAGGAACTCCAGTTGGTTTCGCATAGTTCGTCTTATAATTCTCAGGGTTCCAGTCGAGATGAATAAAAGCGCTCTCCTTAAAAGAAGGGCGGTGGCGTTTGTACTCGCGACACAGAATAGCCAAGTTGCGTATAGTTTGCAGGCTGCTGATGTTCAGAAGCGCGAACCCGTGAACCATGCCAAGTAAGATTTCCAGAGCTCGAGGAATTCCAGGAATAAACTCAACCACAGCCGGATGGCCAGGCCGGATTCGGCTCAAGAGTGCCTATCTTGAAAGGCTTCTCAGAGTACGTGTATGCGCTTATCATGGCGATTTACATAATTCTCAGCTATTCTGGACTAATCTTTGTGAGAACCTCAACTCGAGAATCTCGGGACTATGAGCGTCAACGAGCTCTAACACGGCGGGTTCGAGTGAATCTAGTTTGGTACGTACCGATCAAGGTCTCTAGGAGGGTCTGGCCATGGGTTAATCAATTAAGTCGAATCCAGCCCCACTCCAGCCCTGCCAGCTACGAGCTGCAGCAGGGGCCGGCTTGGCAGCTTGTCTCTTGGCGCCAAGCCCAGATAACCCTGTCTCTGGAGCTTAACAACTGTTCAATTGGTCTGAAGCAAGCAACACCAAAACCACAACAACGACAACCACAGCGATTCTCGAGACAACCATCTCGTTGCCACCTTATTTCCTGCGACTGCCCGACTTGCAGAGCCCGACTTACCGACAGCCCCCGGCACATGGATTCGTCACTGCATGAGGTCTGGCAGGCCGCAGCTGGCTCGCCCTTTGTACCCCTCGTCGGAAAGGGCAGTCAATTCCTGGTCGCCTTCTTCCTACTGCTGCTGGGTTTGTCACTGGGCACTGCCTTCGCCCTGAGTACGTTGCCAATTTTTATGGAAATGAAAATGTATATGCTAATGCTGGTTATCAGACCGTTCGCTCCTGAACCTGCCTGTCCTGGCCTTCCCGGCATCTCTAGCCCTTGCGTACGTTCGTCCCAAGCTTTCACACAATGTTGGATCGTGTCTGACCTCGGTTTAGATTTGGTGTGGTGTACATGTTTTGCGCTGTTGGAGTTTACGTCTAGATACCCACGGTCGCGAGTCTGTATCATAGGGGTTCGGTCTAAGGAAATCGATTTTACAAAGGGGCCACAGGGATAATATTTCCACAATCTTAATCACAACCTTGCTTTCCTGTCAGCCATATCCATGGACTCCCAGGGTTCTCCAACACCTCTGTTCCGGGCGGTCGCCAGCTCGACAAGGCCCCTCTACCAACTCCTCAAGGCCATCAACTTTACGAACAAGGTACATGTCGACATAACAGAAAACGGCCTGAGGTTTGCCGCAGACCATGCCCGGGTTATGCAAGGTAGCTACTCCTTTGTCTGGCCTTCTGCACTAGACATCTCAGTGTTGACCCGTACCCAGGAGTCGCGCACTGGAATAAAACCCTCTTCACCTCCTACACGACCAACTTCCCGTCCAACCCTCCAGCTGAGGACGCTAGCTCAGAAGATGACAATGAGGCCGCCATCCCATCTTTTCAGATCTCCCTCCCCGCGCTCCTCGAAACCCTCCAAATTTTTGGCGCCGTCGACGCCGCCACACGCCAGGCCAAGGCCGACGTCGACCCCTACCGAAGCAACCTACGCAATTACCGCTCCGACGCCTTCAGCGCCCAGACCCTTGGCATGTCTGGTACCTGCTCCCTCAGCTACCCCCAAGAAGGCGGCCCCTTCAGCATCGTCCTTGACGAAGCCGGTGTAAGCACCACCTGCAACCTGACGACCTACGTCCCTGAAACCCCAGACGACATCCCCTTCAACCTGGAGGACATCTCCTTTAAGATCATCACGCAAGCACGCTACATCCTGGACGCCCTCGCCGAGCTGGCTCCATCTAATCCGGAGAAACTCACTATTGCTGCGTCGCGATCTGAGCCCTACCTTCGTTTCACCAGCTCGGGTGGTGCCCTCGGCTCGAGCACGGTCGACTTTGCTAAGGGCAAGGACCTGCTCGAGACATTTTCTGTAAATGGGACCAACGGCAGGCGGAAATGGATGCAGACATTCAAGTTCGACATGATCAAAGCCGCCACCGAGGCGATGCGGATTGCGAGCAAAGTGAGCTTGCGTGGGGACGGCCAGGGCGTGTTAAGTATGCAGTTTATGGTGGAGATTGAGGGATGTGGGCCCAGCTTTCTGGACTTTCGGTTTGTGCCGTATGCGGTGTGTGAGGAGGAGGATGAAGAGGAGAACGAAGAAGAAGTTGGAGAGAGTGAGGAGGACGATGGGGACAAGGAGTAAGAGGAAGATCGGCAGTCATGCAGTTTGCAGGTTTTGGCGTTGCTGGATCTTGTACTTTGATTTCGAATAAAACTTGACCGGATCACAACAAAACCAATCTTCGTAGATTAGAACTTGAGGTGCATATCTAGTGGTTCTGGTTCATCTTTTCCCTGGCCAGAATTCTCTACATGTATCACCATGCTTGATGCCTTGTTGCCAACCCTTTTTTTTTTTACCGGACTCATCATTTCGAGAGAGCGTATGCAATTATCTGGATATGTATCGTCATACACCATTCACAAAAACATCAACATTAACGGGTCTGAGTTGAGCCTACAATGTGGGTTTCCAAAGACCTGCTTCCATGCCCAATCCAAGCATACCAGGTTGCCGATGAGCAGACGGTGCAAGTGCATCTTCAAGGCTACCTCTGCAACAAATCTGCGACCTCTCAATCCAGCGTCATCAGGTTTCTTTCTGCCCAACTAAATACATAGGTTCTGCTTGTCATCAGCTAGGCAGACTTTTTTTGCATCCAACAGCAGCAATAGATACAACCTAATGCGGCAACGATATAATAAACCCAAATGGCCTCACTAATCGACTGTATATGTTGGCTTAACACTCAAAGCTTCCGTTTCTCAAGTTCAACTTCCTACTTGGAGTTACTATTTACTTAAATTCACGGTCTGCACGTCTTTAACAACGTCAAAACACACTAACCTTTACCTCAAGCTCCGTCACCTTCACTGTCTAATGTCTCACTAGCAACCCAATCACTGCTAAAACAATGGCCACGTACACCTACCAGCTGGTTCCGGAGCGCACTACATGTGTGCTTCATCATGGATTAAGGCCCCATTATGACTCCCCTCTTGTTGGAGGCTTGGAGAACTATCCTCTCTCTGTGAGCCTGCTCGCAATGACTGATCTGTCGACCCACCTGCTGACTTATATACATGTTTCCCCTATGCTTGGGGAGTAGTGACAAACCTGCAATCTCTTTTTATGTTATTCAGCTTCTGCCCCCTCAGATGGCAACAATGATCTTTTCACCCTCCCAATCACGGCCTCTCTCGGCTCATTGCTCCAATGCTATCACAGCCGCCGCACCGGACACTTCTGGCAAGGAGGTAGGTAACTAAGCACGCTGTTCACCTGATCTACCTTCTGCTTCATCTTCTGTTGACCACCATTGACCGAAGCTGCCAGGTTGCAGACATGTCTACGCCAATTCAAAACGTGCAGCCTGCATTTCGAAGCCCTCAGTGACATCCATGCTATTTGTTTCGAAGATGTGTGCTCGACCTTGGGCTATCCCAAGCCAACTCATCAAAGCCATCCTCAGCCATGAATATCGAGTTTTTTGCCCCCATTGGTATGCAGCCTAACCTTCACACTAAAATTTTATGCTTGACTTCCATTAACACCCTTATAAGAGGGAACGATTCGCATTTTCCGCGACTTTTGCCTTGGAGAAACATCTTGTCGCTTGATGCGTGACCAACTCCCACTCATTGTATCGTGCTATATCATCACCAGTTTGTCAGTGGATAATGCTAGCTCCCTAACTCCCTTCGACTTATACCCCAATTTTGACAGGATCTGCGTTGCATTCGACACGATCTTTGAACCTGACAGACAAAGCTTTGCCATCCTTTCATAACATATATTCAGAGAAACATGACGCCCGAGAGGACGACTGTGGACAGGATCTGCTCATCTGGGCAGATGCAGTATGCATCTACCAAGGGGATCTGCACAAAAAAGGTCGCCAGGTCGCTTTCATGGGGGATATATATTGCCTTGCTAAGAGAGTGGTGGTTGATTGTGGAGAAGAGAATGAAACTATTGCGTCCGCCTTGTGGCTAATCACCTTGAAGTGGCGTAAACCGGTCTGGAAAGGTGTCTTTGTCCCTTTTCCTCCCGACGCACCTGGTAAGCGACACCGAGGCTAAAACTGGTGCCACCACAAAAGATGGTGTACATGCGGCAAGTGGGAGGATAACCGGCAGGAGCTGTTAGGGACCATGTTCACGTTTGACAAGACTGTCCGAAGTGTCTTTATCCATGGAGAATGTGAGTAAAGGGGGCTTCAGTGTACCGCGCATGGTTTAGGGAGAGACGGGTGTCAGTAATTCGGTTATTGCCTTTCGCATATTTGCAGAAGCAGCCACTACATGTCATGAACGCCCTGGCGTGATCGATGTATTTGAAGAACTGCGTGAACTATGCGAAACTGGTCCAGCTGATTTACCCCATCTTACTCAATCCTTCAGAGATTGGATGCTGATGAAACCTTTGCCAATTCTTTATGGATCGCTCATCAAATTCAATCTCGCACTCTCTACAAGAAGAGAGGTTTTTACTATACTCTGATAGGATTGGTTGGTGACATTAACACCAGAGATCATCCCGAACCCCGCCCCGATTACATCTCACCAATTGAGGCTACCATAGCGAGATTTGGGGGGGAGGGGGGTTGTTCTTTTGGAAGCAAGGTCATGGCTCAAGTACCACTGAGGACCGGACTTGCAAGGGGAGTCACCCCCCAGTGTGCCTTCATGGATTCAAGACTTCACACTCACACACCATGAGAGATATCACACATTTGGACGATGGAGGCAACTACGCAGCGCCCACAGAGCTTCTTTAAAACCCTTTCCCACTATACTATCACTCCTGGTCTCGAGTGGATGGTGACCATGGCTTGAGAGTCGTCGTTCTTACTGAGATCCCCCAGCAGCCGATGTGTCGATGTAAGCTATTGCCTCCTGTCTTCTCAACGATTCCTCGATTTTACAAAGCGCAAACAAGTTAGCTCCTCTTCTCAGATATATATCCCACAGTCCCACGATCTCCGGGCAGCTTATGGGGTTAGTTTGGACTTTTCAGGAAGTCTGGCTTTTGGGAAGCAGGGGTAGATTTTTATGATATCATGTTCTGTGGATAGGAATGTTTAACATTGATATATCTCATGAAGAGCTCATCCCAACTCTACGAGGCACTCATTGGCTTGCAGTTTGTCATCGGGATGCTAGCACAATGGGTGCCATTGTTCCCTTGGTCAAAGTAGACCGCGCGACAACGGTATACAGTCATCCATCGATTTCGCCAGGGTTAGAAAGTTACTGGAAAATCCCCCAAAAACATGATCTCGGACGAGGAAATTATCTTGAAGTTTCTGATGGGCTGTAGTGTTGTTTCTTAATCTTCAAATTTCACCACTTGATAAGAACGAAACGAGGGCGGATAGCTAGTGTCTCAACGTTGTGTACGATCCAGACAGACCTCCTGAGATGGGTTCGAGAGATGCCAGGCGGCTGGACTGAGAGACAGAGGAGTTCTCAGTTCTCACACAACCAAAGTGGCCGTTGTGGTCACCAGCTGGTAAGCAACCGTTTGTATTGCTGACTGGAGAGCTTCTTGGGCCAGATGGTCCTGCCTGGAATCTATATACATTGGCTCTTGTAGCTTCCCTTGCTCCTTCCTCCTCAATGGCACAGACCGTTGAGGGTCAACATTTTGGGTGGTGAGGATCAATGCCTCTTGGCTTTGAGGAACGCCTCCCAATGCTTGGTTGTTGGGGGCAGATGTCTGGGTTTGATGGGTCGCAGCTCCCTCTTGTCCTGATCAGTTGGCTGCACGGAACCCACTCTTCCAGATAGAGCTTTGGTCGTGACAAACGTGCTCCCAACAGGAGGACAAAAAATGGATCATACATGGGGTTCGCGTTCTGTTAGTGCTCTGCAAGAGCACGGAGTATCCGGGTTGTCATCAGCTTGTGGCCCACTGTTATTTGCAAGGTGTGATGTTGGGAGAGGCGCTGGAAATGGGACTGGAGACGGAATAGGTGACTTGGTTCGACAACTGTTTACATGTCCGGGAAGATTGAAGCAAAGGTCCCGTGAGGCGCCTGCTGCTTCGCATTTTACAAGAAATAAGCCACATATATGCGATTGACTATCAATGCTTCGCTACGTGCCCCCCGCAAGCCTCAAAGAACGGTTTTGGATATAGTGTGACAAGCTAGTAATGTGGCGTTCAATGTCACAGTCGTATTTTCGAGCGCGAGTCGGCAACGTGAGAGGAACTTTCAAGGAGGCTATGCCTTGCTGAGGGACAGAGCGCAAGTAGGACTGTTTGGGTCACCAAAGCGAATCTCGAGAGTGGGAATGCTAAGCGTCCCGTAGATGGAAGAATACGCTGTTAGGAGGGGACTGTACTCAGCAAAGACCCGGCGACAACGTCTCAGTCGGCACCGTTGGAGTTAGTGAATGATGCCAAAGCTAAACCCCTCTATCTTACTTAGGGTTGAGCAAAGGTATCGCTGATACAGCATTGACAAACACGAAGTGAGCACATCCACTTAACCACTTCATCCCCCATCTTTCCCCCAACTTTTCTCTATTCACAGCCCCCAAGAACAATGACGATTTACCCATTGCCCCTCCACTTGTGAGAGGAGAAAAAACCTTAACGCCCTCGCCCTCCAACCCCACGGGCAGGGTCCACTCCCTAGCGGCGTAGGGCTGAGCAAAAGAGTGAAGCTAGGTTGCTATCACCAATCGACGTTTCCACACACAGGGCGCTCGCTCAGCACAACAGAAACTAAGCTATTGCTGCAGTCAGCCAACATAGCCTCTTCCTGCCCTCTCGCACACCACCGATGAGAGAAAGAAGGAGAAAGGAAACTCTGGAGGGAACGAACAAAAAAGATCCCTTTGTCAATACTCATTCCCAGCTACGGGCATCGGATCTGCGGAGATAGCGGCCGGACTATAACGACAAGCTCCATTTGACCCTTGCCACCGATCACCCGTTTTCCCATATATCTGGCCTGTCGTGAGCGAACAAGGCTGCATGTCCCTGATTAGCTGAGCATAGTCCCGCCCATCAGGCCATTGCGCTGTGTGGGTTCTAGCGGTGCCGTGCAGGGTAGGGGAACCCAGCAGTTAGGTCAGCAAACGCGGCGACCAGAGTTTTGGCAGAGCCAAGACTGATCAGTGAATCACCAATCACCGATTTGCAGAGGGAACAAGCTTTGGCGCCAGGGGCTTGTGCTGAATGGCCAGTACAGATTGCTGGAAAATGAACAAAACTGCAGCAATCTAATCAGAGAAGGACATTTCTTGTTTCAATTGGTCGCCGTGTGACCAATATTTTTGCTCTCAGAGCAATGCTTTGTAGTATCACGGGATTGGTCAAGCGTTCAGCCTGCCCGCTGGCGAACCACACAATGTGTGTTACACCATGCCCACTTGGGAATATGCATGCTAGGAGGAAAGAGCTTCACATGCCCAATCAAACAGATGGCTCTCAATAGTCCCATCATCTTGCTGACGTGATGCCAACATGATCCTCCATTTTCTCGGAATTCGCGAGAGAGGCTCGCGAGACCGCCCGAAATCCCCGCAGAAGGGTCGACGTCCCCGAGTGAGGGATGCTTGTATAAGAGGCTCAAGGCAGCTGTCGATCGCCTGAACCATCCCCACCCCGTGACATCTGCGAGGAATTAATCGACAACGGTGACAAAAACATCGCCCAGGATACCGAGGTGGATTGTTTTGAAGTCGGCATTTATAAACTCGTACCCTGTTCGCGATTCGGTGGTTTCCAAAACATCACCCTTTGTCAGCATTTATCCTTCTTACCATCACAAGGACATCACACCACAACACCAGCATGCCATTTGCCTATCACATCGTGACCCGGATCAAGACAATTACTGTCCCCCAATACAGTTGGGCTCACTTCCCGACCGTCAGTATGGCCATCAACTCGTCGCTTTCAGCCTTGTCGAGCTGGCTTCGTCCGGAGCAACCGGCTTACAGACCACTTGAGCCCCTGTCTGCGGCTTTTGGTGGCATCAAGAAGCCCGTGGCCGAGCTTGTCATTACTTTTGTCGATGAGAAGCCCAAGCCCAAGAAGGCCGCCTACGTGCCCAGCCATGCTGCGTCGTCCTTCCTCAAGACAGCGACGAGCCGGCCGATGCGCCAGGCCAACGGGATTTTCTGAGGGTTCCAACACAACCACCATATCGACACTCGTCACCACAACCCCCAGGGCCATCCAAGCCATTTCCCTTCCACATATGGGACCTGCCCAGGAGAGAGGACGGTAGGGCTGACAGTCGGTACGCCCATCATCAGCCAGCATCCTACCAGTCAACCTTCACCGGGCCTGCAAGTACGGCCAATTAGTCGGCCATAAGACCAGACCATTGGCTCCCCCGTCGACACTTGCAAAGCACCCAAGATCCAGATCCGCGAGACACAACAGACGAGGCCAACATGACAGACCGGCAACTTAACAGCCAGCAAACCAATCACGGCCTTCTAAGAACGGGGTGACCAGGGAGGAGGCTGAAAGTAGCGTAAGCGCCTTAACACAACGTCCTGCTACTAAGCCGATGGACTCGGTATGGATCCTTCGGGGCCATATCTCGAAACAACTGCTGCATATATCTGTCAATATCAAGTCAGCGATGCCGACAAAGGGGCATTGTTGGTTCCGCGGCCTCGAGGTTGAAGGAGGCGCGAGCGGCGCTTAGGCAGCAAGACCGACTCGGTGTTACCGGAAACGCTTGTCCCGGGGGCCGAGGCGAGGCATCCGGCCCTAGAGGGACGCGGCACAAGCCTCAGCTCAGCAGTTCTACAACTATCAGCATCAGAGGATTACATCGGGACAATGGACGCTTCAGGCGGAAGCAATGGTTGCTGGGACAGCGGCAGCAACGGCGGGATGCAACCTGGATTGCAGGATGGGAAGAGTGAAAGAAGGTTTCCGCGATCCTCAGATCCGCCGCTGCACTCCTGAACTTTATATCACAGAGCCCTGGAATCCCGGGCCATTGAAATCAATTGAAGGATCAGAAGAAAATTTGTGACCAATAGCAACGGCGTCCAACTTGGTGGAATAGTTTTTGCTAGGATAGTCAGCAGACAGAATGCAATAGCCGCTTGTCGAGGGCTTTCCAGCAACTGAAGTGAAGTTCCCTCGAACAATTTCAAATATTAGTGCAGTCAATTCATTCGCGTCCTCACTTGACGACAGCTGTGGAAATAAAATGTCTTGTTCGGTTTTACTCAAAAGATGCCGTGAAGACAGGAAGCTAGGGTGAGCCGGAAGGATGGATCTGGACCGTCACACCTTGGCTAAAGCCTTCCACCATTCAGCCTTGTAACCAAGTAAAATGCTCGACCAGACCGACGACTTAATCGAGAGATCCGCTTCAGACTTCCTTCTTGAGTGTGTCTGAGAGGGCAACGACTGATTCTTTCAAGCTAAGATCGTAAGACAGATAGTGCAGCATGCGAACTAAGCTCGATGTAGCAGGCCAGGCAGCAACGAAAACTAGAGACGGCGCTCAAGTGATGTCGCAGATAGTGCGCGGTGATGTAATCAAGGCGCTCGGGTGCTCAGTTCTCCTCACGCCGCCGCGATGTGACGGAAGGATCAGGGACGACATCTCCGGAAGCTCTAGAGATTTGCTTCCGGTCCGGTGAACTAGAGACATCATCTGCGCGAAACCTCTACTTCGAAACGCCTGAGGGTTGAATAATCACTAGATTATGGTGCATAGATAACGGGCTGTGCTGAAGTGACACTCTAGGAAAGCACCTAGCTGAAGATTAGACCATGTGTTGTCCTCGACAATGGGGAGAGGAAGCTCTCGAAAGCTCAGTTTATGGTACCGGAGGCAACGGAGGATCAGGAACATGTTGCTGGCAGGCCGTGCAGTAGGGGCGGGTGCTTGGGTGTGGCGAAGCGTTACAGTGCGGCGGGAGAGGCTTGGTGATTGGCCGGGGCGCCTAAGATATGTAACCTCGCGGCAATTATCATCGTGATAGGGAGTAGAGGTGAGAAGGCACCGGGCAGCACAAGGCCAGGGCTGAAAATGAAACGACAGGGCTGCTGATCTCGGGGACTTGGCAACACGAGGTTGGCGGCTAGCTGTTGAATATCGACGTGTGTTGGTTGCACGGCACTAAGTCATTGCTGACCCGGAGCCCGAGGACAAAGCTAGCCCGCCCCGAGCAATCTGGTAATTGTAGATTTGGAACTGCTCGAAATGACCGCAGCATGGTCACAATGAGCGTACCCGGGCAGATTAGCTAGAAAAGTTTGGAAATGCGATTGTGTATTTGATAGGCAGATGGAGACCGCCACATTGTTCTCGTAGCCACTCCCCCACGTGCCCTCTGTATTAAGGTTGGCCGCAGAGAAGCCGCCAGCAAGCAAAAGTGCCTTGCCGTCCCGGAGCAAGGAAGACAATCCTTCTCCCTCGTTACCCCACAAGCTCATCCACGGGAGGTTCATAAAGAACAAGACACAGCGTTGTGGCCTTATCGTGCCTCATCATTGACGTTAGTCTGCTTTCTTTCAACACTGTAGTGCAGGCCACAGGCCTGAAGGCAGCAGCCCGTGGAGTCAAGTTTTATTTTTTTATTTTTTTTTTTGTTTTTTAGCGGTGGCTTAGGTGGCTTGGGGCAGCATGCTTTTTTCGGCTCTTGGCCGAGGGCAGCCACAGTGAGGAAACACTGTGGGTCACAGATCGTCGGCGGATGGGTAAGCTCTCGGGCGCTAAAGTGCCGATGTTCACCACACTAACGAAACATAGTTAAACGCTTCTCGCAGTCATCAGCGACGATCCGAGATCACCCATCCATGATCTCAGTAAGGCGTTAACAGTGCGATATTTTTCTACTTTTTCACTGTATGCTATGTGCGGGGTTACGTTTCTTGCGGAGCCCAGACAAGATGCCATGGCAGAACAACCAGTCTGCGATATCTACGATATGCAAGCTTCGATCTGCTGGTCATGTAGCCTTTTGTCAGCATTGACCATTTTTTCAGTCTTGTAGTTTGGAATGTGCAGTGCGTAGAAGCGAAGAAACTCCAAGAATATTTTCTTATGATGGGGAATGTGCGATAAACAAGTGGAAGGCCTCTGCTCAGTGGTGCTCAACTTTTCTGCCTGAACTTGGGTGGGGCACCCATGGACGACAGGGGCAAGACATCGATGCAGCCGGAGGCTACCACCAAACCCACTTGGCGACGAGAGCTCGTTGGAAACGGATCACCAACGCCCAACAAACGATATGTGAAAATTGTGAGTGACAACCTGGAGCCGTTGGTATTCCCGCTCAACCTCTGAGGTGAATGCTAGCAATTGGAATCATACGGCTTGTTAAACCAGAAAATGTGATGGAATCCGGATCTCATCACCAACGGCAAACTAATGGTAGGGCACTACTTGGGATCTGGCCAGCTACGGATGCACCTGCTTTGGATTACAACTGCAGCAGCGCCGTTAGCGCATCCATATCGTTTGCCTTTTCGTCCTCTTCGCTGTGTTGTTGCAGTGACGCGCAGCGATTCTCCATTCACTGACAGCAATGAGCTTCCGCTTTGCAAGATCGATTACTTATGCCAAAGGCCGACAAGCACGACAGGCCAACTGCCTAAGTATGTGTGTGTATCGAATGGGTATGTTCTTGGGCTATATAAGCTAGGCTGATGGTACTGTAGCTCGGGGCCTTGGCGGAGAGCGACATCATGTTAGTACGTACCAACAATGACAATGACAGCAAAGATAATGATACTACGCTGTACGCTGCTATAAAAATGCATCTCGGGGCATCAGTCAAGCCGACCTGACTCGACAGCCTAGGTGCCAGAGAACAAAGCAGCGAATATTCCTAGCTTCCGTCCTTATAGCAGCCCGCTCTGTATGAACAAAGATGCCTACTTGCCGATACCTCAGGCGAATGTTCTGTACAAAAAATCGCCTGCAAAGGAGGGGCCTGTCACGATGTGAGGCGCAGGCTGCACGCGGAAACCTCCTGCACGCCATCTTCTGTATTGGGAATCTGCGTTGTGAAGTACAAGGCCAAAGGCTCCGGCTCAGCACACCCTGAGAAGTCACTAGCCATCGTGTCCAGAACTGCTGGACAACGGTTTGGCGGAAAATAAGAAGCTTTCAACAGCTATCCAGAAGAGCGACATAAGATAGTCAGAAACCGGAGAAATCGGTGCCCGGATGCAGGCAGGCGGCAGCAAGCAAGCGGGAGGATCCACGAGCACTCGCAGCGGCCCCGTGCTCGGCATCGTCACCCTTGCAGCCCTTGCTTGCTTGATGTTACGTCCGCCCCCAGCAACCAACCCCCGCCCTGGCAAGGTTCTCTCTTTGGGGAGTGTCCGTGTGCCCAGTGTGGTCAACGCCACACTTCGGCGCAACAATGACCTGCCGCTGCGACTGGCCCAACTCTTCAAGCCCGCCTCAAAACTGCACAGGTACAGGGCAATTCAGAAAGCGCTGCTAGTCTGTCGCCGGGGAAGCTGGCGCTATTGTGGGCTGCCATGTGCTGCTATGTTTAATATTACTATCCCCTCGCCTGCGCCGCTCGTTTTTTTTTTTTTTGATCCCCCATATGTCCACGCCTTTCTGACCTGTGTCTCCCCTCCCGCTCTGGCCGTTGGGTCAGTCTGTTTGAGTTGGCTGCGATCCTTACGGATTACATTTTACTCATTCTTCCCAACCCAGACAAGGGGCGCCATGTCGTGAACGGGAATCTCGGCCTTTGATCATACTCCCTTGCTTCTCCCCTCCCTTGATCCTTACTCACCTATACACAAGTCATGTACTCCACCTTCGGCCAATATCTCTTCCTCTACCATATCATATCTCTTCCCCTATAGTCAACGTCGATATAACACAACAACATGTTGTCACGGCCGGCCTTCAGCATTCGAAAGCTCATCCCTCAGAAGAAGCAGGATGAAGTGCCAGAGGACTACACGGGTTCGTACTTCATACACGACGACGATATGGACACATTCAGTCGTATCAAGAGCTGGATGCCACCTACAATGGGCCTCATGAAGAAACCCAAACCAATGATCGATATCCGCCGCAGCGATGACCTACATCGTATTGTCTACCCACCCCCACCTCCTCTCCCAGATACTCCCCCGTCATCGACAACTTCTTTGTCCAGCTATGAGAACAACAATGCCGCTGTGTACGCCATCAATGCCACTGCTCGACCCTGTCCACCTCGGCCTTCTGAGAGGGGCACCCAGGGGAGCCCACAGAGAAGTCCCCAAAGAAGTCCTCTTTTAAGTGCCCAGAGCTGTGAAGATATTCAATCCACAATACAATTCAGGACCATCGTTCATGCAAATACTTTTCCTCCGCAGTTCCAGTTTACACCGCCATCGTCCCCTCCTCAGCTCGAAGGCATGGGTCAAAACAAGGTCGTACTGGCACCTAAGCTGCCACTTGAGGCAACCGCTGAGCTACCCCCAACGCCGGCCATAGGCACTCATACGACATCCCCCGATTCTGAGTCTGGAGCAGCAAACCCCCTTACAGCCGATGCTAAGGGGCTCTTCTTGACCAGCGCTCCACAACCAGCGGAAAAAGCAGATATCAGCCAGCTACGTCAGTCGTACTCTCATGCCATCCTCTCTGATCAACAGCTCGAAAAGTTCCCAAAGCCAAAGACAGCCACATCTGTGTCAACAATAACGCGCAGAAAATCTCAACAGCGTAGCCATGGTTCCGTTCGCTCTAACCGATCTACACGGTCTAATAGGTCAGTCAGGTCAGCAACAAAGACGGCTACCAGATCAGAGCTTTCGTCTGGACAGAAAAGAGTGGTAGTCGCCTCGACCCCAAAAAGGGTGAAGTCAAAGAAGTCTGGCATCCGGCCGCGAGTACGGGCAAGGCAATCATCAGTGTGGCAATGGACGGAGAGCGCCAAGGGGCTCATGAGGGAACGGTTGTTCCATCGAATTGAGGTCGATGAGATGCTCCCCGAAAGCGAGTTGCGGGAGATAAGGAAGAGCCGAGCTACAAAATGGACATGCTCGCCTGAGCTGGGAGTCACACATGTCAGTGAGAGGTTCCGCAAGGTAACCAAGAAGCCAGCCGAGCCAGCTGAACCGATCGAGCCCCTCGATCTCAACGTTGCGCGGGATGCCCCGACAGAGACATCCACCCCTCAGTCATGTCTTGCCAATCAGCAAGAGCATGATGAGTGTCCCACTTCTAAAGCAGCTACGCAGGAACAGGTTAGTAGCAAGCCGGGCAACAGCCGCCAACAAGAACTCCAAAATACGCTTGAGAACGCACCGGCACCAACACTTCCCGATTCGCCTACCAAAGGAAACAATGAAGCGGAAAGGACCAGCCCTGTTGCGATCATTTCCGAGGAAGACTGCTCGGCCCAACCTACATCGGTCAACAGCGAACCTACCGTCGCTCCTACACTCAAGTCACCTAGTCATCGCCGTAATCCTAGTCGACAACTTCCTCCACTTCCTGCCTTACCTGAGGCTGCGCCAAGTTCTGTCGAGAATAAGACATCACCTAGCCCTACCGAACAGTCAGAATCAAGACCCGAACAGCCTGCCGCCCCAGCGCCACAGCATGTCTCTACCAAATTTATTGAGGAAGACGACGAGTACGTCTACCTAAGGAGCACGCCTTACACTATGACAATGCCCACCTTCCAGCACGGCCGTATCCGTCTATCTAAACCTGAGCGGGCAGCCGCTGTGGACAACACTCTCGACTGGACCGCTTTCCAAATGGCCATCCTTGGTGGCGCGGGTGACTTCTTCGGCGAAGCGACCGACTACTCCCGGCCGTCGGATACCGAGCTGGACGAACTGGAGAACTTGATCTCGTGGTTTAACAGCTTTGGTTTTGAGGGCTACGGCAGGTTGGTTGGTCCCGAACCTCCCAAGACCCCGAATCGGACTTGGACGCCGGCCATGTCCTCGACGCATACACGGACACCATCCTTGACGGCACAGTCGCCAGCATCTGCATCTGGGGCTGGCAGCAGTCCGAACCTAGGCGCTGAGACCGGGTTCAGGAGAATCGACCCCCCTGCACCGGCAACCGCTCAGGAAAGCTACTACTACCGCAACTACTGCCAGCAGCAGCAATACAACACTCCGCATGTTAACAACGAATTCGGCTTCTACCCGGCCGCAACGATGGCGACACCAAGTCAATATCTCACCCCTCCCGCTCCAGACGCCTCACAACGGCACCGCCGCAACGAAAGCAGCAGTACCTTCTCCGTTTACCGCACCTCGCCCCAGCACCTGTCTCAACCCCAACCCTCGCCTGCTTTCTACCACCAAAACACCTGGCCTCAGTCTCATCCGGCCTACACCTACGACTACCAACCCCAACCGCAACTGCCGAAGCCTCTTGCTCAGCCCAACTGCGTTGACGTTTCTATCGACTCAGCCAAGTCCCGGCAACGGTCAAATAGTATTGATAGTTTCCAGTCGCTACCGCAAAGCCCGATGATGGACCTAGTGGTAAGCCATGATGCGGGCGGGAATGAGTATGTTGTGCCGATGGGGTTCAATCTGAGTCATGATCTGGGAGATTTCCTTACTTGGCATGCTAGTCACGTTTCGGGGGTGGGGTTGACTTAGGGTGTATAACTTGGAGGGTGATGATGTCTTTTATCTATCCACGGATACATGTGATGGACCCAGTTTTTTTTTTTTTTTCCTCAGGGTTTCAGTATGGATGGATGGGTGAAGGGCAATGGCGTTTGGATGATTGGAGTGGAAATGGAATGGAATACTTATTGGTTTGATTTGTGACGTTCATTCGAGGGTTTATGATACCATGTTGTATTTCCTTGTTTTTGGCATGAGGATTATCTTAGTAATGATGTTTGTGGAGGGTATGGAATGGAATGTTGGTTGATTAATGATCGGGATGGTTTGTTGACAGTTGGGACTGGGAAATAGTGTGATGGGACGGGATGGGATGGGTTAGATAAGCTTCAAGCACATTCTGTGCTTGTTGGTGTTGGCTTCGACAGTTGGTTTGGCATGGACGAAGTGTGGATATGGTTATTATGATGAGTTGATGGATGGATGGGTCGTAAATAGACACCCTTTGACATCTACATTACCTTGTGATAGTTGTTCAATGACTGCGACAGACCAACTACCTACCTTTCCGACAACCCGACCAGCATCACAAACCCAAGCGATCACGTCTTCTCTCTGAAATTTTCTCTACCTCATATGGAGATCACTGCCCAACTTGCTGGAACTGTCTACCAGCATAGAGTTTTGGACCCCAACTGCGGCTTATCTGAACTTGTCACGGCAGTTGGGCCCAAGACCGTGTTTCTCGGGTGCTTGCTTTTCCACATCTCGGGGATTGCATTATGTCCATTAGGGGAACGGAGTTTGCACAGTATATTCGTGGTCGGAGTCCGTCATTCAAAGAGATTGAGGCCAAGAAGGGTAGGGTCCATGCTCGCTAGAGCTAGAGTTTGCGGTCAGCCTGCTATGCTATGGTGCTTCTTCAAACATTCTGATTACAGAATTTGAGATTACCGCCACAATTCCGTTGCTTCTTCATTCCTGCCTAACTCGAATATCCGTCATACGATGGCTGTAGGCCCCCCTATGCAACGGCATATAGGGAAGATCTTTGGATGGATGCAACGCTGTTTACAGCGCAGCACGTCAAAAGCGGGCAATGCGCCGATGCATCTACGTAGTGCAGTGCCGTCCCGAAACTGGGCTGAGTGGGAATCAGTGTACTAAATGCCGTCTTCTATTCTTAGGTGTGCCAGGCATTCAACCTGGTTGGATGATCGCGTTCTCAGTAGGTCTTAGTTTGCTCTTACAGTATATCGCTATGCTTAGTTTGCCCGGTCTTACACAGATCTAGCAAATTAACTCTGTAGATTATCGGGCTTGAAAACATGGCTTACTGGTTTGCAGATCAAAAGGATCACCACTGTTCGTAGACACATCTGGCGCTCTCTCCCTCCACTGGAGGAACATCACCAACACCGACGCAGACAAGCCCAGGAACAATTCGCCTGCGGGAACTTTCGTTCCCGAGTGGCTTGTCCATTCCCTACAGCAACCTTCCCTGTCGGGAAGTACCACAGTACAACCCCCCCCCCCCAACCCAACCCAAATTGTGGCAAAAGCGTCTCAATGATGACAAACAGACAAAAATGGAGACCTCACAACTGAATGCCACTCCAGAAATTACAAAGGCACGTCAAACGCAAATGGTGCTGTTGTTCGGCCACCAATAAACCCGAAAGTGTGGCTTACGGAACCAGGATCGGACTCGGGGCCTGAGTCCTGGGATTAGGACGATAGAGATCGGATGTTAGGGATTAGTCTGGAAGGTTAGGAGCCTCAATACCGCGTCTTGTTTCCTCTTAGAGGAATGATGATGATCTAGCTCATACTTTGCGATAGCTACCAGTAAAGAGTGTCCTTTCTTGTTTAAAGAAGTACCAAGATTGCATTCCAGCCTCCTGCAGCCATGACAAAAGGGAAAAAAAAAGAAAAAAAGAAGAAACGAAAAACCTTCTGCCCATCTCAGAATACAAATTCCTCTCCGAAACAAAGCTTTCAGCCCTCGGAATGGGAATCACTCGTCTCTACAAACTACATAGGAAGTTGGACAGCCGTTTTTGGGACAGTCGACGAGTAAGGTGAGTGAGATTTTGAATTCGATCCCCGTAAAACTGCTGCATATTTGCGAAAGGATACTTCCATTGAGATGACCAGCTTTCACGAAAGGCCACCAGCTCATCATCCAAACGGACAATCTACTACGATACTACCCTTCCCTCTTGAAAATTGCCCTATTTCCCTATATTTATCAATCGATATATTAATTCGCGGCTCTTTAGTCGCCTCATTGTCAAGAAGGAGACCTGAGACAGCGACGGTGGCTGAGCGAGCTGCAATGCACAACATCAAGATTTGATGCGCACAGCCACACGGGATATGTTCAAGACTTCACCTTTTGAACGCCATCTTTGCATCTCACAGAGCTAGCTTGCAATAGGATCCATCTCCAACTTCCGGCATGTGCGATTCACCTGTAGTATCTCGTGGCACTGCTCGAAAAGGAGCAAAGTGGCTACATCTGCTTGGTACTACAACACGAAGATAGGCCGGAACGCAAAAGTGACCTTCGGTATTAAAGCCAGCCAGAAACCAAACCTCCAAGCTATGATTCATTACATATGCCATTGCAAACCCTCCCTTTCTGCTCTTCTACCTTTGCAACGTCCCCACGCCACCAACAGTAATCATCTTCGTGACCTGATACTCCCCAATGCCGTACAATGACCCCTCGCGACCAAATCCACTCTCCTTAACGCCACCGAACGGTGCGGCCGGGTCCGAGATCAACCCGGTATTGACGCCGACCATGCCGACCTCGAGGTGCTCCGCGACGCGATGCACGCGGGCAACATCCCTCGAAAAGAAGTACCCAGCCAGACCAACAGGCGTGGAGTTTGCCATCTTGACAACCTCCTCCTCCGTATCAAACGGGAACAGTCCCGCCACGGGACCAAACGTCTCCTCACTCGCCATCACCATCTCCGGCGTCATGCCGGTAAGCACAGTCGGCTGGAAGAAGTTTGGCCCCAGATCAGGCAGTGTATGCCCGCCGAGCACAACCTTGGCGCCCTTCTCCTTCGCATCATGCACATGCCGCTCAACCTTCTCCACCGCGCGGTGGTGAATCAGCGGGCCGTGCGTGACGCCCGCCTCGAATCCATTACCCACGCGGAACTCGCGTACCTTGGCGGCAAATTTCTCCGCAAACTCGTCGTAGATGCCGCGCTGGACATAGATGCGGTTGGCACAGACGCAGGTCTGACCCGACGAGCGGAACTTGGAGGCGATGGCGCCCGCGACCGCGGCGTCGACGTCGGCGTCGTCGAAGACGATGAAGGGCGCGTTACCACCCAGCTCGAGAGAGAGCTTTTTGAGGGTACCGGAGCACTGCTTCATAAGCAGCTTGCCGACGGGAGTCGAGCCGGTGAAGGAGACTTTACGGACGGTTGGGTGGGTCGTGAGGACTTCGCCGACCTCGGGGGTGTTGTCGAGCGCCGTGATGACGTTGACTACGCCTTTGGGAATGCCGGCGCGGTGGGCTAGCTCGGCCAGGGCGAGAGGGGTGAAAGGGGTCTCGCCTGGGGCCTTACACACCACGGTGCAGCCGACGGCCAGGGCCGGCCCGACCTTGCGGGTGATCATGGCCGCGGGGAAGTTCCAGGGGGTAATGAGACCGCAGACGCCGACGGGTTCCTTAATGGTGAAGACGCGGTTGCCCGGCACCGAAGACGGGATGGTGTCGCCGTAGATGCGGGGGGCCTCCTCGCTGAACCACTCAAAGAAATTGGCCGCGTAGACGACTTCGCCCTTGGCATCGGCCGTGGGCTTGCCGTTCTCCCAGGTGATGAGAGTGGCCAGGTCGTCGGCGTTCTCCATCACGAGCTCGTACCATCTCCTAAGTAGCTTAGAGCGCTGACGCCCCGTGAGGTGCCGGAACGACTCGAATGCCTCTGCGGCGGCCTCGATGGCCTTCTCGGTGTCCTGGGCATCAAACTCGGGGCAGCTACCGATGAACTTGCCGGTCGCAGGATCTATGCGAGTGAGCATACATGAACCGTAGAATTTCTTTCTTTTTTTTTTTTGGTTTCTTTATTTCTGGCATACCATGGACATCAAACGTCTTGCCAGACTTTGCTGGCACCCACTCGCCATTGACATAGGCCACGCCCTGCTTGAAGAGGGACGGGTCTCTGAGCTAGACAGACTACGGGTTAACCTCCGTCTCGGCAGCGCCGGACAACACGCGGTGTGAGACAGTATGGATTGTACCTTGGGAACACTCATGGTAGAGGATAGACGGCGAGAGTAAGGAAGCGACACAATGGGCAAAGCAGACCGCCGAAACTGAGATTGAGACCTGGCTGCAGCCCGCGAGACAGATACAAGAGTCTTTTGTAGCGACACCATCTTGGGAGTCTGCGGTAACGGATCAAGGGATAGTTGACAAGCCAGGTGGGTTATACAATCGGAAGCGACTCCGCCGAGGTGGAGGGACAGTTGCCAAGAGGCCTGGAGCGAGGTTGTTCGACGGCTTCTGCTCGTCTTGTACTCGGAAACCCTGGAAGCCCAGATCCTCGGGATTGATGGGCCCTCTCGATCACTCCGTCTGATATGCGCCGGGGAAGGGGGAGGGGGAAGGCGGTTTTGTTGGCTGTAGCATGCAAATTGAGCGCTCCACTCAACCGTTCTCTGACTGCCAGTAGACAGCTGCACCAGACACAATATTTGCTCCTTCTCCCACTTATTTACAGCTTAGAGATGCAGAATCTCGTCGTCGTCGCTGCTGTAACTTGGGATGACGTCGTAGGGTCTCTCGGTTGCCGAACCGCGGTTCGGTTCCCTTGTCGATAATCGGACGGGGCCGCACGGACCAACGGCTTCTGGTGGGGTAATGTCAGCGGGTGCTATCGCCTAGAATCGGCAACATGCAGCCGCCAGAACAGCGGGGTTGACGACAAAGATAGCATTTCTTGCGATTGATTTTTTTTTAAAAAAAATGAGCCTGAAGGTGACTCTGAATTATGGAATTGATTATTATGCAAATTCAGACAATTGCTTGCGTCTCAAGTTTGGACTTTTGAGTTTGGTTCTTATTTGGTTGTTAGGTCCCCAGCGGACCGGTCCCCTCCCCCGCACAGTTCCACTAGCCAATCTTATCACTTCGCTGGAGACAGTGCGACATAGGCGGTCTTCACTGTCCGTCCAATATAACCATCAACCTTCGACTTTCCCATTTTGAAGGCCTGAGTCCTTCGATACGCTCTTGGATCAAGCACAAGCGAAGATATGTGTCCTTGAGTCTGAGTCTCGGACCTTGATCAGTCGAGGCACAGTCGATTCAAGCGCAATTGCCGAGCTCGAAGAGTACTATTAATCATAAGGAAGTAGGCAAGCCCATCCGAGTGGTTGGCCTGGTAGATACTTCACCTTTCAACGTTTCATGTTTCACCCAGGCATCGGCCATAGAGCAAAACTCATGACTCTCTGATCGATCTCGATGGTATCCGGTCAAGTGATAATAATAATATAAGGCAGCTCTAGCCGGGTCATGTCTAGGTAGGATTTCGAACGCCGTAAGACATCACCATCCCAACCTCCTCCAGCCATGTGAAGAAGCGGTTGAAGTAAGTAGTCGGTCCGCGAAGTGAAGGCCAAAAGTAACCTAGGAAGCATCACCTGCTTCCTGTCTCGCGCGCTGGCGGTTATCTGTATCTCTCTGGCTTCATAAGCCATGTATCGTGTTACAGAAGCTCCGCTGGGGAGGATGGATCATGGCCGATCGTCCCTTTTTCAGGAAGCTGTGACAAGCCGACGGTGAAACGCTTCCCATCGCAGCTTTGGGGATTATCTGAGAAGTGCTTTAAATGGCAAACAGGAAGGGGGAAAAACGTGGATCATGGATCATGAGTTCTTTAGAGCTTGGGTATATGGTGTTAGGCAAGGCCCCCCCCCGCCCCCTAATCCCTCTGATCGGATGTCCGAGCCATAAAACTGCAGGTTCAGTTCAGTCATCATGATAAAGCTTCTATTGCTTTGTATCACGCTTGGCCCTTCTTTGGTTTCCTCTCAGCTTAACGTCCCCGATACTGCTCCCAGGAACGATGTTTTCGAGGCTTTCGTGAGCTTCAGCATCGAGTTCTCCAGCTTGCCTGACTATGCCGGTATGGCATCAAAAGTTCTGGTAACTCTCACCTAGAAACACGGCGTTGACACACCTTAGGCAATATATCGAATCCAAACACATACTCCGACAACCTTCTTGAAAATATCAGAATCATATCTGGCACAAAACCGTACGTCCGCGTAGGCGGCAACACCCAGGACTACGCCCTCTATGATCCATCACTTCCCTATGCCCTCCATGGCATCGTCGACCCCCAGCGCTCCCTGGACTACCCGACCACCGTGACCATCGGACCATCTTACTTCGAGTCATACAGCACCTGGGAAGGTGTCAAGTTCTCCCACGGCTTCAACCTGGCACTCGGCGCATCAACTGAGAGCGGCTGGCAAACTCTCCTCGACACCGTCCCCCTGGCCTGCAAGGCCCTTGAAGGAGGGAAGATGTATTACTGGACCTACGGGAACGAGCCGGATCTGTATGCAATCTCAGCCCAGGGGCCTGTGAGAGACCTCCTGTCGTGGACCGAGGAAGCCTACGTTGAGCAGTGGCTCAATGGGACGAGGACGATCAAGGCTCTGGTTGAGGAGCACTGTCCTGAGCTGACCGAGGATGGCGTGTACGGCTTCCTAGCTCCGGAGTTTACTATGACTACGAACCCCCTGAAAGCTCCAAAAGCGTGGGCAGCTGGGCTGAATGAGGATAAGAGCGTTAAGCTGTTCTCCAAGCACAAGTCCGTCCTCCTCTCCCTTCTTCGTTGGGATCAGCTGATGCTGACTTATGACAGCTACATCAGCGGCGCGGACACTCCCGGCGTGACCCTGCAGGGCACGCTGCTCAACCATGAGGTAACCAAGGCCTCAGTTGACGCGCACGTATCCGAGTATAACTCCATCGTTTTCTCTTCTTCAGACTCGGTCCCGCCCCTCATCTTTGGTGAGACCAACTCCCTCTATAACCAAGGCCGTCCAGGCCTGTCGAACACTTTCGGGGCTGCCCTCTGGGTCGTCGACTTCAACCTCTACGCCGCCTCAGTTGGCTTCAAGCGTGTACATATGCACATGGGCACGAACTATCGTGTAATGGTGTCTCTCTCCTTCTTCATTGTGAGAAGTCAATGCTGATTATCTTACAGTACGCCTCCTGGCAACCAATCACCACCTCCGTCACCCCCCTGGGCACCAAACCGCCTTACTACGGCAACATCTTCGTTGCCGCCGCCCTCGGCAACCTCCTCACCTCCCGCGCAACGGTCGTCGAACTCCCCCTTCCGGACTCCATCTCTTCTCACCCCGCAGCCGCAGCCTACGCCATCTACACCTCTCCCGCTCAATATCCCTCCGACCAGGCAACTTTAAGTCGACTAGTCTTCCTTAATCTCCAAGGCTACAACACCACAGTCGACGGAGAAGGCCTAATCCCTCTGGAAGACCCCCCCGAGCGAGGCTCTCAAACTTTTGTATACATCCTCCCCACGGAGGTCGTCCCTCCCGGCACGCGGCTCAGGGTGAGGAGACTGATGGCCAACGGGAGTGATGCTATTACCGGTGTGACGTGGGATGGGTGGAGTTATAATCATGAGTTGGATGAGGGAAGGCCGGTGAGGCTGGGGAATGTTACGACGGGGGAGACGGTTGTGGTGAGGGAGGATGGGGAGGTGGAGGTGGAGGTGTGGGATGCGAGTGCTGTTATGGTGGAGTGGGGGTTGGTAAGTAGGAGGAGGGGGAGAGGATGGTTTGGGGGGTGGGGGTGGTGGTGGTGGTGGTGGTGAGGAATTGATGAAGTGGTTTCTGGTATGGCTATGATGAGATTGACCTGTGATAAGGAAGATATGGGATATGAGAATGAATGAATTGAAGATACGAAGGATGAGTCGGATAGCATGCTTAGCATGAGATATCACATCTCCTAGAAACTTGCCCATATGGTTTATTGATGATCGAAATATCACATTTGTTTATCGAGGTCTTTGCCTTAAGAGATAGCGATGATCTTCTGACCGAGGTATCATAATCCATCTTAGAGAGAGTGAGGTATCCAGCTTAGGTATCAATTGCAGCAAGAGAACAAACTCCGAAACACCATCCCAGACATCCAAAAGAAAAACGAGATTAGGAAGTAAAAAAAAAAAAATATTTGTACAAGAAAGAAAGAGGCACCATCATCATATATCATCCTGTTCTTCAATATCCTCCCCGCTCCAATCCCACCAGGGGGTCGAGCCTTCATATCTCTCCCCATCTCCCGCTTCTCAAAACCCAACTCCCATTTCATTCAAGCATACCGACTCAACTTATGAAAAGCCTGCGTCCTCGGAGTAAAAGGCGGCAATTGCTCTCCCTGCTGCTGCTGCTGCTGCTGCTGCTGCTGCTGCTGCTCTTCACCCTGCTTCTGCTCCTCAGGTGATTGGCCCGTAGGCGTCATCTCCACATCAATACCCTTGGCGGCCCTCCTCCGCTTCTTCTCTCTCTCCCAGCGGATGCTGATGGCAAACAAGGACTCATCGTCGTCGAGATCATCTTCGGGGTCGCGAGGTTCGTCGAGTTTCTTGTCGGGGATCATGGCCCAGATTGCGAAGGCTGTTTGGAGGAGATAGACCGTCCTTTTATCGAATGTTAGTTACCATTTTAGTCGAAGGTTAGAAAAGAAGGCGCCCGCGCCCCGGGAGAGAGGAGGGGATTGGGGGGGGGGGGGGAAGGTGGGGGGGGGAAGAAGAAGGGGGAGAGAGCTTACAGAAGAAAAACGGTGCAGGCCAGCGCGCCCCTAGCCATGATACACTCGTCATACTTCCCGAACCGCCTGCCCAACTCACAACTCTTGCGGAGGTACCAGGGGCTTGGGCTAGGGTAGCGGTCGTCCAGGTAGTCCGGGCCGGCCTGGCCATAGATGCTGATCGCGTAGACGACGGTCAGGCTCAGGCCGACGGTTGTGCCGAAGAGGGGGTAGTAGACCTTCATGATGATGGCGATCATCTTGACGAGGAGCACGAAGAGGGAGAGGATGGAGATGGCGACGTTGTAGTTGCGGGATCTAACCACATAGTCAGCACCAAACCAGTCCAATTTTTTGATATCAAGAAAGAGGGAAGCTTACGCCTCAGACCACACAAACGGGATCTTAGGCGAGTCTTGGTTGTTGACCATGGCGAAGATGACGACAGCCGGGTTAGAGTTGAGACGGTACTCATAGCCGATGGACCAGAACTCCTTGCGGCGTGGCAGCAGGGTGAACAAGATCAGCAGCGGGATGATGCCGGCTAGCTCGGGCAGCATGCTCCAGTAGAGGGGGGTTTTTGCGCGCCAGGGACGGCGCAGGATGCGATAGGTGAACTTCATCTTGATCTTGGCGGTAAGTTGGTTGGTTGATCCAGAATGAGACTGAGAGGAGGATCAGTCCGCGTCACGTCACAGTCGTCGCGCTCGTTTTCGCGATGAATGTCTCGGGGAGTCGGAGCCGGGTTCTCGATGGTGTTTGTGAGAGCGATTACAGTTGCTTCTTTTCCATGAAGATCATATCGTATCGTATCGTGAATGTCATCACCTCCCCAAAACCAATACGATCGCACAAAGTTGCTGTCTCGAAGCCCCAGATATCAGGCGGGCTCAGCCCCTCACACGCACATACGGTCAACAATCGACGATGATATAAGGAGCGATCGATCACAAACCCAACACCGCAACTTGAAGACGAGGGCGCGGCGATGGACGACCAGAAGAAAGCAAACCGGACGAAAAGAGGGGGAAAGGAGAAAAGAGGCAAATCACGGCAATTGTATTCTACCTATCAAATTGGAAGCTACCTCTCGTCGTCATCCGTAAGCTGCACCCGCACGTACATATTAACGGCGGCACAGCGTGCAGCCGCCCAGTCGCTGAAAAAGAGCCGGCGAGTAAGGTCATTACCGTCCATATTCTGGAGCGTCGAACGGTTCTGGAGATGCAGGTGGCAGGTCATCACAGCGGCCTTGCCCAATGGGAGCGCGCGAGCCAGAGTCAAGCCTCGCTACGGCAGCGTGTAAGCGCCTGCGACCGTCCAATAGCGCGCAACGCTCGCGGGGTACAGGGGGAGGGGTTGTGCCGGCTGGTGACGGCTGATAGGTCACGGTCCTTACAGTTGGCAGGGCCAAGGGTTGGAAGTGAAGGTGGGTGATGAGACCAAAAAAAATAGGGAGTTTGAGGTGATGATGGTGAAGATGATGATGGGATGAAAGGAGAGAAAGAGGAAACAAACAAACAAACAAACAAACAATTGGATGGAATACTCGCTCATTCATAAGGAAAAACAAAAAAAAAAGAACCGACCCCTTTGTTTGATGATTTGACCCGAACAACGTCAAAGAACAAAAAAAAAAACCAGGTTGAAGCCACCGAAATCCCTGCTGAAGACGAAGATCTCGCAACGGCCCGCTTCCGATCAAACAAAGCCAAGAAAACGTCAATTGGCATCATATTCAGACGAGTCAGTCGGGATGAACACGTCAATTTTACGAACCCGGATCTCTCGACGCCGGTAATCGCCGGACGGGGCTTGAAAACACCGGCGGCCGGTATTGTCGGCCACCGGCTACGATGACGGGACCCGGGGGGGGGGTTTCTGGTCTGGCCTGACCTGGCCAGCGGCCATGAACCGGATCGGATCGCCCGATAGCCGTCCACAAGGCCAGGCCAAGGCCGCAGCGGGCCAGCAGCAGGTACCATGATCCCGTTCACTCCCACAAGGCAAGGAGAGGCAAGGCAAGGCAAGGCAAGGGTCATAACTAACAACCGCAATCGAACGAAAAGCGACCTTCACCGCAAACGAAAGCGCGAGCGCGGTCAGCAGCTAACAGCCAGCGGCCTCGGCGGCGGCGAGGCCCAGCGACTGGAAGGGGGAGAAACCCCGAGGGAGAGAGGAGAAAGGGGGGGGGGGAAGGCGGGCAAGCAAGACGTGATTGGTACCTTTGTGTCAGCGTCCCAGTTGCCAAAGCCCGGGTGACACAGCCGAGACCATGGACCGGTCCAGAACACCCGTGAACCTGTGCCGTGAGACCCGAGGCGATGACAGGTCGTTGAGATTTCGGAGATTTGAAGATTGATGATGAAGTGAAGTGAAGTGGAAGACTGGAAGAATGGGTTAGTGGCACAGCGTTTCCCCGTGCTCCGTGGTCTGGTGAGCATCGAGATGATGCCCCAGATCCCATCCACTAACACCAAGAAACGAAGATGGGTCCATAAATGGAGCTCCAGCTAGGAGATCCATCAGGTAGGTGGAGGAACGGGAAGTGTTTCCATCCAATCCGGTGCCGGGCCAGAGGCATCCAGGCCCCATCAGACCTGGCCCCATCGAAAAGTAAATCCACCGCCCTGGTCCGTAAATCTTCAAACGCCGATGCCACAACCACGATTGTCTGGAACACCGCAGCACTCTGTCTCGGCTGCTGAGTACGTATTGATGAAGAAGAGGAATTGTCAACTTGGTAGTAAAAAAATGTCACAGCAAGCCGTGCAGGGATGTAGGGCTGGGCGCTGTGGCGGAAAAAAAAAAAAAGACAGCCGCCGGGCAGGTCGGCGAGAATGGGAGAGAACGGAGAGAAGCCCTGAAGCGCTGGGCTAGACCTCGATGGACCTCGTATATCCCCCCTGATCCTGGCCGTCACGGCCCCAGGACTGTCCTAGAATATCTTGTGTTTATGTCCCGTGTGCGCTACGTGCGCGGCCCGCGGGTTGCTGCTGGGGCAAATGGAACAAGGCCTGGCCGTGTTTCTTTTTTTTTTTTTTTTCCCTTCTTCGTAGCACATGCCCAGCATCGCCCAGCATCGCCAAGTCTGCATTGGACGATGGTGATGCGGCTGTCGACGCTATAGACTATCTCATACGGGAACATCCCGGTGCTTACGGTGAGCCAACTCTGGACATGGGCATATGGTCCGGCTACGGTACACGACTACACGACGCGGCCCGTCCAGTTTTCTTGCTCCTACATCGTATCTGCAGTCTCTCCCACTCCCAAAGGTGGTGCCAGAAAAGAATTGTTGAGGAATTGCTGCAGTCAGGTGTCGTGTCCATCGGTTCCCAGAACGTTGCTCGTCTCCAAGAGAAAGGGGAAAAAAAAAAAAAAAGTCTCCATTTCTTCTCCAGAATAGCCCCAACTCCGAAGGCTCCTGAGCTTTTAGGCCTCCCTAACCGACTCGCGCAGCCAATAACAGGGCAGCGCATCAGCCTAGAGCTAGTCTAGGCAGCTCCTAGTCCCCCAATCGCTAAAAAAGCATATCTCAGTCCTGCGCACCAAAATCTGATCTCTGCACCGCGATACCACGATAAACTTAGGTAACCTAACTTGCCAAACCTGACTTTGATAACTGCGGGGTACAGCAGCAGCAGCAACAAAGAAACAAGAAACAGACCCTGCTCCAGAGAACCGGTCCCGGCTCACACTCGCCTACCATCCGCCTTACCTTGCGCTCTTCACCTACACTACACTACCCCCCAGCAGCAGCAGCAGCGGCGGCGGCGGCCTTTTCCTGCACAGTACATACGTATTTACTTAGCTTGAGTATTCACGCCGCGCCGAGGTGGTAGTGGACGCCGTGGAACAAGCCGTGATCCGTGGGCCGGAGCGTAGGCCGCAACAGCGCCAGCGCCCAAGTTCAGTCAGGTCCCAGGCTTCCACGAGTCCAAGACGTCCAAGACACACCGACAAGCTTGAAGCTTCCACGGAAGTGTGGCCCTGTGGCCGTGTGGCCGCGTGTGTGATCGTGCCGGATTATCTGCAGCAAACCGTTCCAGCCTACTACCGGCAAGCAACCTACTTACGACGCAGGCTACGCGTTACCGTTCCAACTCCAGCGTCCGGCTCGACCCTTTTCCAACATTGACAGTGGAACAGTGAGCAAGCAAGCAATTTGTTCGTTACCGTGCATGTGGAATGGCACGCGCATGCGCATGCACATGAGAGCCTTCGCCCTTGGAAACCTCAGAAGGCTTCTCTGATCTGGCCTGTCGTGCGCTGCCTCGTTCCCCCAGTCGGATTGTTTCCTCCGTCGCCATCAAGGGCCCTGGCCTACGTCTTTTTGTTCCATCCGTTCGGTCAAAGGCAAGTCTGGTGCCGTTTCCTTCGCCAGCCCACGGGACGGGTCAGGGACAGACAGATATCACGGGCCACTCAATTCCCTGGTTCCGCCTGGTTACAGTCTCCTTTTTTTTTTTCTCTTCATGTTATCAGGCTGTCTGCCATCAGTAGAAGAAGAGCTCAACTGTCAAGTCAAGTCAAGTCAACTGAAAGAGGTCAACAAGCACCAAAGCAGCACTGTACTGTACTCTCCCATAAGAATGCAGTAACAGTTTTCCATACTTAAACTGCCAACTCAACTCTCAAATCTCTCAGCTCTCAGCTCTCAGCTCTCAGCCCAGTCGCCACTCACCCTCGCCATTTGTCTCCATCTCCCTTTCTCTTCCGTCTCAGCCAACTCACACGCCCATCGCCCATCCACCACCACTCGTTCATCTTCTAGAACGCAAAAGGGATTCGGGGCAATCCAGCATTCCTGGACTCCTGGTCGCCCCAATCGCTTGCTTCATGCAGCAAGATCTCACTGGGCTCCCTGCTCCTGAAAGCCAGAAAACTCCCTCTTCGGCGCTGTCTCAATCTCCAGTCCTCCCAAAGCTTCTTGCCGCCTTAAACTCCAGGTTCCGCCGGCCCATGGGCCCTGATGGACTCAAACCAGTCCACCGCCAGAGTATTTGGTTCTCTTCGATAGCCCGTCGGCTGTCCAATCACCATCACTCATACCATTCTCTCTGATTAACGGGTGGGTAACTGAGCAACCGAGTGCTCTCCCAGACCAGCTCGGCTGGTCCCTCTTGGTCTCTTCTCACATCTCCTTCTGGAACAGACCAAAGTTTTAGTTTTCTCTTTCCCGAGTCCACTGGCTGTCCAGCCAAGGCCATCATGGCCTCCCATCGTAAGAGCTTCTCTACCAACCGGGACCCTGACGACCCGAACCACAACGACTATGAACGCTCCGTCACAGTAGTCCACCTGCCCAAGGGCCAGATCACGGCCTCTAGTCCCGGCTCCTTCTTCGGCTCGCCCCCATACACCTGGTCCTCGGGCAACCTGGCGGCCCTCGCTGGTGGCAACAGCCGTAGCACCAACCGCTTCCTGCAACCCTCGACGCTCCAGCTGCTCCACGGCATCGGCATCATCGAGCTCCTCGAAGACGACGAGCGTCCGACCTTCATCCTCGACCTATCCGACCCCTCCTACCTCGCCCCCGGCCCGCTGCGCATCATCTACGCAAATGCTGCTCTCCGCCTCAACCCTGCTGTCCTAAAGCTCCTGCAGCTCGACACCCTCGACCCAGCCGGCCACAGCGCCGGCTTCTCAGACTTCAAGGACTGGGCCCTGCTCTATCCTCGCGACAAGACCGGCCGCGACCCGTCCTTGCCCGCCGCCCCCCAGCCCCCTCCCGCCCCTCCCGCCACATTATCCTACGCCGGTCTGTACTGGACCTGCTCGACCATCCGTCGCCGCTTCCGAATCATCCGAGGCTACCACTCCCCGATCCACATCGTCCCTCCGACCCCGAGCTCTAACTCCGCCGCCCAGCCCTCCGCCGGCATCGTAGCCGACCATCTCAAGGTTAAGAAAGGCCCCTGGACAGTCGAAGACCTCGAGATCCGCCGCGACCGTTCCGACTACTTCGGCTCAGCCGGCAGCCGCCACATCCGCGCCCACTCCGAGCCCCGCGTGCGCATCGACCCCTCTACCCCCGCCACAACCGTACCCCCCGTCCCCACTCCCCCAACAACATCAACAACAACAACAACAACAACAACAACAACAACAACAACAACAACGACGACGACGACGACGACGACGACGACGACGACGACGACGACGACGACGACGATGACGACGACGACGACGACGACGATGACGACGACGACGACGACGACGACGACGACGACGACGACGACTCTGGCGTAGTCCAGCCCTACGAAGACCCCACCCTCTGCCCGCCCCCGCCGTCGGGAGAGTTAAGGGTTACGTTCGACTGGACGCAGATCCCGCTTGACGACCCGGACCTGCCGCAACACCACCGCTTCGCTCGCTCTATCGACTGGGCGTCTACCCCCATCGGCCCGATCGAGTCCTGGCCGTTTGAGCTGCGCATCTTGTCGACCATGATCATGGGCTCCCCACACCCGGCTGCCCTCTACTGGGGCCCGGAGTTCGTAGCCATCTACAACGAGGCCTACATCGCACTCGCGGGACAGAAGCATCCCAAGCTCATGGGCAGCCGGTACCAGGACGTCTGGCCGGAGATATGGGAGGGCGTGATGGAGCCCGTGTTCGAAGGGGCGTGGAACAAGGGTTGCGCGACGATGAAGCATGACGATGTGCTGTTTATCAGGAGGCACGGGTTTCTGGAGGAGACGTTCTTTAGCTGGGCGGTGATTCCGCTCGTGGGAGGAGATGGGTCTGTCGTGGCGCTGTATAACCCCGCGTTCGATAATACTAGGAGGAGGATTAGCGAGCGGAGGATGCTCATGCTCCGGGAGGTTGGGATCAGGACGAGCCAGGCGAGGGACGTGAAAGGATTCTGGGCCGAATTGAGGGCTGCGCTGGAGTATAACGAGTTTGATGTCCCGTTTGCGCTGATCTATTCTGTGGGCGAGGAGAGCGAGAGCGAGGCGTCGTCGATGCATTCCGGCTCGCTTGCCAACCCGCCGCAGATCTTCCTGGAGGGATCGATCGGCGTGCCGGAGGGACATCCCTGCGCGGTACCGTTTCTCGATCTTAGGTCGAGTGAAGAGGGGTTTGCGCCGTGGATGCGGCAGAGTATGGGGTCGCCTTTGGCGGGGCACGTCGTGCTGAGTGCGGATGACGGGTCTCTGCCGGAGGAGCTCGTGCGCGGGCTGAGCTCCCACCGCGGGTTCCGCGACCCGTGCCGGACGGTTGTGGTCTTCCCGGTGCATCCTACCACGGCGGGCGACTCGGTCGTGGGGTTCATCGTGCTGGGGATCAACCCCCGCCGGCCGTATGACAGCGACTATCAGCTGTTTGTCAGCTTGCTGTCACGACAGCTGGCGACGTCGCTCGCATCGGTGGTGTTGTTCGAAGAGGAGATCCGGCGCGGGCGGAAGGCTGCGCAGTTGGCCGCGCTGGACAGACAGCAGCTGTCGCTGCAGCTGCACCTGCGGACGCAGGAGGCTGTTGAGAGCGAGTACCGCTTCACAAGGATGGCCGAGTTCGGCCCCGTCGGGCTGTTCATTGCCGACGGGAAGGGCAACATCAACTACTGCAACGAGATGTGGTACAAGATATCGGGTCTGGGGCGCGAGGACGCAGCGGGGTCGACGCTCGATGCCTTCCTGCAGAGTATTCGCGACGAGGACCGGCAGGCGGCCGAGGCGGCGTGGCGGAGGGTTGTCGAGGAGAAGGTTGCCGTGACGCACGAGTTCCGGTTCAAGGGCTCGCGCGAGCTGATGGACGGGCATAAGGTCGACGTGTGGGTGCTGATGAGCGCGTATCCGGAGAAAGACGACTCGGGCGGGCTGAAGAGCATTTTCGGATGCATCACCGACATATCCAAGCAGAAGTGGGCTGAAGACCTGCAGAAGCGCCGGCGTGACGAGGCGCTGGAGCTGAAGCGCCAGCAGGAGAACTTCATTGATATCACCAGCCACGAGATGCGCAACCCGCTCAGCGCCATCCTCCAATGCGCGGATGAGATCGCGAATAGTCTCGCGTTCTTCCAGAAGCAGCAGGAACAGGATCAGCAGCATCATGCCCCGCCGCAGCCCGAACGCTGCGCGATCTTCCGGCCGTTGCTGGACCGCTGTATCGAAGCTGCTTCCATAATCTCCCTCTGCGCAAACCACCAGAAGCGCATCGTCGATGATATCCTGACCCTCTCCAAGCTCGACTCCAAGCTCCTGCTCGTCACCCCCGTCGACGTGCAGCCCATCGCCGTCGTGCAGGACGTCCTGCGCATCCATGAGCCCGAGCTCAAGTCGAACGAGATCCACGCCTCCTTCGTCCTCGAGCCCTCGTACAAAGAGCTCAACATCGACTGGGTCAAGCTCGACCCGTCCCGTCTGCGCCAGGTCCTGATCAACCTGATGACCAACGCAATCAAGTTCACGCAGGGCAGGCCGGAACGGAAGATTGTTGTCTCCCTGGGCGCGTCGGTCGGTGATGCAGGGGATTTGCCTCCCGCCGTGGACGTTGTGGACGGTGCGGCGGGGGATTTGTTGGCGTATGTGCCCCGCCAACAGCTCAAGCCTGATGAGGCGGAGAGGGATATCACGGATGACGCCGACTGGGCTGATGGGGAGAAGATTAATTTGCATCTCTCGGTTAGCGATACGGGTGCTGGGCTAGATGATGAGGAGAAGGAGATGTTGTTCCAGCGGTTTACGCAGGCGAGCCCGAGGACACACGTGCAGTATGGCGGTTCGGGGCTGGGGTTGTTCATCTGCAGGATCTTGACTGAGTTGCAGGGCGGCAGGATTGGCGTGAGGTCGAGGAAGGGCGAGGGAAGCACGTTCGCGTTTTACGTCCGGTGTAGGCGGTCGAAGAAGGTTGAGGAGGTGCCAGATCAGAAAGCCCAAGAGCAAAAACCAGAACCCGAACCCAAGACGGTCACCTCCCCAGTGATAGAACGCTCCTCAGCCATGCTCGACACCCTCCCACGCACCAACAGCGCCGTAATCGTCGACCCCCTCAACCTCCCCCTCCCCCTCTCCCTCAACCTCCTGAAGCCCCGCGCATCTCAGTCCTCATCGTCGAAGACAACATCGTCAACCAGCGAGTCCTCAAGCGCGGCATCGAGCTGGCCGGAAGCACTGTCTATGTTGCCAACCACGGCGGTGAGGCGCTCGACACGCTCAAGAAGAGTAAGCACTGGCGGCGTGAGGAAGGGCCTGCGATGGTGGCGGCAGCGGAAAGTTCCCATCAGGCACAAGTGCAGGAAATTAAGTCGCCACCGCCGCTCCCTCCTCTTCCGTCGCCGGGTGGGATCCAATTGCCGGGGCTGAAGCTGTGGGCTTCGATGAATGCTGCTGCGGCTGCGGTCAATCCTATAGCGGGGTTGATATCCAATCCGACGACGCCGGCTGCTGAGGCCCCCCCGCCTACCGTTGCAGGCACTGGGGATAGTCCGGATGGTCTCGACAGTGACAGCGGCAGCAATCCCACGCCGGAGTCTCCAAGCAACAATAACCTCCATTCGCTCTTCCTGGCGCAGGTCCAACTCCAACCTCCTTTCAACCTCAAACAGCCTCCTCCCCCAAAACACCCCTCACTAATCGCAACATCAACTAAAGCCCCATCGACCTCCTCTTCCTCAACATCCTCAACCGCACCGGCAATCCCAACACCCAAGTCCGAACAACCCACTCCCCCACTTACCCTCTCAACCAAGAACCCAAACAAGGCTCAAAATGGAGGCAAGCAACTCAAGAAATCCAAAGACCCCAAGGATAAGGAACCCCAGGGCCCAATAGACATTTCCATTATCCTCATGGACCTCGAGATGCCCGTCATGGACGGTATCTCCTGCACAAGGGAGATCCGTCGGCTTGAGAAGGAGGGCATCATCACGAGGCATATCCCCATTATTGCGGTGACGGCGTACGCGAGGCCGGAGCAAATCAAAGGGGCTAGAGAGGCGGGTGTGGTAAGTCCCCTCAGAAGAACATGGAGATGTAAGAGAAAGGGAAAACTAACGAAAGAACAAAAAAAAAAACATCAGGATGACTTCATTTCCAAGCCATTCCAGATCGCGAATCTGATTCCAAAGGTCAAGGAGCTGGTGACGACGTATAACATGCTCGAGGGCCCCGCATGATGGGACCAGATTGAGACCATCCAGTCAACCAGGTCGGTTAACCAGCCAGCCAGTCATGACGACAAGCCACAAAGCGGAATGACCACCAACAATTTACACAAAACACACACAGACACACACACACACACACACACACACACACACACACACACACACACACACACACACACACACACACACACTCCCTCTCTGCCTTTCGTACAACCTAGTAACCCTGCACAACTCCCGGACACCAGACACCATCTGACACTGACACACCACACACTTCCGCGACACGATGTCTATCTGGGAACCAATCGAATCGAACCGGTCATAACGATGTGAGGTACAGCTCAGCTCGACAAGCAACAACGTTTACATTCCCGTTTCTTTCTTTTTTTTCCTAATTCCCAGTGTCCGCTTGCTCCGCAGACCACGAGTTACAGCACTCAAAAAGACATTCGGCAAAGACATGGATGGAAGGGAAGAAAAGACGTAAACAGAGAACGCTCAAACGCAGCAAGGACGAAGGATCTTATCTTCCTCGTCTCATTTCCACATGTTTGTTTTATTTCCAGTCTACCTCGGTTTTTGTGTTTTATTCCTTTTCCTCTTCTCAGGGCGTTGTCTAGCGTTGGGGATGTGAGGTTCATTATGCGTTTACGTTTTACAGGCAGGCAGGCGGAAATACCTAGGTAGAGTAGGCTGGCTAGGTTAGGCTAGGCTAGGCGTAGACCGGAAAAGAATAGGAGGGTTGGTTCTTTGGTTTGTGATAGAGAATTCTTTCGGTCCTAAGTTCCTTCTGGTTAAAACGTTGTCCAGAGTGTGTGGAAATGGATCGGGAGGAAACAAAGGGGACTGGTGATGTCATCGCCCTGAAGACGGAAACTCCCGGGGACCTAACCCGGAACAACAAGACAGTCACATATTCTTCAACACATTACGCATAATGAAACCAAGTGTATAAGCGAATTCAACATGCGAGGTATATTATTAGCTATTAAGAGAGAGGCTTGCTTGGGTCGGCCCTGTCATTTGCCCAAAGGACAAAACGCTCAGGGAAACCAGTCAGTCCGATGATTCATTCCCATCCGCCCTACCACTACTCCAACCACAACATACATTCCCGTATCCATGATATGTAACCATCTTTTTTTTGTCTTTTTCTCATTGTCATGTTGCCCTTCCATCCACCACCCCGCCAGTCAGCTCATCAGACAAGACTTGACCCAAAGCAGAAGCAACCGGGGAACGACTATGTGTTGTTGCCCTTAACACGTTCACCTTTCCTCCTCTCCTCAATACGAGGCAAAGGGAAAAAGCTAAGTGTGTATGGCAGGGTATACTTTGGGTATCAAAACAGATCGACAGCAAAAACTGAAAAATGCACGAAAAGACATATGTTTAACTCCGCAAGATTTCTCCGTAAAGAGAAAAAAAGCAGGAGTGTCAACTAATAGAGGTAGGAAAACAAGGAAAACCGAGTGCAGAAGCAGTGGTCACCACCATCGGTGACGATGGCAAGCGAAGTCGGGAGCTAAGCCGGTCCGTACTTGTCAAGAGGGCTGCCGTTGCCATGACCGAATGACAGGGCCGAGGGTATCTGAGAAGAACCAATCTTGACTGGGTATCTCGAAATGCAGATCCGAACCCGAACTAAACCCAAAGAAAGGAGGGAAAGGCGTCGAATTCGCTGGGTTTTGTTTTTTTTTTTTGATTCGTACCTTGATCATACGGGTATCGTCATCGCCTGTCCTGACATGCCATAGAAAGGAGAATTACATGGCGTCGTTGCGCCCAGTCGCCTAGGCAGTGGCGGCAACAGCGGGAGCAGCAGCCTCGGGCTTGACGGCGGGCTCCTCCTTCTTCTCCTCAGCAGCCGGGGCGGCAGCCTCGGCTTCGGCGGGCTTAGCCTCCTCAGCGGGCTTGGCCTCGCCCTCAGCGGGCTTCTCCTCAGCAGGCTTGCCCTCCTCGGTCTTGGCAGCCTCCTCGGCCTTCTCCTCAGCCTTCTCAGCCTTGTCCGTCTTCGACTTGCCCTGCGCAGTGTCAGCATTGTTCTGCTCGCGCCACAATGGACAGATATCAACGTACCTTGATGGTAGCACGGAGCTTAGAGAAGGGGGACTTCGGCTTCTCGACGCCCTCCTCGTCCGAGGCAGAGCCCTCCTTCTTCTTGCCGAAGCTGAAGGGAAGAGCACTCTTGCGCTTCTCGGCCTTGGGAGTCTCCTTAGTCTCGCCGTTGGTGGCGGGAGCAGCCTCGGTGGCGGCGGTCTCAGCAGCGGGCTGCTCGGCAGGAGCAGCGGCAGGAGCAGCAACCTCGGTCGAGAGAGGCTCGGTGGTCTCGACGGCGGGGATCACAGGAGCAGTCTCCGAGACGGCCTCAGCAGGAGTCTCCTTGGGGGCCTCAGCAGCAGAAGCGGCCTTCTTCTTGCCGAAATGGAAGTGGCCGAGGATGCTATATCAGGTGTTAGCGCGGTAAGATGAACAAGACATTGGATAGGCCGATTCTTACCTGGTACGCTTAGACTTGACCTCTTCCTTCTTCTCCTCAGCCTTAGGCTCCTCCTTGGCCTCCTCCTTGGCCTCGTCCTCCTTCTTCTCCTCAGCCTTGGGCTCCTCCTTGGCCTCCTCCTTGGGAGCCTCAGCAGCGGCCTCAGCGGCAGGAGCAGCCTCCTCCTTCTTAGCCTCCTCGGCTGGGGCTTCAGTGGCGGCAGCAGGCTCGGGCTCGGCAGCCTTCTTCTCCTCCTTCTTGCCGAGCAGGCCGAGGATCGACATGCGCTTACGGCTAGCCGAACGAGGCTTGGACTTCTCCTTGGCCTCATCCTCCTTCTTCTCCTCGGCCTTGGGCTCCTCCTTAGCCTCCTCCTTGGCCTCCTCCTTAGGAGCCTCAGCGGCAGCCTCCTCAGCGGGAGCAGCCTCCTCCTTCTTAGCCTCCTCGGCCGGGGCCTCAGTGGCGGGAGCCTTCTCCTCCTTCTTGGCCGGAGCGGGCTTGAGGCTCTCGAGGGTCTTCTTGTAGGTCTCAGACTCGGTAACGGTGGCAGTGAGAGCCTTGGCCTCCTCAATCTTGGCCTTCAGCTGAGCGACCCAGTTGTCGCGGTCAGCAGTGCTGGCAGTCTTGAAACTGTGCTTGGTGCCCTTAACAACAAAGTGGAACTTGGTAGGGCCATCGACGACGGGCTCGGAGGCATCAGCCTAAGAGCAGGTTAGATCATATCCCAATCCGACTATCGATCGGCTTTCTCATACCAGGTGGATGGCGCCGACGGGAGCAGCCTTGTCGCCCTTCTCGTTGAAGAAAAGAAGGCCCTTGCCGGTCTCAGCAGCCCAGGCAGTGATGTGGTGGGCAACATCGGCGACCTTGTCGGCCTTGAAAGAGCTGATGGCCTTGAGGTCGACGGCATCGGTGCCGAACCAGAAGAACTGCTTGTTGTAGAGGAAGTTCCTGCGGAGAAGTCGTTAGATGACTACGCGCGTATCGCGACCGACTTGAAGACTGCGCGTCGACTTACTTAGGGAAGCCGAGCTTGTGCTCGAGGTGGCCCTCCTCGACGGGCTTCACCTCCTCTTTCTTGTCCTCCTCGGCGGGAGCAGCCTCATCCTTCTTGGGCTCCTCAGCGGCAGCCTCAGCAGGCTTCTCCTCGGCAGCCGGCTCAGCAGCAGGGGCAGCGTCAGCAGCGGGAGCGGCAGTCTCAGCGGGCTTGGTCTCAGCGGCAGGCTCGGTAGCGGCAGCAGGAGTCTCCTGCGGGACCTCAGCGGGCTTCTGGGCGTCGGCCATTTTCGATTACTTTGGTAATAGTAGTAGTAAGTTGGGTGCTTAAAAGGTTGGGTATCTCGAGAGAGGAAAAAACGAAACTCGGGGGTATCGGGTATCACTGGAGAGAACAGAGAGCAAGGAAAAGCAGGTGAACCTCGGTGTGTAAGGAATTAACACGAGGGCAGCCTGCGCGTTATTGTTTGCGTTGGGGGTATCGCAGAGAAATCTCGGGGGAAAACGAGACAGAACGCGTTGTTGGTTACAGGAAGGAGGAAGGAGAAAGAAGGGAAGCAGGAAAAGGCTTGCCGCCTCGTGGTGGTCGCCGGGGGGGCTTCTTATTTCGGCACGAGGCAGGTCCACGGCCTGGGTTTTTGGTGCGAGGGACCTGGGCAACAACAACCAAGGCCCTTGCAACCCTTGTTACCCTGGGCCCTTGGTCCTTGGCAGCCTAAGTTCTGGGCAGAGCAAAAAGGGTCTGGGCACACCCGGCACGCGCTCCCACATCCACTGCACGACAAGAACACACTCTGGCGAGCGGGAATGGACCCTTGGAATCAAAAACGGCAAGACCACCTGCCACCGTCCAGGTTCCCTCGTTACGTTCGCCGCGCTTGCACCTCCCTTCTGAGTTTAGCACTTCAAATACATAAAAAAGCCTAGGCCAGCCATTATTCAATCCATCAAATCCCTCCAATCGTCGATTTGTCGCCAATGGGGCCCCTCCTCCCGTCATCTTGCTCTCTGCTCCCTCTCTCTCCCCCCTTTGGGCCCATCTCACTGCTCCCCCCTTTTCTTTGACTGGCTGGATGGCCCAGCTACGGAAACGCACGCCTTGCTGCGGCAACATTGGCGGCGACCCCAATCACGGTCGCCCGGGCAATGCCGTGATCCTAAAGGTGTGTACAAAGAGACGGCAAATGTGTTCCTCCCGCTCATGTTCGCGGGCGGTTGGTGGCGGTTGCAGACTGCTTCCAGCTTTCCGACCTGTTGCTCAATTTGGCTTGGGAATACGAAATTGCTCCAGCCCGTTTCTGGGTAGGGATCAAGCTTTCCCCCCTTGGCCGCTGCACGCGTCTTTGCTGCAGCCACCGAGCAGGCAGCTCCAGCTTGCAGCTGCCTCGCTGCAGCTCACCAGGAGACAGGACCCACTGGGAGTCGGCGGGGGGACACAGCGTCAGGCCAATTGGTGGCCCGTGCACCACAGCCGCCCGGGGGTTTCTTTGTCAGCCCACCAATGACATCGCCCAGCGTTCGTGGACCTTGTATCGGATACCTTGCTCATAAGTACCGGCAGATGCATCGCGATGCTGTCGGTGTGTTTCCAGTTGCTGCCAAACCCGCTGATTGTCATGCAGCTGCCCCTGCAGCTGCGATCTGTCGCCTGTCTTGCTGTCTGCTGGTGACCTGTTTGTGAAGTCACTCGCGTCCAGGAGTACCTTGCAGAGCGCCGATCAACCCGCCCAGGGCGGCCCCATCGAGACGACACCATCCCCGGGTCTTCATCATCTCGCTGGATCCCCAGACCGCAACATCAGGAGACAAGCGACCAGAATTGAGCTGAGTCACCAGCGGCAGTTAAGATATTACGAAAGGAATAAACTACCCTTATATGTGCTCTTGATGGGGCAATTCATACCGTTACCAACATGAGGTCTCGTTCGCAAAGATGACCGTAGCAATCCTGCAATCTCGCAACGGCAGAGAACGATAGAAGTCACATTTGTGGTGGGTATGCTTTGCTGCTTACCGCCAGCCTCCGTATCCACCGCACCACCCCTGTAAATTTTGGCCCACGACGTTACTTGAGCGTAATCAATTAAAACGCTCCACCAATTCCACCGACCTTTTTCATCGACAAAAGATCGGTTCGGATGAGGCCGGCGACGGTGACAGTGTCCGGCTCCGACCTTCGATCTTGACACATCGTGATGAGGATACCGATAGCTGCCTGCAATGTTTAGCATTAGGACCGACAAGGTCCAAAAAAAATCTACCGCGATAATCGGCTCTTGGTCTCCCGATGGCAAGTTCTCACAAGCCCTTTACCTACATCAACTACACCATGAACTCCAGCTTTTACACGTTCGACTAGCCTAGGCCCAGCGATGTCGACAGCTGGCGGAATTAACATCGGCATCCTGGCGTGAGATCGCAGACCCGACGCAGGCTCCACCCACGCTCAGCTTAATTGACCGATAACTTTAGTCGTCCAGCTTCGAGAAAAGCTCTTCTAACAGAAATCCCGTTTTTATGCCACAGAAGAGCGTTGCTGGATACTGTTTTGCACCAACGCAGGAACAGATTCTTGACACAGGCCAAAATGTCGGTGCAGATAGCTGACTGATCGGAGTGCAGGGGCCGCCCCTTGATCGTACCCTGGATGCTGCAGGGCAGCGGAGTGGGATGATTGGCAATCCGCCCGGGAGTTCGAGCGGTCCACAAACTCCACCGCAGCATTCGGCTTGCCGAACACCAGTGGCTTGCCGGGTTTGGCTTCTGAAGGTTTGAATGTTTGGCATCGAACAATTTTGTGTCTAAAGGGATACCGCCAGCAACTCAAAAACACTTCCCAACCTCCCAGAAACGACGGAGTGATAACGATCAGATCCGCTTCCTCAAAAAAACCAGCAGAGACACCTGAAGCGGCCAACGCATGGCCTTAACACCAGCTTGACGAATCTCTTGCACTAACACTCCCCCAAAATGTAACCGACTCTTCTAGGACGCATAATTCCTCGCAGTGCGCTGCGTTGCCGGGCGGGGTCCCGTGCCTCCCACGAGCCTCGCCTCTGCCTCTGCGTCTTGGCCATGAATCTTGTCTCCCACATCGTTCGCAACCCCGTTTCTTTTCGTTCTCAGGTGGTGATGGCTCTGCCGAGCTTTGCGTCCGGGTTCGATATCTTTCTATAATCAGTCTTCAGCTTATTGTCAGCGACGTTGGGATGTTTCTCGTCTTCGCAAACATGTTTCCCATGCATCCCTTCCCTCGCTTTCACCAGCTCCCAATCGGTATCTACGTATACTCATCTGGCGGCTCAACCCCAGCACTGTCACAGCTCCCAAGAGGTTCTCACCGCTAGCCTTAGCTTTGATAGCAACCGGTTTGGCCATTAGCGTTGCAGTGCGTGCAACCCTGGCGGGGCCTGCCCTCCGGAGCCGATTCTGCTCCGACCCTAGCGTGCAGTGTAAAAAGAGCAACCCTCAACCAACACCACACAATTGCTTTTCTTTTATTTCAAGGCTTTTTTCTACAGTTCTGAGCACAATCATGAGGATGATCAGTATCCGAGCAGCCAAGTAAGCTTTGCCGATACACCACTGCAAAGATGATGCCATCATCGCTCAAGTATTAGAAGCAGACGGGCGAATCACAAGCTTTCAGGTCTGTGGATTGCAAAATGCTTGGAGGTGATGGACGGAAAATGCCCGGCTCAATCTGCAAGCCAAGAGCTGGTTTCGGGGCTACACGACGCTAATCCCACTCAAGCTAGCGCCACCCGATGGTCTTCTTTGATCCAGATCTTCAACGCTCCTTCGCGTGGGGCAGCCAGGATACCAACAGCCATCCAACCAGAGTCGAGAGTGTTGCTGCTTGGGCTTTGAACAGGTGACCAAACGTGACCGCGAAGGACTCCCTCCATTGTCTCTGGCGATGATGTCAACCTGAGGATCCGACGCCATACACCTTGCGCTTGCTGCGGATGCTGCGGATATGCTTCGTCTGGAAACCCGACCTCCCGTCCCGCTGTCGCTGCTGGTTATCCATTCGTCAAGGCTGTCTCTCATTGTGCCCCCGCTGTGACGTATCACTGATTACCATCCTTCGCCCACCACCCTTCCTCATTCCACCCCTATCCCGTTCTCTTGATGTTCAGGTGACTCGGAAGCAGACGGCTTGAGAAGGCTCAAGATGGCGACTTTTCTTGTGCCTGATGGCGACATGCGATCTTGATTAGTTCCGGAACCGAAAAGCCAACTTGTCAGAATGTGTGGCTCGCACGAGGTTTGGTTCAGGAACTTGGAGGAGGTAGACTGTTGTCAACATAGCTCTCAGAGCATGGTTTGCCCCTCCTCCTATGGTAGTCCAATGTGTCGCAGCCGTTGCGTTTCTCAGGCCACCATGTAAAACTACCCCTCATTTTTGCCCAGGTACTTTTAGCTCTCTCGCAATCCTGATTTCTTGACACGGTACCGACCGATCATGCATGCAAGAGGCAAGAAGCTACCAAAGTATATTTATGCCATCGATTTCGGGGTTCAATATCAGCCCGCTTGGGGTTCTCTAGGATTTCCAGATTCAACGACCGACATCACTCTACCTACACTTTACCCCTCAGTTCCATACTATCATAACATATCTGCAGTTGCTAAGAAGGCATCCCGCCCAGAAACCATGGACGGGTAGGGAGATGGCTAGCTCGATTCGTTGATACGGAGCGAAATAGAAATGGCTTGAAATCAAGCAGCCCTCCTCCTCCCTTGTTTAGTCCTCTTGCCGCTCCACCTGATGACGGGCGCGTTGGACGGATTGGCTGAGCTGACTGAACAGCCCATCCGACCGCCCGACCTGCAGCATCAGACACGCTAAGGTTGTTTGGAAATGGGTATTTGTTGTCTTCTCACCCACTCTGCTGGGCGATTCTGCCCAATGGCCATGCGAAGCAGGCACGCAAACAAACATCTGCACACGTGCATGACACGCCTATGTACAGTACACACGCGCGTGTCTTACTCTTCCTTGCCGAAGTGAGGCAGATTCCTTTGGTTTCCAAGCAGTCCCCGTCCACGAGCCAGAGATTGCTGCGCACTAACCCCATTCTAACAACACACTCCGTACTGGGTGTCCGGGCTGTCGATCTGGGTTGGGGAGGGTTACACTGCTTTTGCTCGGATTGTGTCTTACGCAGTTGATGCTACTTGCCGAGTGGCAAGTAGCGTCATGGTTTTGTCTGGTGCTATCGCTGGTCGGTAGGTCGTGGGACTGCGTACGAGCATGGACACGCGAGTCGAAGAAGTCATCCTACGAAGATGAGATGTCGGTGTTACATGTGCTGTGGTGATGGGTGCGGAGGAAGGGGAGGGGGGCCGATGTGATGGGGGGGCCTGATTGTGGGTTGTGAAGGTTGAGATTATGGATTTGGCGATGTCTGAGTACCATGGATATGGTTTCGTTTTCTACTTGGCATGTTTTTTTTATGGCTCCATGAGCTACATATTTGAACCCTTTAATTGTTTTTCCATCTTTGCGGGTGCTGTTAGTCCTCTCCTAACCATCCCATCTTCACCATCCGAACTGTAGCTCCCGACTCCTGGTTCCTCCAATTGACCGACCAATCAAGTTTTTGTAAACGTTCATCTGGACTACCTGAGTACTGATCTTCTCGCCTGCTGTTCCCCACTCCCCCGGTAGTATGTAAGCTGCGTCACGAGTGCAGCAGTCTGCATGCAGCGTTATCGTTCCTCTCTGCCTGCTCAATCGGGTCCTTTCGTTGAGTCGCCTTCTTGAGCCTTTGGCTTGGAAGTTGAGGCTGAGCGTCGGGCTTCCAGGGGTTCTACCAATTTCACGTCCAGCTGTGCGATGACATCGGCTTTTGGAAGTTGGATTTTTTGCATCGAGGTAGCTTGAGAGTTCAACCTTGCTAGAGGTGCTCCATGCAGTCTGCAGGCAGCGTCGTCATTGCTGTCTGCCTAACGCCAATGAAGTGGATGTGGTCCGTAAGTTTAAGGCGGGCTGTCGTCATTGGCTTCAACCTTGCGGCTGCGTACCTGTGATCGTTGGATGGGGAGACTGCTTCGAGATTTTCTTACCATGTGAAATGCTTGACGTGGAATCTTGTGTCATCTCAAGGCTTCGTGGCATGTGATTGCAATTTCGGTGGTTGTCTGCACAGCTGTAAAAAACAGAGTTCTAATAGTGTTTCACCGGAAACGATGCGTCTTTCAAGGTGCTCAAAACTCGAGACTTGACGTTCCGTTGTCAAAGAATGTGCGCCGTGGCAGTTGAGTTAGCAAAATTGGTGGGCTTGAGATCAATGGAGAATCAGGATGGTATATCTAAAAATGAACGTCCCATCTTTCTTCTACAGGCTTGCTTGGGTTGTACAGTCATTTCGAAGAAATTGATCGCAGAGTCTTCCGACAAGATAGCAAGATAACTTACTTCCAGGCACGAAACACGTTAAGGTTAAGCCGCATGCGAGACGCGCCACCCCTTCCCCCCGATATTTCGTCGACCTGCCATGTTTGAGCATTGACCTGTCCAACCACTAACCAGGTCATCCCGACCATGCCCGTGGTTTCAGTGTCTGTTAATGAGTGCTTATATGCGTATGTTTATCCAGATCAATCGAAGGTAGATGCATCTGGTCAGATTGATAGGAGTGGTGTCTGGGAGGGGGGGGGGGGGAGATATGGATGTGGCAACACGTATGGTCACTGCTCACTGGCGAAGGAGGATTTACAAACTGAAGCGAAAAAAACGTTTTGAAGAACGAAAGAATGATATTGACGCCATGCTCTACGCGTATTTGGCCTATTCAACAATCTGGTTGTTGCTACTGTGCTCCGCACGGTCAATACTCGAGGACTGACCACCTTCTAAGGCAACCACTAATGGTCCCATGTTGCTTCGCAAGTTGAATAGATGTGAATAGCGTCATCAACGTCGATTCCCAGTGCTTAGGATTGTCTTCTAACCACACGCACTGTTTTGTCTCTTGAACTCCCCAAGCGCACCCTCAAAAAATCTCTGGCTGCTTCTACTCTCCCACCACTTCCCTCCTCCTTTCCTCAAAACTAACAACTAACATCCCAACCGTAGCACGACACTTTGTAGATATTTTCCTGTCTAGGATGCCCATCTTCCCGTTTTCTAACAAACACCCTCGTCGACTGCTTTCCATTTTACGCCCTCACTTGCCCACCACATAACTTACCTATCCGCGCTCACCTCGTCCTCTTCGCTATATAACACTCTTCTACATGTTCATTTCGGGGTATTTTTCAGAACACCGTGGAGTATCAGCAAATCTCTTTACACCCATACAACACCAATTCTTCCAACAGCTCTCGATTCTCAAGATTTTCACAGCCCTGCCGTTTCGTCGATTTTGGCGCTACGATTGCGGGCGCTCACTTAGTCAGCTACCGTGGTTGATCAGTATTATTACCAGTGAAATCAGCTTAGAAAGAACTAACTTGATCACTCCTTTCTCATATGAGTTGAATTTCATCATAAAATTACTTTTTGCATTTTTCTTGCGGCAGGTGCTGCCCCCTTGACGTCTTCAGCCGCGGGTTTCTCCAAGACGCGAATCTCTCCAATCGGCGCAAGGATCTCCCAGTTTAGTCGCACATTCCAAGGCGCTTTCAACTCTCCGACAACCCCGTTTCTTTCCACAGCCGGCTTGTTTGGTCGTGTCCAAGCAGTGCCTGGGTATCATTTACACTCTTTATCACACATTCACGTACATCCTGCATTCTGTGCTGTGTTGCAATGTCGCAATCCCAGACTCTCAAGGGCGCCAAGGCCCATCATCCCGAAGCTCTGGCAGCTGTTGACCCTCCCAGAAGTCAGCGCTCACAGGCATCGTGGAGACCTCAACCAGTGCCCGAGGGCACATCGCAAAGTCTAGAGTCCAGGAAAAAGAGCACCAAGTGTCCTGAGGAAAGGCCTCAGCATTCGCCGGCTGATCCCCAGGTGGTGGATTGTGTTGAGCTGCCGAAAAAGGTCAGCTATTGGCGCAAGGTAAGAGAAAGGAAGAAGCTTGAGCAAGGGCATCGAGATTTGAGTCAAAACAACCGCAAAATGGAAAAATCTCGCGGAAATTTCCGGAATAATAGGCCCAAAGGCGGTGCTCGAATCACTGCTGGCTGTCCCTCTGGTAGTGCGGAGGGTCCCCGTCCTGGGGGCAAGAACAACAAAACTTACGGCTGTGAGGATTTCTCTGCACATTCTCTCCAAAATTTGGGGTCCCAGAAGAAAGTCTCTCGCCTTCACAACAAAAACAAGGGCTCTCGGCCTCAGGTGAGTACTCGCAGCATTACTTCGCTCCATCGATGCTGTCTTTGCTGAGCTGATTCGTTCTCCAGAGAGCCGTTACTGTTTCCGATACCCGCCCGTGGTACCAACGTACGGTCCATGTGAAGCCGTGGCTATGGGATCCTTTCTATGTAAGCGTTTCCCTATCCTCTTCAAAAGCGCCAGAAGTTTCTGTTGCTAACTACAATGCTCAGCCGAACCCGGACAATGGCACAAAGGAAACCCCAAGCTTTAACTACAATCGTCCTTGGCCTTCTCTCGAGGGCAAGGATGTCGAGGAGTATCTCCGCAAGGAAATGAAGAGAGGCCGGCGTGCCGAGCTGCCCCGGATCACTCCTGATCTCACCCCCCGCGAGCTTTGCGATGCCGCGCTGAAATACAGCGCCAGGGGCGAGGGGAAGCTCTTCGAAACCCGCAAGGCGATCCTGAATAACCCCACCGAGCCGAAGCTCCTCATTCTTGTACATTTCCCTGTGATAATGTAACAGCAAGCTCTTTTGGTTGGACTGTGCTGACATGCTCAACAGTCTGATAACACGATCTGGACCGAGAATGAGGATAATGCTTTCCTCAATGTGATCAGCATTGGAGAGATCGGAAACATTATCCTCCATCACCTTCGACCCAGTGTTGTTGATTTGACAGCCCTTGCATTTTCTTGCAAGAGAGCCACCTTTCTCGTCTCTCGCCGGATGGTAAGTGATGACCCCGACCATTGATACCACAACGTACGTTGAGCGAATGGTCCTGATGAAGCATATACAGGCTCTCTGGGATTTTCGTCTTGGCAACTTCCGTACCGAAGTTCTCGCGAAGCAGGAGGAAATGCGGACAATGGGCGATAATGCCGAGAAAACCAACAAGATTAGGAATCTAGTCGACACTCTGGTTGTTGCTCCGTTCACCCCAGAGACCACGGTCCCCAAACATCCATATATGGATGACTTCTTGAACATGATGAGGGTTTGTAAGTGATTTGTCTTAGACTCGTGACTCCCGAGTCGTTGCTGACACACCTTGATGCAGGTGCCACCATAACCATGATTCCTCAGAAAATTTTCAAGCATGTTATCCTCGACCAGGTGCCTTTCCTGACCACTCCAATAGTCGAGATGATCATCAATACCATGCCACAACTGGAGACGCTGACCATTACCCGTTGTATTCTCCTGGATGTCTCCAAGCTCCAGGATCTCTTGGACGTTGTCGAGCGGCATCCGAGACTTCTTCCTCCGCGGCCTGGCTCTCGTAGGGGAACCGCTAAGACCTATGTCAAGCTCGACTGGTTTCCCTTTTTCTTCCATGGCCCCGATACAAAAGATCGCCGCGGAACGTACGGCATTACCCATCACGAAAACTTTATCGCCACACCCAAGGCAGTTTTCGGTTTGGTCATGCGTCACTGGGAGCAGGCCAACAGAGTCGGCATGGACCTCATCAGTGATCGTTCCGCTTTTTTCAGCTTCATTCGTCGGCTCCCAGGACCTGATCCCTTATGGGCTGTGAAGGCTCGGGATGCCTGGGTTACTCGACTCTTGAAGCTCAAGGACCAAAAGTTTAACGAGAGAACTGTTGAGTTTGAATTCATGGATGATCTTCTTCCCGCGTTGGCTGGGGACAACTACGACGATCATCTTCCCAGGCCCGTACTTGACCACCTGCCTGCTATCTATAGGCACACATCAGGCTGGTGGCGCCGGCTCTGGACTTGTCCAACCTGCAAGTTCCTTTGGCCGCAGACCATGTATGGCCTTATCACGAACGCCTGCTGGTCATGCCTACTGCGCGAGTGGATCTTTGTTTTTGAAGACAGCCACCTGAGGCATTGGCAGCGTGTGGTGATGGCGCGCTGGCTGCGGGATCTTGACCAAGCACGCGCGACGCTCCAGGAAGCTCTGACTTATCGCGGCACTTTAGACAAGGCGCTGGAGTACGTGAAACAGATGGATTGCATATGGACATATTTCTACAACTTTGACAAGAACCGCTACAAGGGCCTGCAATACTTCCCACCGCCTCCACGCCCGGTGGACGCTGTGATTCAAGGGCTTCTGCGCTGGACGTTCCATTTCAACCACTTCGAGTTCGGCCCTGACTACCGGTGGGATTGTCGCCACGGTGGCCCTCAGTTCACGGTGATGCCCTTCAGCGACCCAGCTCGGCACAATCCTACTGACGACTATGGCCCCGAGGATTTCGAATGCTTCTTGGGGCGTTGGGTCTGGGACGACGAGGCGGACGAACGCTGGTTCGCCATGTTCAAAGAGGAACAATACAAAAAGGTCAAATCTGCGCGTGACCGCATCATCGATCGGTACCATCCCACCGCGCTACGACTCCTACAGCAGGCGAGAAATGACCTAGCCTGGCGAAGGCGCATGGCCAGTTTCGCGATGGTCGAGCAGAACCACTCGGACTTTAGTATCCTAACCGAGTGGAACAGGGAAGTCTCTTATAACATGTGGGGTTTGTTCACGCCTGGCCGGCTGCCGTTCAATCACGACCAGCCAATGCCGCATAAGGATCGTGATCCGGAAGGCTTCCAGAAGGCTCTGGATCATTTAAACTTTGACTGCGCCCCGTTCATGGGTATCAGCTGGGGCCAGCGTATGTGAGCGCCGCACTTGGACATATATTGCACCGGTTTTCACGTAAGAGTCGCCTCTGCTCGTCCGACGACGACGTCTCAATCGCATTACCGAATTGCAAACGGGGTAAGGCGCTCAACTTAAGTGATAGGCACACGCTTTGTAGCTAGTTGGTTTACTTTTGGGGGTGTCATACATTGCTGCAACAACAACAACAACAACAACAACAACAACAACACTTTCTTGGGGAAAACTTCCCACATGACATAACGTAATTGGCGTTGACGGATGACTTGTTTTGGCAGACCGGACTGGAATGGAAACGGAGCAAAAACGAAAAAAAAAAATCTGGGTAGGCGTTTAAGCATGGTGACGGTTGACGGATACCATTTCATGAGATATACGATTGATTATTCACGGACATACATGCTGATGGAGATGATTTCACGATCGATCCACGGCTTTTACTTGATGGAGCGTTACGGGGTCTCAGTGTTCTTTTCCATATTTTTTTTTCGCTTCCTGGTTTTCCTTTTCTTTCTTCAGTATGGGACTCCATACTCGTGGACGGGCGATCTTCACTCAATCTTCTTTTCATTTTCTTCCTTTCCTAAGTGTGTTTGTTTTCTTTTGCTCTTCTTTACGGGGCGTCTTCCCCTCATCGGAGTATCGTCGCAAATTTCCTCGGTTACGCGGATTTGGCCGCATTAGATCTTCAGAGCAGGAAGAAAATGGTTAGGCTAGGACGTCTTGGGATGGTCCGTGCCATAGGTACTTGGGGAGGGATGCATAATGAAGTCTTAGGTTCGTTAGGTCTAAGTTTAGACCTCATTAACAGGTGTGGTAGCTTAGGGATTAGAGAAGCAGTGGTATGTGGGTTATCGATGGGTTCTTCCTTGCCCAGATAATGGATGATCCTTTGTCGGGGGGGTTTTGGGCTGTAGTCGGTAACTAGGTGACCTCTAGCCATGACCTCATCAAATGAACCCTGATGCTGTTTCGCTAGACTCTCGGGAGAGGACTTCTTGATACACAGTGCACAAAACGCCTTACGGGTCCATGCCCATCTTGAGAGGAGAAAAGGTAATATTCGCCAAACCAAGCACATGGGGTATCTCTCTATCATCTAGTGACACATACACTCACTCTATGGAGACAGGTCTATAACTACATATACACACCACCATCATTCCTCTCGCTCCTTGCTTTCCTCACCCTCCTCCTCGGCCGTTCCCTCCTCCCCCTCCTCCTTTACCGGCACACCCGCCTTCGCCGTAGGACCCAACCCAACCACATTCCGCAAATTCCCAAAACTCAAACAGTCACTAATCCTCCTCGTCCCAGCAAACAACATCACCAACCTCTCCACACCGCATCCCCATCCGCCCGTAGGCGGCAACCCCGACGCCAACGCATGCACATAGCTCTCGTCAATAACCACATCCTCATCCTTCACGTCCGTGGTCCCCTCCACAACAAGCTGCCTGGGTTCAACCAGCTGGTTCTTCGCTTGCTCCTCGGCCAGTTTCTCCGCCAGCTGTTCCTTCGCCTGCAGAATGAACTTCCTCTTTTGCTCGAAGGGGTCGTTCTCCTCCTCATACATGTTGGCTAATTCCCTGCCATGCATGAAAAGCTCTGCGCGCGCGGAAACGGTTTGGCCTGTCTTAGGACAAACGAAGGACTTGGCGAGCGGGGACATGCAGACGGGTTGGTGGGTGATGAAGAGCGGCGATGTGGCGGAGAGGGGCTCGATGTACCGCGCTGCGAGGGCGTCTAGGAGCTCGGCGAGGGTGGAGGTGTTGGTTGTTTCGGGGAGGGTGATGTTGTGGGATTGGAGGAGGGAAAGGAGGTCTTGGAGGGCGGTTTCGGAGGTTAGGTTCGGGAGGGTGAAACCGAGGGCTTGTTCGAGGGTTGGGATGAACTCGGCTTGGGCGAAGGGTTGCTGGAAGGCAGTCAGGTCGATGTCGGGAAGAGAAGTGAGTTTGGTGGAGATGAGAGATTGGCAGTGCTCGGCTGCACCGCGGATAAGAGATTCGGTGAGGGAGATTAGGTCGGGAAGGGTCGCGTAGGCGTGGTAGAACTCGCAGATGGTGAATTCGGGATTGTGGGTTTGGTCGATGCCCTCGTTGCGGAAGGCTGGGCCGAGCTCGAAAACGCGTTCTATGCCGCCTACGACGAGGCGTTTGAGCCAGAGCTCAGGGGCGATCCGGAGAGAGACGTCACGCGAGACGGAGTTGGCCGTGACAGTGAAGGGGCGGGCGCTGGCGCCACCTGAGGTCGCGGCCAGGATGGGAGTCTGGAACTCGAGAAAGTTGCGCTCGTGGAAGAAGTCCCGGAGGTACTTGATGATGTAGGAGCGCAGGCGCAAGACGTCGGTGGTCTTGCGATTGACCAGCATGTCCAGATGCCTGTTGGTCATCCGCACCTCCTCGTCTACCAGCTTAGTGGGCAGAGGGATGATGCTTGGGGTCAGGATCTGAGGCAGATAGCTGGCCTGGATAGTAAGCTCGCCGGCTGGCGTGCGGGTAGCCTTTCCTGTAACGGCTGGGCACAAGTCAACAAGATGATCACAGAAGGGAGAAGGCAGCTGGGTTGGTCATACAGATTATGTCACCCCTACTAAGCAACTTCGCCAGCTGCTTGATATCCTCCACCGTCGAGCCATCCATCAGCTTATTCAGGTTACAAATTCCCTGAACGCGCTCAAACTCGCCACTCAAGTCAAAGAAAATAAGCTTCGATCCAGCCCTGCGCACCGACTGAACGCGGCCATGGAGCGTGACCTCCTCTTCAGCCACAACGCCCTCTTGGATGTCAGCAAACTTCTCCCGGAAATCCGGGATGCGCATGGGCGGCGCATGATCGCGATGCCTCAGGCGTGGGTACTTGAGCGCATTGGCCTGCTCCAGTTCCTGCTGCCGGGCGAGGTGGAAGAAGCGCAGGTAGGCCGGGTTCGGCCTGCCCAGAGGCTTCCAGATGTACGGGCGCAGGAACTGGAGGAACGGGGCTGGCTTCATTGCATCGTCTGGTAGAGTTAGCCATGTTTGCATAGGCAGGAAGTGTCAACCAATAGCTCAGGGTCAGGCAGAATAGAGAGGGGTCAGAAAAAGGGCAGATGCTTTATCACACTCGTAGAGAAACTCTCGAGTCAATCGCAGCGGTTCTTTTGATCGTGCCATTCATCATGTTGTTCTCATAATGCTCTCAGCGTAGTTTTCATGACAGGTTTACTTACACTTTCAAGAAGACTGTTTGTAAACACTTCTCCCACACCTCTCTTCGCACTGAAAATTTGGGCTTCCCGTTCGTGTGAAGCGAGAGTTTTACGCGGTCGGCCGATGAAGCCGCGAGATCTCAAAACTTTTTGTGGGGCCGATCCAGCTCTCTACTTCCTTTCCTCCAATCAGAGCCAGCCATTAGCTTTGGCTCCAGACCCGCTGTGGGGCAACCGAGGTTTTGCCGTGTCTTGGCATTGGACCCACGCAGGAAAACCGCTGCCAGCGAGAGACGTCCAGGTCCAAAATCTGGGGCTGCTGACAACGACGCTGGAGAGTGTTGAACAAAGACAACTTACGAGTCAACTCCTCAAGAATCGCGCATTTTCTTCAGCGCCATTTTTCTACACTGCCCTCGATAAAATAAAAGTCAATCTCCAATACACTATAACCCATCAAAATGTTCGGCTTCGGCAGGCCCCAGCCCACTTCGGCCGAGAAGATCGCGGCGATTGAGAACGAGCTCAAGGTCGTTGCCGAGATGCACTCTCGGTATGTCTTCCGCTTCCCTAAATTCAATTTCTTAGAAGAATGGCGAAGGTTAATCATGTCTGAAGGATGATCAAAGTCTGCTCGGCCAAGTGCCTCGACAAGACGTACCGCGAGGGCGAGCTGTCCAAGGGCGAGGCTGTTTGCCTGGACCGGTGCGCCGCCAAATTCTTTGAGGCTCATCAGATCATCTCGGACCAGCTGCAGAAGGAAGGTGCTGCGCGCGGCTTTGGCGGTGGCATGTAAGAGGAAGTAGGACCAACATGAAGTTCTGACGTTCTTTTGAGGGAGTTTCCCTTCTTCGCCCGGACCCTGTTTGTGGACGTGCCTCTGCAGAGGAGGAGGACTCCAAGACTTGAATGGGTGTGATAATGCTTCTTTTATCTGGATCTGTACGGAAAAAGCATCGAATACGGGGCAGGGAAGAGGAAGTTGGGGTTCAATGTGGATCGATAGATGACCGTGTACTGATTGATGGCTTGGGTTTGGACTCGGGGCGTTTTTCTCTCGGGAGCGAGCAAAGGGGAAATGGTTCGGATCTGGAGAACCTAACTGCCGTATGGCGTGTAAAACAATATTACTCATACAACGGATGGGAATGGGATAGGGGACTGTCTGATCAATACCCAAAACGCAATTCGATGGGCAAAACGGGACTGGGATAGAATTGTGATGTGATGAATGCGTGAATGTTCATCCATTGCATAAGACACTACTACTGACTCGTTGGCTGACTGGTATCGGTATGTATCATGCAGAGAAAAGCTACCGGTATCATGGAGCATTCCATCTTTCAGTGTAACCCATTAATAGCCCATGACAGATAGCATCATGATCCCGCTTCTTCAATGCTCCCAGCATGCATCATAAAACCCCATAATCTACTCCCAACGCCATCTAAAAGCATGCATGCAATGCAATATCCATATTTAATCCTCCAATATCAATCCCATCAGCCCTTGTCTTCACTTGGATGATTTAAACCCCCTTCCCCCCTCCCCCCCTTCTTGGTGATTACCCCCCCCCCTCCCGCGTGATATTAGGCCCCGTCCCAATCCCCGTCAGCGTCCTGACAAACCAATGCAACCAGCTCTCCGTCTCCAGCGCCGTCTTCAGCTCCTCACATCGTCCCTCCACATCCTCCACCTGCATCGCAAACTGGTCGACCCCGTCCTCGACTTCGTTGACCCTCGAGGCTAGGACACCAATTTCGTACTCGAGCTTTGCTGCTAAGCCTTCCACGTCCTTAACCGCGTCGGCTAGGCGCGCACGCTCTTCGAGTAGAGTGTCGGCGATCTGTTGCCGGGTGTAGGTGTAGTTCTCGCGGAGAGAGGCGTAGAGGTTTTGAAGTTCAGTCTGTTGCGTGATAAGGGTTTGGTTGAGGCCAGTGACGGAGGTAAGTTGGGTAGATACCCAGGGGGCCAGGTCGGATTGGAGAGTTGAGAGGCGGGTGTAGAGACGGTGGGCGAGTTCAGCTTGGGGGTTGGGCAAGGTTGGTGAAATAGAAGCTGTCGGCGCGTCGGCCAAGGTAATCAGTTCTTCCCAAGTAAGGACCGCTTCCTCAGCCTCGCTGAAGGACATGCGCCGAGGGTATCGCGCTTCACTGACAGGGCGCCGCGAGAGCGAGGAAAGGCAGTCACAGGTATGTCGGCGCTTGAGGGTTAGCAGCGTGGTGTCAACACTGCTGGTCGTCGTCGTCGTCGTCGTCGTCGTCGTCGTCGTCGTCGTCGTCTGAGCGGGCGTTTGACCGTCGCTTTCAGCGGTGACAGAGCCCGGAGCCGACGCAGTACGTGCTTCTTTAGCTGTTTCCGTAAGTGAAGGCTCAGAGACGGATGGCCTACGCGCAATGCCGTCTTTCGCAGCCGTGGCCATATCTGACTCCGTTGGCCCTGTAACTAGAGGTGCCGAACGACCAGCTTCTTTTTCATTCAGGGGAGGGAGCACATCCTCAGGTTTAAGTTTCCAGGGAAAGGCCTTGCCAACGGCGACTGGGCTAGAGAGTGCCGCGGACGTGTGAGCCAATGCGGCGATGCCGTGGTTCGAAAACGCGCCCAGCAAGGTGTCAGAAATGTCATCCTTCGATGGACGGCTGACATGCCTGCTAAGCCCCCCTCCCACGGCATCTCGGATGCGCACCAACCCTGACCGAGCATCGCTCACCTTCCCCGCAACGCTCTTGAATACGTTTTTTCGTAAAGGATCCTTGTCACTGCCGGGTGACTCAACCTGCACAGAACCGGCTTGTGCGGATATGCTTCCCACAAACGTATCTTCCCTAGCTTTCGCTTCCAACTCATCCTCCGTGGAATGCGTCTTCTTGCCGCTCTGCTGAAGGAGAACCAGCTCTTCCTTGCCAAAGGGCGGCATAGAAGGGATACTATGATCACGATCGAGGGCCGTCCTCCTCGGCTTGCCGTACCACAGCCATTTTGGCCGCTCGCCATATGCCAAACTGACAAACTTGGAGAAGTCCAGAGTCTCGATGTCGGCGATGTTGGCCTTGTCCTTGCCGCTCACCATACCGATTACAATTTCGCCGCGTTTGCCAAACTCGGCGACCGTGGACTTGACGGCTTTCTGGACGCCCCAGCCGGCCTCTCCAGCAGCCGCTTTAGCTGTCACCTGGCGCAGCTTGAGGAGAGTCTGCCGATCAAGACGGCGTGTCCTCTCAAGCTTCAGTGACTTCTGAAAGGACCCGATACCCTTCTTAGTAGCCTCGATATCAAAGACATCTTTGGATACAGGAGCGCCAGAATAGCTGAGCCTGTTCCTCGCGCCCATCAGCGTGCCGAGGATGGCAGCGACGGTTATTGGACCTAGAATGCCGTCGGACGGCTCGACATTGAAGCATTCCGATCCGATCTCAGTCCACCAGTCGTTGATGGCCTGTTCTGTGACATCACAAAGTAGGCCGTCGGTATATTCTTCTTGCAGCATGCCGAAGAGGAAGAGCGCAATCTGACATAACCTGACGAGCTCCAAGACGGCCTGGAAGAAAGGTATCCTGTCGCTAGTCTTGTACATCTGCATGAACTTAGCCTGCGTGGCAGAAGACGGCTCCGCGAGGGTGAGCCCGGACCGGCCGGCGCAACCCAGGCGCTTCAGGTTCTCATTGACAATGAACACCTCTCGGTACTTGAGCAAGTCGCCTTCGGGTACCGAAATAACCGTCAGGGCAGATGGGAAGCTGCTCAGGTTGGTCACCATCACTTCGCCCATGTCTGTCTCCTTGGGCCGCGCATGGTATTGCTGGATCGAGCTGAAATAGAACTTCAGCCTATCCGACCAGTCCTTCTCGTCTGCTGGTACCTCTAGAACGCCGACAGTCACAGAATGTTTCGGGTCGCCGGTGTAAGTCACGATCACGACGGTAGGGGTCTGGCGCGAGCAGGCCCACTGCTCAACCAGGTAGAGCTCGTAGCCGTGGAGGACATGTCTGCGCTGGGCGATTGTCACGGAGGGATCGACCTCAAGGAACCTGGGGTGAGAAGGTCAGTAGCCGGTCTGACCCGTGTGGTCAGGGCACAGACATACTTTAAAGCAACGGGATCAGGAACGACGACACGACGACGAGTAGAAGGGACAGTAGGCAGGCTCCCAGTCCCCATGGCCGTAGGAGCAGGAGCAGAACCGTTGTCTTCGGGGTCGGGATCGGCGTCGGAGGGGGCAGGCTTGGCGTTTATATTGTGGTGTGAGGCTGCTGCTGCGGCTGCTGTTGTCCGTTGTCCGCCCATGGGAGCCAGCTCCCCGTCCCTGTGCGCCCTGTCGTCCAAGGCGGTGGAGGGGTAGGTGAGCCAGAGAGCCATGGTGTTTGCAGGACAACCCGTTGGGGCTGCGGTGCCACAAACGTTCGAGAAGGGACCAAAGGTGGTTCGGATGTGCACGTCTGGTCTACACTAACGGCGGGAAGGCAGGCGGGCGAGCGGGTTGGCAGCGCAGCAGCATGGCCGGGGTCGGGCGGACCCTACAGTGCCGACCTGCAGCTCCTGCAAAAGCTGTAACCACTTGCGCTGGGAAGGGGAGGAAGCTCAGGGCTGAGGCTTGTCCCAACGGCTGGGCGCAGTAACGAGAATTTGGCGGGTTGTATGGACCCCGTTACGCCCATGACAACGCCAGGGAGCCACGTCTTGGAGAGCAAAGACCCATCCCGTCGTGGGGCCGCCCGTTGGGAAATTGAGATGGGCGGTGAAGGTGCGTGTCTTGCTTCTCTGTTGTTCAGGGGCAAAGACGGAGAAGCTGGTGAGAGGGCGGCTATATGGAGGGGCAAAGGAGAGGACACAAAAGGCGTTGCTCGGTACGGACTCTATGTCGTAGCTTTGCGCATGGAAACAAAGAAAAACCGACAATCCTGACGCGGAGGGCTCTGGCGCCGACAGTTCAACGCCTGCGATTGGCAAACCACGGCACTAAAAGTCGAAAAGTGAGCGGACGGCTGCTTGACGTAGGTACAATGTGCAGCACTATGTCGTGTACCGTAGCCGCGGGGCGCAGTCGGCTGGCTCCAGACGCCGAACCATGTGATGTCGTCGCATCGAATGAGAGCGACTGAATGGCAAACGGGGTTGGCTGCCGGAAGCTGATCTTCAGCACAAGCTCAGGTCGCCGTCGGGAGCTCTCGCGCCAAGCAGAAAGGGGACTGAGCTAAAAAGTTACCGTATCGATAAACGTACTTCGCCAATCTCCATTAGGCGACCCCACCCCGCTGAGGTCCATTTGCGGGGCGAGCGCCTGGTAGCAGTGGGTCCTGCAATCCGGCTCTAACGAATGACGCAGCGCCATGCCCGGAAGAGGTGACTGGGACATGCAGTGACAGCCAGCAATGCCGTGGGTGTTGTGATGTCGCCCGTCCAAGCATCCAAGCAACGTCCGTCGATGCTTTCTGAGCCTCAGCACCAAAGTTTTCTCCATCTTCAAACACATATTGGTCGTAACGAGACAAATCCTCGTGATCTAGTGGCCTGTTCGCTCTGAATCTCGGTCAAGAGAATGAACAGACCCTCTAGATAAGGAAGTACAGGGCAAAGGGAAAGCCGTTCCGACTTCGCCCACTCCCCATCTGTTTCGACGTCCGTTCAACCCCGACCAAGCAGCCGCACAACCGGCCTTGAGCCGCAGAATAAACTTCTTTTCTGCATCATCACTTGCAGCGGTTGTGCTTGTTTGCATATCGCCTTAAGCACCATGTCATCCAACGTCAAGTCTCTCTTGGACGAGCTGGACAAGGCTCAAAAGTATCCCCGGTTGTCCGCAGCCGAGGAGAGCCTTGATCATCTCATCACGCTGGTCTCCAATGCCCGTAAAGAAATTGAGGCTTGTATGTTTCCTCCAGCTCTTGCACAAGCTCTCGATCTGCTTGTTTCCTCGGCCACCTATTCAGGAGATGGATGATTCTTTGTTAACGCCAATACAGCCTCAGATCCTCATACAACGTCTATGATCTTGACGAAGCTCCAGAACCCTGTTAAGAACGGCTTCGAGAAGATTAACGACAGCCTAAAGGCCGCTTCCTCAACACACAAGAAGATTGGAAAGGCTCTGGACAGGGCATGTGAACTCTCTATGTCGGGTCTGGCATGCTCACCTAGACACCTTGCTAACTCAGCATTCAACAGTACTTCCCTCTCAAGTCACTCCCTACTGATGACCCCGCTATCTCCGAGCACCTACCCCTCGTCAACAGGGCGATTATCATGCACCTGTTAAGAGAAGGACAGTTCGGTGTCGCCGCAACGTTCACCAAGGAGCTGCAGGAGGAGAAGGCGCAGCGCTATCACTCTGCTATGGGCGACAAGCTGGCAGCCCTCCCCTCTGACGAACTCCAACAACGCTTTGCCGAGATGTACAATATCCTCGAACATATGAAGGCTCGCAACCTAGGACCCGCCATAGCATGGGCAAGGGAAAACTCAGAAGAGCTCGAAGCACGCGGCAGCACCCTCGAGTTCGAGCTCGTCAAGCTTCAATACATTTGGCTATTCCTCGGCCCGAGCGTCAACGGTCTCCCGGACGACGCGAACAACGGCACGTTTGGCGCTATGTGCTACGCAAAGCAGAACTTCGACCGCTTCGTCGACCGCTACGGTGCCGACCTGAGCGCCCTCATCGGCGCTCTCATCTACTCCGAGAACCTCGCCGACTCCCCCTACAAGAAGGTCTTTGACATCGGCAGCAAGTTCGAAGACGTCGCAAAGCTCTTCACCCGCGAGTTCTGCTCGCTCCTCGGTCTCTCCGCCGAATCACCGCTCCTAGTCACCTGTAACGCCGGCACCCTCGCAGTCCCCTACCTCATCAAATACATGGCCGCCACCCAATCCAAGCGCACAGAATGGACGCAAACCCACGAGATGCCCTTCGAGACTCCCCTGCCCGACAGCATGCTCTACCACAGCATCTTCGTGTGTCCCGTTTCGAAGGAGCAGACGACCGACACTAACCCGCCCGTGGTCATTCCCTGTGGTCACATGATATGCCGGACGACACTGGAGAGGCTCGCACATAAGAACTCGCGCTTCAAGTGTCCGTACTGCCCACTCGAGGCGCGCGCCGACGACTGCAAGGAGGTGATCCTTTAGGATGGGTGCGCTCCCTGGCGCATGTTGGGGCCCGTTGGGGTGAGTAGGAGGGGGAAGAGAGGGAAAATGGGGAGGAGGAGTGTGCTTAAGCGGTGAGAAGGGGTTAATTATTAGGCAGTGAGGTGAGAGGTGAAGATGCTATACCCGAACTTGTGCATGGTTTTTCGTCGTGATGGTTCACGTGGGCCATGCTAAGATGAATCCTCCTTTCAGTCTTGGTCTCTCTGGATGACTTCCCTCTCCTTTCTTTCAAGACCTCTAGAGTATAGAGGCATTTGGCGCGCGGGGTTGGAATGGGAATTCAGGTGCATTGTTTCATTTTGGGCGCCGGGAGTTTCTCACTCACAGGATGAATGGCTGGCTTTCGTTTGTTGCTTTTTGGGGGAGCTTTTCATTGAGTCTGTTCATCTACGAAGGGGGTTTTGTGTCTTTAGGTAGTTAGAGTTTAGGTAGGTAGGTAGGTAGCTTGGGCTAGCATTGGAACAGCGCATCATCTTGAATCTGGAGTCTTCTGGGTGTCATGCTGATATCAACTGAACGAAGAATGTTTCATGTTGGCCTTTTATACCTCTCCCATCCTAGCATATTGCCTGGACTAAGGTTTCAGGGTTCGGCTGGACATTCAGCTTCCAAGATCTTGATCATTCTCAGTCACAGTTTTCAACATTGTTTTTCAGACCAGCAATCAAGATATATTTCTGGACTGCTTAATACAGTCTCAACAGGAGCAGAATAGATTCACATAAGGAAAAAAAAACAATGCATCCATTAGAACAGCTATCTAGAAGTATAGCTAGAGGTATCTTCCATTCCTGTTCTGTCAGAGCTGCCACCCAACCAGCCAACCAGCCTACATAGGGACTCACGGATCGGGAATAGAAGCAACCTCAACTTCCACGCCTCAACCTCACCGAAACAGCACGCCTGCCCTTTCCGTTCCCACACGTGGAGCAGGAAGGCAAGGAAGAAAAAAAAATAAAGAGAGAATGTTGAAAGAGAGTCAACCAACAAGGACCAAATCAGGCAGTCCAGATCAAGATGACACGGAAAATACAACGCCATTCTCCCAAATGCTCCTGTTCGCCAATCGTGTTATCGTCATCTAGTAAAGGAGTGTAGTATGTTTACTTGTATAGCAAGCATATCAACCAGACCAAATAAGCCCACTACATCCAAGAGCAAGTGGAAAAGTTGAGTCTCAGGAAGAATCACAGATCAAAAGAGAAAATGGGATATCTTAGTATAAACTGCTTGGGGGGGATCTCTCGCTGTTCACAACAGAAAAAAAAAGCCATGATGGGTAACAAGTGACAGGGGATATAAAGAGACACCGCAACAATGCTTAGTAATAAAGAGCAAACAAGATTCCAACACAAAAAGCCAACACCATCAAGCCTTCCTTCCTTTGTGTGTCCCAGTAGAACTTTGTGGATATAGTTGCTCTCCAGCCAGACAGACAGCCAAGCACTCCCGCTTTGATTGATTTTTGAAAAAAAGAGAACTTCTTAAGATCGTAAATCTCGTTAGCAGTAGCAAACCATCCAGCCAGACAGATTGCCTCTTGAATATTTTGTCTTTCATTTTTTTTTTCATTTTTTTCAACCCGCTCTGTTTCCCTCCCGCCCTCATAACGGACAATTTTATTTTCATCCCCTCTCTTCCTCAATCTTATTCTCCCTTTCAATCAATCGTCATCCTGCTCGAGAGCGGCGGCTTCTGCTCGTGCAACTGGTACGAGTTGGCGTCTTCCTTTTCCGGATCAGGCCCGTTAGGCTTGACCAGATGAGCCTTGAGCCCCTTACCGAAGTTGCTCATGCAGATGAACGCGTTGATGATGGTAAGGATGATCAAGAGGATGGTCAGCACAGCGAACGCGGTCAGCGACCGGCGTACAGCCAAGTAGTTCTGGTAATGGCCGGGCTGATAGATGCGGACCAGCTTGAAGAAGAAGTAGGCCAGACCACCGAAGTAGAGCAGGATGACGAAGCAGACGCCGAGACGGTTCTCGCGCCGCGTGAAGAAGGCGGCGCACAGCAGGATGCCGACGGTGATGGGGATCGCGGCGATGTGCAGGCCCAGCTCGAAGTCTTTGATGCCGTTGACGACGACGAGGAATTGGATGGTGAAGCCCAGGAAGAAAAAGAAGTCGAATTTGAGGAGGGCGATGTAGATCTGGCGGAGTTAATATCAAGACATTGAAGGTGCAATCAAGGCGAGGTACTCACCTGATAGTGAAGAAAGCGCTTCGTCATGCGATAGTCGGCGCCGATCAGCTTCAAGATATCCCAGGCGAACTCGCGATAGAGTTGGTAGGCCAGGACAGACATAGCCACAGTAACAACGCCAACGACAACCGGAATGGCGATAAGGAAGGGCTTGCACAACGCCCAGACATTTCGGTCCTCCTTGTCGGGCTTAATAGCCCCGGCAGCTAAAAGTTTTTGGATGGACTTGTCGATCTGGTCAATCTGGAGAACGCTGTAGACGAAGAGCGCCAGGTTGGAGAAGCACAGGCCGATGATCTGAATGGTGTTCTTGAGCCGCAGGGCGTCCCACGTGAGCACCAGGATGTACAGGTAACCGAAGATGAAGAGAGTAAGGAAGGTCGGAATTGTCCGGTATTGCGACTTTTCGAGGGGCGTAAACAGGTGTTCCCTTTCTTCCTGGTAGTCGAGACTGAACTGGAATCGGCCGAAAACATATCTGCAGCACATGTTAGTCGCGAAACTCTTGAAAGCTAGTTTGCAGATCGGAGGAGCCATACGCCTCGAACACGACGCCGATCAAGGCCTGCATGCCGACGACGAAGAAAAACAGCTTGGCCCATCTCGAGGCAAGGAACTCTTTCGAGAAGAGCTTGGGCTTCGCGGCCCGCCCGGTGCCTTGGGCCGTAGCCGAAGGCATGATGAACTCCGGGTCGGTGTCGCGGTATTGAGGGCCGCCGTAATACATTGAAGAACCGTCGAAGCTGGAGATTGGTTGAGAGCCGGCCAAATAGGACCGGCGAACCTCGCGTTGCGACGCCAGGGCGGGCGGTTTGCTAGCGGGAAAGGAGCGCGAAAGAAAGGCTGGATGTATTTCCTGTGTCGTGTTTACGAGGTTGAGATATTCACAAAACGAAGGGCAGGGCCTGGGTTGGCTGTCGTCTTTCTTTTCCGGTAAATTTTCTGTTTGTGGTTCGAGAAGCGGCCCCGGCTTGAATGAGGCGCGATCGGTTCGTCGCTCGAGGAAGTCAGTCGGGGATGGGAAGTTTGTTTGACTGATCGCTGCGCTAGGCAGGTCGTTGCGAAACGAATGTCAGTTGTTCTTCGAGGACGTGATCAACCGAAAATGTGCTTGTCAAGACGGGGCGCCTGCGGTGCTGAGGGGGGACAATGTATGGGTATGAGAGTTGGAAAGAAAGTGATAGTGGATGGTCGGATCTAGGAGTCGCTCGGCGGAGGGCAAGCTGAAACACGTTGAGGAGCTGAGGTGTTGGAGCGCACAATTTGCGGAGGCTGCTAGCCAAGAATTGGCGAATGTGCCAAAACGGGGGATTCTCGTGCACTTCCTTCGTGGACGCTGTTTGCCGCGGGGACTGGGAGCAGCGTGACAAGATCAAGTGACAGCCTGGTGATAAAAAGAAGACAAAAATGGAATGAAAATTTGCTAGCTGATGAGAAGGCTTTAGAAAAAAAAAACTACCGGACGAAGAGAACAGCTAAGTCCGCGATCGGGCCATGTTTTTTGCACAGGTAGACAGGCAGGCAAAGCAAGCAAGCAGGCGACGATGCTGATACTGTGTAGGACTGCAAGGTGGCAGCGTCAAGCGGCAGCGAGTGAGAGGGTGAGTTGGGGAACCATGGATGGCGGCGATTTGAGAGGCTTGGTAAGAGAGAGAGAGAGACTTGATAAGAGAGAGAGAGAGGCTTGGGAAGACCTAGGCAGCTTGGAAGGGCCAGCAAGAAGCCAGGAAGCCCAGGCTCGCTGCTGCAGCGTGCAACCGCGTGCAGAAGGCTCGGAAGCAGCAGAAGTCTGGGCATGACTCCACCAGGCGATGCCCATTTCCAAAACAGGGGCTAGCCGCAGAAGCAAACCCCATCAGAGACCCCATCAAGACCCCAGTAGTCTCCATCAACCTCCTGGAATGACGAACCGGCGTCGAGAACCCGCAACGGCTCGCGAGTCTTGGCCGGGTCTGGGGCTGTGCAAGGAATGCCCCAAGGCAGCCAGGGCGTCCCCAGACCACGGTTGGGCTGCGGACCTCGTTCCGATTCATCATCATCGTCTGCGCCGCCGACACTGACTCTGTTTTTTTGTGACTTGTTTCTGTTTCTGTGTCTGCGATTTCTTATCACACCGCGATGTTCACCATCTTCAAATCGACTATGTCTATCATGCATTTAAACAGGCCGAGCTGAGTGGCCAACAACTCCTTCAATGCCGCTAGCACCAGCCAACATCTGTACCCAGCGCGCGTAGAGGTCCTGGGCAACGAATCGGCTGTTCTGCTGTCCTGCGTAGGGTGATTTCTTCCGTGTGGGGTCTCACGGTCAGCCTTGTTAGCGAGTCGAGGGAGTTTGTGCAACTGCAGAACCGCTTTTGCGCGCGACTGTGAGCTGCCATGGTGAGCTCTCTGTTGGCGAAGCTCTGGTGTTGCGGGTGTTATAAAAAGTCCTACGGACTAGGTCTCTGTCTGCACTACTGTGTATGTACACTACCGACGGCCCGGCAGCAACCGCCATCATTATAGGAGGTAGTTAGTATACCGCCCGACCGAAGAATGCTTTGCTGGGATCGAAGATAATGGCTGTGGGTCAGGATGCTGATGCGCAACACGCCGAGCCCAAGGGGGTGTTTTGCTGGGCGATCCTGACGACAGAGAGCTCAATGGCTGGTAGAGTGCTCAAAAACCAGGTCCAAGCCTGATACAAACATCCAGGCCCGAAACCTTGTCTGGATTGCTTTGTTTGAGGGCTAGATAGGCTTCATATGTTATTCCCCCTCCACCCCCCCCCCCAACGGACAGAACCCCGAAGACTGGGAAGGGCGAGGGGTTACATTCTGGCAGAAAACAGCAAAACCAGTTTTGGTAGGCTTGGATCCCGACGATGACATCGGAAGGGCGGCGATCGGATTCTACTGGCTGGTCGTCTGCTGCCACCTGCTATCTGCGTGCCACAATCGGGCCTGTCGTGAGATCCACGAGGCAATCTGTGGCATCGGACAAGAGGCGTCCTGCCAAAAGTCGCGTCGACAAGCCTGAGCGGGAAGACATCTGCAGAGAAGATGCCAAATTGGTTGCACAGGATTCAAAGCGGCCGGCTGCAGTCAGCAAATGCTGAAGTGGCGAAACTCGAGCCCGTAGTGATACCGAGGGGACGGCTCCAACATTAGAATAATCATAAGAAACTTTGAGTTATGAGAGTAAACGAAGTATCAACAACACAGCACGCTACGTTCTAAAGCTGAGTAAAGAGTATCGTAATCTGACCTTCAAGTTGAGATGGCTGAAATTGTGTCGAGACAAACGGACAACTTTGTCCGCTGTTTCAGCAAGGCGGGTGGATTCTGAAACATGCCAGTGGAGGCGTAGTAAGATCGTAACATTTACGTCTTGACATTTTACGCATTTCGTAATTTACTTTCCTGCTTCGGCAAGTGCACCACCCAGAGCGCGCTGCCGGTCGCAAGCACGCGTCAAGCAACAGCCCGTAGGTTGTCTCTCTCCACAGGCACCAGCGACTAGCCACAACGACAACCTCGCAGCCCGTCTAGCATTGGGAATTGGGCCCATCTTTGAGGCTCTGGAACGGAATCAGACATTTTGTACAGAGAAACCGTCAGAGAGTAATTCACATTCGACCTGTAACTGCTGCGCCGGTCCCATCCGGTTTCTCCGACATTATCGCCTTCTTGTCGCTGGGCGCCAACTCCCTGACGTCGGCCAACCAACATGGCGACAGAAACCCTGGACCGCGAGACCAGCGAGGCCATTCTGAAGCAGCTCGCCCGGGATGGCACGATGGACTAGTGAGTGCGCTTCCGTCATGCAGAGATGCCAGCACATCTTGCTTACCATTGCCCTGCCGCTGACAATTTCCCAGTGCGCAATGGCCGAAACTGCTTCCTATCGTGCTCGTTCGCATTGAAGAAGTGAGTCGACTACTCTGTCTCGAATCAACCTCGCAATGGTGCATCTGACCTCGTCTCCAGATCGCCCGAACCGAATTTCGTATCCCAAGCCTTCCTCCTCCTCATCCAGCCCCTCCTCGTCCTCCCTCCCCGCGCTTCCTTGCACCGCTCCCGTCCCCCGACCCTGTAGATGCCCCCGAGCAGGCGCAACCACAGCAGCAACAGAGATCCGATGCTGGACTCTCTACCACAGATGGCCATCCCTCATCCGACAGCACTCTCTCCACCGACCACCAGCAGCAGTCCGCCCTGGACACCCTCCCCAAACCGATCGCCGCCATGCTCGACGAGGTCTTGTCTGCGCTCCGCGATAACTTCTCACAGTACCCTCCTCACACAATTCAGCGTCTAGCCGAGCTCGTGACGGAACCAAGACGCCACTACAGGAACCTCGTGCCCTACCTCCATGCGCTCGACCGCGTCGTGCATGTCACCAGCGGGGCAAATATTTACCCCCTCCCGCCAGCCGTGCCAGATATGAGTTCCCTTTCGTTGCTGTCAGGCGGGGCGTCAAACGCGGGAGGATTGGCAGCGTTATCATTCAACAACGTTGGCTCAGACGAAGCCCTCGGCGGCGCTCTTCTTACGCCGATTCCCTGGGCCAAGAACAAGGCGAATGGTACAAACAGCGACGACGACGAGACCGATTCCACAGATCTGGACTCGCCTGGTCCCGCTCTACCCTCCTCCCATGTCCAATACCGACCGACAGGTCTGCTCCTCGAAGGCCGGCTGAGCACCGAATCGACTGAAACCATCGAGGGCCCCAACGGGCCAGGTCGCATCGAGACTGTCACCGTTTCGGTGTCAATGAACGGCACTCTATCTGCCGGCACAACAGGCCTGAGCTTGCTCACAGGGGGCACCCCTCTCATGCCAATTAACCAGCTTAATCAGCCTCTGACGCCGCCGGCCATTCCCGGGGCACAGGATGAGGATAACGACGTTACCATGAGCGAGGCCGGGTCAGAGGAGAAGAAAGATGGCCCAGACGACGAGGAAGAAGCCCCGCATGCACGTGGGCCGCCGGAGATAGGGGTCGCAGATACAGGCCCTTTAAACGCAAATATCGCAAAGGTGATTGCCAGCACCGGACGTCAAGACAAGAAGGACGAAGAGCAGGCGCAGAAAGAGGCCAGTGATAATAAACTCAGCAGCCCCGAGGCGACAACCGCATCGCTCATCCCGCGGAGCCCCAAGCGCGAGGCAGAAGATAGCTTGGAGAAGATTACAAGGAAACGGCTAAAGGAAGATGAGGCACCTGCATCTCCCCGGCCGAGACATGCTGAGGTTCCGATCAAGAGAAAGGTTGAGCTGCCGAGGGAGAAGGTCGTAGGGCAGAATAAGGGTCAACAACAACAACAACAACAACAACAGCAGCAGCAGCAGCAGCAGCAGCAGCAGCAGCAGAAGCAGAAAGAGAAAGAGAAGGAGAGTGAGAAGGCAGAAGCCCAGTCCGAGAACGGCAAGAGTGCTCCTAGTAAGAAAGAGGACGAACAGAATCAGACACAATCATCTTCTGGCCCTGACTCTCAGGGGGATATTGTCCTTCCCGATCGGAGCGCCAGCTTTGAAGAGGCGCCTAAAAAGGAGAAGCCTTCTGACGTTGGCGAGGTATTAAAAGAAGGAGATGGAGATAAACCGAAGGAAGAGTCGAGTATAGGGGCTGCTGCTGGTGGTGGTTAGACTTTGCATGATAGACTGGGGAGATAGCTCAACTTAGAGTGCGTGGTTTTGCTCCAAGCATGGAGCAGGCAGGCAAGATGAGCATCTGGTGTCAATGGAATTAGCTGGATTCATATGGTTGTCTTCCAAGGCTTGCCTGTAAGAAAATTGCTAGCAGACAGCTAAGCGTTTGATCTGGTTATGTAACGGGTTGAAGAATAATAATTGTTATGGACATGGATTGTTCGTGTAGCAAGTGTGTGCTGCCCGGAGGTGGGTTGCCTTAGATCGAGAACTCTCGGATATTGAGGTCATTCCGCCATTCCTGCAGTCTTCATGATGTCCCCTGATCCATTGCTCATCGTAAACTCAATATGCCATCCATTAAAAACCAAAAATCACCATTACCAGCACTACTCCGGGGGGTATAGCCCTTTCTATCCCGTTTACATACACATACACAAGCCTTTCCCACCCTACTCCGTAATCCTCGTAATGCTCTCCCTAACAATAACACTGTTCTGCTTTTCATCTCTCTTCACCCGATAGAAATCGTCACAGAAATCGCTACACTGCATGTACTTCAGGAACTCCTCGTCGTGCGTAATCACAATCAGCTGCAGATTCCCCTGCGCCTGGCGTGCCTTAATAATTCCGTGCAAGGACTCCGCCAGACTCCGGATGTTATCGCTATCCAGGTTAGTCGTCGGCTCGTCAAGCGCGATGAGACCACAGTTCGCGCAAAAGGACTCCGCCAGCGCAAGCCGGATGATGATACTGGCGAGGACTTTCTGACCGGCTGAGCATCGCCCACGCATGTCCATTTCCGTATCGCCCTTGACCATCGACACGCGGTAGTTATAGTTCCTTCTTGTCCCGCTGTCTGAGGAGGTCGTGCTCTCCACGTCTGACCGGATCTGGATGGTATCGATATCGGTGCCCTGGTATGTGCTCTGCCAGAGCTCAGCAATCGTCCGGTTGATCTGCTCCATCATCTTGCTGTGGTACTGCATGATGGCGTGGTCGACGGCAGCCATGCCGCGGCCGAGGTCCTCAATGGCTGCTTTGGTTGTCTCAACTTTGATGTGCGTTTCTTTGTACTTGGCTTTGGCGTCCTTCAGGTCGAGTTCGTATTCTTCATTTAGGCGGCGGAACTCCTCGTCTTTGGTCGACATCATGCCCATAAGGCGCTCGCGGTCCGCGTTGAGCTTGCTGCGGTGGGCTTCGAGGTAGTGAGCCTCCTTGATCAGCCGGTCATAATCCTCCTGGGCGTTGCGTGCCTCAAGCTCGGCAATCTCACGCTCCAGCGCATCTTTTTCCCGCAGGTTCTTGCGGTATGTCAGATTGTCGGCAATGTTGCGTTTCTTGGCGTCGCTGTTGTCGATCTCCTTGTTGAGCTTGTTGATCTGCACCGTCAGCTCGCGCATTTCGCCCTCCAGGTTGGCCATCTGGGTCTCCAAATTGGCAATGGCCCGCTGGTTGGCTGCGAGGCTTGAGGGCCCGCCCCGGTCGAGATACTCTTGAATCTCGCTGTTGATCATGTTGAGCTCGCTGACCGTTTGCGCGATGGCATCGCGCTCTGCAGCGACCTTCTGCTCCTTAGCCCGGCAGGCCTGACGAGCTTCGTCGAGTGCAGCCCGGGCACCGGCAATCTCAGGCTCCAGACGCTCCAGCTCCTCGTCGGCCTCCTGCACGGCGTTACGTGCTTGGTTCTGGTCCTCCTTGTGCCGGGCGATGGACTCCTGCAGCCGCTTCTTCCGCTCGAGCTGCTGGACGGCACTGCTGATCTTGTTTTCCAACTGCAAGCGCTCGACCTCGAGCTGGCGGACCAGGTCCTTTAGGCGCTGCTTCTCAGCTGTCAGCTTGGTGAGCTTCGCCTGGGCCGCTCGAGTTTGCTCAGCGCATGTTGTCTGTTCCTCGTTGATCTCGTCGGCACTGCGCGTCTCGATATTCGACAACTGCTGCGACCTCTCGACCTGCTTCTCCGCATCACTGATATCCTTGAGCAGCTGCGTAATCTTCATGACATGCTTGTTAAGCGTCTCCATCTCCTGCAGCTTGTTATCGGCCTCGCGGAAGGCCAGGTCCTGATCCTCTAAACGGCGGACAAGGTCCTCCCGTCTATTTGTCTCTGAGTCGATTTCCCGGCTCAGCTGTGGGAGTTCGCTGCTCAGGCGCTGGTACGTATCATATTTGACACGGACTGCCCTAAGAATATCCAGAGATTTCATGAAGGCTGCTTGGTCTTCAAGCAACTCTTTCTTCTCTTCATCCCCGAGCCGCTTGGCCACCTTCTCCAACAACCTAGTCTTGGCCGCTTCTTGGTTGGTGAAGTCCCGGTCGCAAATGTAGCACTTGTTGAAGCGCAGAGCCCTATCTTTGATAGTCGAATAGTGCTTCTTTAACTCATCGTACAACTTGAGCGCTGTCTCAACCTCAGCCAGCTCTTTTTCGTCGGTTTCCAGCATAGTGATGTACTCATCGACAGGTGGTGCAGAGTCAAGGTCTCTTGCTTCCTTCATCGCCGTCTGGACAGCTCTCATGCAGGCCTCCATCTCGTTGGTAAGCTTGTTGTGGAGATTCCTGGCATTCGAGAGCTGGTACTCAGCCTGCTTGAGTTCCTGTTGTGTGGCATCTTTCTTCTTCCGGTGCTCACCCACGAGCAGCTGCTGTTGCTTAAGAACATCACTGAAGTCGCGCTCAAGGGTCTCTGGACGCCAGCCCTCTCCCAGCAAAGTCGAAAACTGCTCATTCCACGTGTTTGTCATGATCTCCAGCTCCCTCTTACGCTCTGCTAGTTGCTTCCTGCGCAAATCCAGCTGAGCCCTTTCCGACGCTAACCTGGTGCACTCAACCAACTCCCGAGCTAGCTTGGCCGAGAGCGACTCCAACTTCCAAATCTCCTCGTTGACCTCCTTGATCTGTGCGTCTAGGTTGGCATTTTGCTCATCAGCCTTAGCTGCCTCAATCCGTGCCTGCAGCTCCTTCATCTCAGCGCGAAGCATCTCCTCCGTGCCTTCGTCAATATCTATGCTGGATAACTCTCCCTGGATGCTAGCCATATCCTTCCCAAGAGAGATGATGCGATCTTTCGCAGCCTTGCGATCCCGGATAACTGACTGCTTGCGGCTCTCACGCTCCGCGATCACCGCGGTCTTCCTATCCAACTCCTCCTGGTTCTCCCGCTGCAGGCGCTCTAACTCACGCCTTTTATCATTCAAGATCTTCTGAATGCGCTCGTTGAAGATAGCAATCCTTCGATCGTCCAGATCGCCATTGTAGCCGCGGATCTCATGGCGCTCAGCCGCTTCACGGATCATGCGCTCGCGCGCGACCAACTGCCGCTCGTACTTCTCCTTGTCCGACTGGTGCTTGCCCTGCTCAGCGGCCTTGGCAGTGTGCTGATCCCGTGCCGACTTGAGCTCGGCCTGCAGGTCATGGAACTGGGCAGCCTTGTGGTCGCGATCAGCCACGATCCGGTTGATGGTCTGCTCATACTCGTCGAGGGTATTGCGCAGGACCTCGTCAGGATCGGGGAGCTCTTCGATGCGGCTGCGTAGTTCCACGATGGCATCCTTCTTGTACTCGAGCTTCTCGGTCTTGGTTTGCAGGTCGTTCATGATCTTGAGGAAGCTGTTCGCCTGCTCGTACTTGTCCTTGATTTTGGCTGACTCCTCCTCCATCTGCTTCGAGAGCTCGTTACACTTCTCGCGCGCTTCCAGGATTTCCCGAGTCAGCTGGGCCATCAGGCGATCGACCTTCTCGGCCCTCTCCTTGTTCGCCTTATCTTGCACCTCGCGCTCCTTGAGAATCTTGAGTTCGTCGCCCTTCTTCTTCTTGAGCAAACGGATATTCTCAATGACCTTGGTGTATTTCTGGGCCTCAAAGATCTCATCGAATCTCTTCTTCAGCGCAGCCGGCTCGCTCATGGGCCACAATGAGTCGTCCTGATGGCAGAAAATGACGGCATCGAGGATAGCAGGAGGGACTCCTAGCTTCTCCGAGACCAGCTTGTCCAGCTCGGCCACACGGGTAGAGATAACGGTACGCTCTCCATTATTTCGAAGCAGCAGACTGCCCTCCAAAGTCTTTTGAGTTCTCTTGTTGTTGCGCTGCACCAACAGCTGGATGTTGCGGGTGACGACGTAGGACTCGCCGATCGTTGAGCGGAACGAGAGCTTCACCTGGGCGCGCACCTCCTTCTCGCCGACCAAGTCCGGATCGTGAATGAATGCGCCATTTCTGGTGCTGTTTGGGGGCAGCTCGCCGGTAGTGGCATATTTCAGGCATTCAATGACAGTCTAGGAGGGGGGGTTTCAGAACCCAGTCCCAAAACGTGAGGAGATGTGACGTACCGTTTTACCAGAGCCGTTATAACCAACAATCAGGGTGAGTGGAGTGTTGAACGCGATGGTCTCAGGGTGGTGCGGCCCGAAGGAGCGCACTCCCAGGATGGAGAGTTTCTCGATTTTGGACATGGTGACGGATTCTGTTCCAATCGTTGATCTGGGGGTTCAAACAGGGTTTTAATCTTAGTTGGCGAAGCCACTCGAGAGTCAATGGACGGTAATTGCAATATTGTAGGCCGCATCGAATGCTTCCATTACAACGATCTTTCCGTCTTGAAAATATCGGTCCTGTCTATCTACCAGACTTCTTAGGGTCCCCAAGTCTGGATAGAGACCTAGCGAAAGCGGCGACAAGGAGTAAGGTCCAATTGAGCCGCGAAGCCTAAACGCGTGGCCTCGCGCATTTCACAGCGAAGGCCAATTGAATCGCGCGTCCTCACGGGACCTGCCTAGGCAGAAGCTGCGGGGCGATCCTGCTTACATAAGGCAAGCCTACATTTTCCTGGAGACAAACTTACATACCCAAGGGACTCAGCAAAAAAAAAAAAAATAAAAAAATAAAAATGAGATCCTCTTGTCGCGAAAACCCAAAGACATTGCGACTGCTCGCACAGAAGTTCCCCAATCAATCCATCCCTCTTCCCTAATACATGGAATATTAAAACGTGCCATTATGTGAAGCTCTCAGTTTGGGATGAATTCCTTTCCTTCTTTCTCTCAACTACTATAGTTCCTCGCTTATAACTATCATTAGTTCCCTTTCTACTGACTAATTTCTTGCTAGCTTTTTTTATAGTTTTACCGACGCAATCATCCCCTGTTGCTAAGATGATCGCTACCGGCTCAGGTAGACGCTCGTATATCGATATCCTTGCGGCCTGTAGAATGCATCGGGGTAAGAAATGATTAGGTAGTAAAGCTGGTTGGGACACCTCGACGTTTTGAGACAGACTGGACGGTGCTTCAAGTCGGCCACCATACCTCAGCTGCTGCATGCGCGCCCGAGCCTTTGTTGTCATCGAGATGGCTCTCCGTTGCGGCTGTTCCTTAGGTCAGCCATAACACCACATCATGGAAAAATTGACGAAGTCGGCCAACACCATCAGAGTTCTTGACCACTAGTGACCCGAAGAGTTGCTCATTGATTCTTTGCCAATTGGTCCAGAATTCTTCATCGTCAGGCTTAATGTTTAAGCGTTCCGCAATGTATCGTTTTTGTTGTTTGCAGAGTCTAAAGGCCTTTCGACAAGTTTTGCGGCTCCAAAAAGCAAGACAGCTCGGCCCGAGCAACAGCTCAACAACTCGAAGCCTTTCAGCTGAGTACGATCTCCAACAAAACGCCATCTTGTCACCGTGCAAATAGTCAGGGCGTGGATCCCATCCGGGTCCGACAGTGGCGGCTAGTAGACATTGATGCCAGTGTTCGGCTCGTTTCTCCGGTGTCATGTTTTGCAATGACGCAGCAACCCAGGAAACTATACCACAAAATGCAGAAACAACGCTTATGAAACCCAAATCAAACATTCTTCGATAGGTTTGCCATCGACCAAGCCCATGAAAGCCAGGTGATGGCAAGGTGCCATTAGACATCTCTTTCGTCAAGACGTAGAACTCTGTAGTGATGGCCATCGACCCCTTGTCGCGTTCATCTCCCACCAGATACATAGCCGTGCAAGATCGCATTGCATTCGCTTGAATACTTCAGGCAGACACCTCTCCTTTTTGCCGCTTAGGGTGACCAAAAGCGCGTACTCCAAACTGAGACCTAAGTCGCTTTTTATGAAGAATATCTCATTGTTTCTGATGTGGGGCTCAGGGTTGGGAAGTTCAAATCCGGACATAGCAATTCGCTGCATCATCTCACCGGGGAAGACTAAGGATCCGTTTACCCCACTTATAAGGAGTGCTGTTTCTGCCTTAAGAAGCGAAAATGCTGGATCAAAGTCGTCTGAAGTATCTTGGCTAATCTGATCCCAAACATCTGGGCGATCGATCCACTCTTTGACAGTCCGGTGCATGTAGTCAACGTTTCCAAGAGACGAGAGCTCTAGTAACCCCATTGACCGGCTGCTGAGAAGTCGCTGAACAACATCTGTAATGCTCTCAATGTATCGATCTCTGGCATCATTATCAACTGGCATTTCAAACTTCTTGAGAGCGATATTATCATCCTCAACTGCCAACCAGAACTTCACGGCCGAAATTTCTTTGAAAGGATACCGTTTGAGGTGCAACTGATGAGTCTTGAGAATTTTGAAATACGGTGCGGGTTCTTTAAGGTATTTGTGGTTGATGCGGCGCCTAATTGTGTCAAGTAATTCCTCAAATTGCCCCCGAAAGGCAATCAACGGTTTGTTGAAGGACACTTAACCTCTCTCCTTCCTGTAGTCGTCCTTTGAGTGCTGTGACAACCAGTCGCACCCAAATAAAAACGCCATTTGCTTTCTCGACGATGCTTTGGAGGAGACGATTGGCTGCTCTTGGATCAACAATGCGGAAACTATCAAAGGCAGGTCACTGGAGCTGACCAAGTACGTAAATCGTGATATCGTTCCCCGTCAGGTCTTGCATCTTTAGCTTTGGAGTGTTGCAAAAGTGTTCATGGAAGATGTTCTCAGGCCGGATGCTGACACATATTTTCGTGCCATCCCAACGGCTCACCTCTTCAACCAGGCTGATAAAATTTTTCTTATCACCGTGAAACTCGTCAAGCCCATCAATGAACAAAGCAATGTTGTAGTCATCTCCTGCCCCCCTCACCAATGATTTGAAGCAGGCCATCAGTTCCTGTTCTTCCTACTGCGGCCAAGTATCCAGCTTAGTTCCCCACAAGCGTAGGAACGCTCGTCTTTGTGGTGAGATTGAGTGATATACCAAGCTGGGTCTTTCTCGGAAGCATTGGTAGAGTAGACTGCGTAATAGTCCTATCTGGGATCTTTGCAGACTATCCTCTCCTGCTTCCCAGAAGTAGAAGGTAGCAAGTAGCAAAGGCTTGCCACGAGCCCACTGTTGCAGTCTGCACTTAAGCTGATCGTGATGAGTGAGGTATTTCATCAATGTTGATTTCCCCGATCCTGGCTTTCCTGTAATCCAATAGATGTCTTTTGTATCTTGCTCCAACCAAGACGAGAAATCCGACCATCGTGGAGGCGTATCAGTAGGTTGAGTGGGGGGAAAAGCCAAGAAAAGGTGTTCTGATAAGCCTGTGGAATTGCTTCTTCACGATTATTGATTTGTTCAAAACGAAGCGACCAAATAAGATGGCGTAGATAACTTTCATCGAGATGGGCTTCCTCTTTTTCTGAGGGGAGATCATCATTCTCTGACATTATGGCATCGCGAACTGTGCTAGGCAGCCAATCACTCTTCCATGCATTTGAGTCGATGATGATGGATCGAAGCATTTGAGAGTGATCTGATGTCCCAGTCCCATCGCTTATAAGCGTGTTGAGTAAAGCCTGCAGCGTATCTTTGGTGTCATTGTCGATGTTACCAAGATTGTTGATTGAATCAGACCAGTTGACCGAGACATCACGAATCTGCTTTCCTTGAACATAGGTCTGATGTCTGTAGAATGGTTCCGCATTAGCCCTGTCGCCTGTTTGGGGGGGTTGGGAGCAAGTGTTTTTCTCCATGGGGCAATTCTTACAAGATAGATGCTGAGATGACCAACAGGAGTTGATTCTGCAGCAGGCTAATATTCGCTCTTTCGCCTCTTTGATCTTGTCTCTCAAACTCGAGCCCGCAATCTGGGACCAAAACTTCTTCGGTTGCGAGCTGTTATCGAACACTCTTATGACTTCTTTCAATTCCCTGCTGACGGCGTGGCACTCGTCACAAATTTCGACAATACTATCGCTGAGGCTTCCTGGTTCGCAGCCTGCTATCAACTCGCTGCAGGATGTTGTGAGACATGAGATGATGGAATCAAGTCTTTGAGCTTGATCATTCAGGAATTTATTGCAGTTTTTCTGGGACTTGAATCCATCGCGGTCCTCCAGCAGCACCTTCACCACTTTCGCTGCAAACTAAAAAAACTGCAAGCCTGCTGCTGCAGTGCCGACAATAGTAAAGGGATCCAGCATCGTGCCTCTTGAAGCCGGTGTGAGGTAGAGGAGATGCAGAGAAGGGCCAACAACAAGAACAGATGTCACCCAGTAGTACGAAAAAAATGGAATAAAACTAGATTCTACACGTTGACCTAAAACATCTAAGGCAGGTATAGGAACATGAATCAAATAATCAAAAAGCAAAGTATCGAAGACTTTGCCTGGGCTGTAGAGAAGCAGAGGAGTGGGGACATGAGGCTCCAGCTTGCCAACTTAAGTACTGGCTTCGTACGACCGTACAAGTCTCAATTGCTCGGGACCTCAGGATCGCGGAAAAGCCCGTCAGCCATTTCTATTAGCTATTTGGAGGTCCAGCGCTCTACTTCCACTATCGCAAAACCAATTTGCGGCTGACAAACCAGCATATCGACCTGAAGGGGATGTGATATCAAAAAGGTCCGCGATGATCACCCTATGGAAGAAGACGACGAAGTCTGGAAGGGAAAAGAAAACTAAGAAAAAGAGTAAGTAAAAATGGATGGGAGAAACAACCTAGGAAGTCTTTCCATACAAGGATTGATTTCGAAAAAAAAAAGAACGAAGGCCCTGGACAATAGACATCGAATCCGTAACTCGAATCGTGAAACCCAGCACATTGTTCTGAGAGACTTCCCTGAGAGGGGAGAAAATGTCGAAAGAACCAAAGATGGCCAATATTTTTTGATGGGAAGGGATATTGTCAGTCAAGGGTCACAAAAAATGGGCAAGAGTGGCTGTGCGGCAGAGGTAAGCTAGTTCCATGCAGTAGTGCTTAACACCAATGAAATGATAAACCGATGTGTCTCCGCATAGGTACAAGCACATATCCCGATTGTAGACTTCCTGCCGTTGGAAATATTGCATGAGGAGGCAGAGGAAGTACCTATCAGTCCAGGTTTCCAAGAAACAGATGAAAGACCACGTGAATGACTTAATTGTATCACCCAGAGTCCAATGAGACGGTCTCTGTTAAGAGAAATTGCTCACCGCCTTTGCGCGAGGTTACTAGAACCACAGCAGACCAACTCACTAAGAGAAAGG